ATCATTTTTTGCTGTCTCGCCTTAGGTTTCTTCCTAATGGCGGGAAACACGATCTCGGTCATATATTTTAGACGTTCAAGCAGTTCTTCCTCGTTCATAATTCTGCCTTCTTCATTGGTGTGATTATTGAAACCATTTGCTTTGCGCGCGAAGAATAACGAGAATGGAGATGAGTTGTGCAGAATAACCGTTCGCGGTATTTGCAGACAATTGTACAAAGGGAACATGTCGATCCCAATGACGATGATCTCCTTTGACTTCTTTGCGAATCATATTGCATGTTGTTTTAACATGATTTTCTGCAACTCCATTTCCCCTTGGATGGTATGGCGTTACCAGACGATGGTCTATATACATCTGTGTGGTCATGATACGGGTAAGCTCGTTGACGAACTCCTTTCCGTTATCAGATTGTAACACGCGAGGGAAGCCAATATCAGTAAAGCGTTTGAACAAAGTCTTTGCGACAGTGTACGAGGATTTATCAGGTAAGGTATCCAACAGAACAAATCGAGTGCACACATCGACTATAATCAACAAATAGACATTTTTGTCTTCAGACTCTTCAAAAGGGCCTGCAATGTCAATCGCAATGTGTTCACCAGGTAAATGTGCATGGATTGCCTTCATAGGATGATACCCTTTACGAGCAATGTTCATCCTTTGGCATTCTCGGCATCGCTTTACGAAATTAAGCAATCATTGGCCAGATGGGGCCAAGTTTTCCCTTGCTGATGGATTGAATTCACCGTAGCATTTGTACCAAGGTGACCCATGGCATGCGCTTTATACATGGTTTCATCCCTTTCTTTTTCGGGTACTACTGCTCTTTCTGTTTCCTCATTTTGAAGGGTGTGCATGTACGTAAGAGCTCTTTTCTGCTCCTCTGTGTGGAGTGGTTGCTGTTTCCTCACCGGGAATAGACGCGACAAAGCGTCAGGAAGAATATTAATAATTCCCGGTCGGTAGTGGACGGTAAATGAATAGCTCAAAATGGTATCTTGCCATGCTGTCATCATGGAATTAAGATTCTGTTGAGAATGCAAGAACATTAAGGCACGGTGGTCCGTGTACAAATCAAAATGTCTTCCCCACAAATAGTAATGGAATTTGTTCAGAGCAAACACAATTGCAAGTAATTCCTTTTTCGTGGCGCTGTATTTACGTTCTCTTTCTTGCAAAGAACGAGCCATGAAGGAGACATAATTGATGTCTTTTGGATGCTCCTTTCCGCGTGGTAATTGGTGCAATACAGCACCGATACCAACATCTGAAGCATCTGTTGCAACATAGAATGGTTTGCTGAAGCCAGGGAATGCCAAGATTGGTGCATTCGTCAACATATTTTTTAGAGTATTGAATGATTGCATTTGTGCCTGATTCAGAGTGAATGGTTCGGTTCGACTACGGAGCGCATCCAAAGGTGCTGCGATGTCGCTGAACAAAGGAATATACTCTCGGAAGAAATTGAACGTGCCAAGATATGACTGAATCTGTTTCGCTGTTGTTGGCGGCTCCCATTCATTAATGTTTGCGAATTTAGTTGGATCAACACTTTTGCCGTGCAGTCCGATTATGAAGCCCAACAGTGAGATTTGTGTGCTGTAGAAGTTGCATTTCTCGCGATTGATTATTAATTTGGCTGCATTGAGCCGTTCAATTACAGCTTGCACATGCTCAGCATGTTCTTCTCTGTTCTTTGAGAATATCACAATGTCATCAATGAAATTACAGACGAATGGAAGATCACCGAGGATCCTCGACATTCCCCTCTGAAAAAGACTGGACAATGGCTTCAGTCCAAAAGGTGCTTTCTTGAACATGTATTGTTTGCCATTGCGCATAAATGCAGTTAAAGCTTGATCTTCTTCATGAATTGGAAGACGATGGTACGCCTGAGAGAGATCAATTGTAGTAAATATTGTATGTCCACCAAGACGAGTAATAATATCGTTGATTAATGGTAACGGATAATTGTCATCCGGCAGATGCTTATTCAGCGGCCTGGGGTCAAGACAGACTCGCCACAGCGTCTTTTTACCATACTCATCTTTTTTAGCAGCTAGTGTTAGCGTATTATTGTGCACGTTGCCAACTGGCGCCAGCGTGATAACATCATCACGTAGCCATTTTTGAATAGTGTCTTCGAAGATGCTCATTTGTTTTTCTGCAAACGGTCTGGGCCTTCGGAATAGTACAGTGCCCTCAGGGACAGGTAAATAAACCTTCATTTCAGGTACAGGACAGAAACTCGTTTTCGGTATTTCAGCATTTTGCTTCAGATACTCAGCAATGCGTTCGAGGAATTTTTGTTTTGCAGTTTGGAATGCCTTTGTCTTTTCTTCTGGAGGCTGCTCACCAGGGATTAATGAAGGTTTGGTGTCTTCCTCAGGTTCGGAGAGTAGCATCGCATCATCGCCAGGGTTGACGAAACCTGAAATGCTAAAGCCGAATTGATGAAAGAGATCCATTCCTATGATGAATGGGTATGATTGATTGATGACCTCCATAGGTGCTGACACAATTCGGGTGCCGTATTGCAATTCTATGTTTTCAGTCTGGCCAATTCGAGGGATGGTTTGGCTCTCATCGGCAAGCGCGATGACACCCTCAACAGGATTAACTTTTATTCCGTGTTTGAGAGCAATGTCATGCCGAATACAAGTGTCCGTTGCACCTGTATCAAGCAAGGCCTCGTATTTTTCATCCTCAAAAGTGACCGTGACAATGATTCTTCTGTCCGCGTGGTCTCTGTTAACATTCAGTTTGGTGAATTCGAATGTATCATCGTCGATTTTGTTCAACGACGAAATTCGAATTTGATGGTTTAGACATTCATAATCCTCGTTGCTGTTTTTATCAGTCTGTCGTTCTTTTTCGTACATCTCTTCGAGATCAATTAATTCAGGGATGTCATTGACATATGGATTGTAAGCGCGATAAGGTGATATTGCAGAGCGTGGCAGTACATCAGGATTGGCTACAGACTGCGCTAAAGCAGGATTCATTGCGATGCGCGGTTGTTTGTCAAAAATAATTTCGTGCCACGCGGAAGCATTAGTCTGATCGCGTGTCATATGGTTGTTCGCCAACGTGGACAACCTTATTTTCTGCATGGGCTCCTCTTTCGTAGCCTCACATTTTGTGCCATCTTTTTTACGGCTATTCCTTTTTCTTTGTTTATTGCCTGAATTGGCATTGTGTCCATTATCCATAACGGTTGAGATATGTTGCGCGTCAATTTTATTGTGTATTTTACTTGCTCCTAGTTCACTGTCTCCTTCACTTGCGCCCTTGGTTAGGCTTGTAGGGACCTGAGTCATTGAAGGTAGCAGAGGGCAAGGCTCATTAGATTGATTGCTTATTTGGACAACCGAGATTGTTTGGACAGTATGATTGTTATCATTCGTTGTGCTCTTACCGGACAATCAAGGCATGTGCCTGTCTCCGCGGCATTCGGCATCGCTGTGGCCGCGTCGACCACATTTGGAGCACTGCTTGCGGCCTACAGTCTCATGGGTGGGGTTCATGCCACAGAGCTTGCAGTCAAGCAGCTGACCTGCTCGATTGTTGGGGCCACGGAATGCCTCTTTCGGTTCGGGCTTCTTGTTCATTGGGGAGAATCGATTCGATCCCCTGCTGCGCCTGTTGCGCGAAGCACCTGTCGAGATACCAGCAGAAGCACCGTTAGCGTCTCTATTGATATGCGCTTGCGGGCCGACCAAACCACTAAGAACGCTTGTGAAGTCGTTGATAGAGGTAAAGTCAACTGCGGCTCCCTTCCTGACATGAAGGCGAGTGACCATGTTGTTGAGAGTATCAGGAGATACGGTGGCACTCAATAATGTGAGAACCATTTCATTGTCATCCTTGACACCATAGATGCGAATGTCTCGAGCAATACGCATGGCAAACTGGCGGTAAGTCTCTCTGCTCTCTCGCCCAGTCGCCAACAGTTGTTTTATCTGTTCGATGCGCTCTTGCTCGGTCAATGCAATCTTAAGAAAGATCGCTTCGCACTCATCCCAGGTCAGCTTCGTCTTTGGTCTTTTTGCAAACTCTTCTTTGAGGGCTTGACTGTGGAAGGAGCTCACAGTGAGATACGACAAGTAGCGGCTACATTGATCTTCAAACATGTCATCTCCCACATAGGCGCAGACAATGTGCTTCACCTGGTCCAAGAACGCCCTAGGATCGCTGTCGTTTTTAAAACGCGGCATATCCTTCGTCACTTTCAACGATTCTTCGAATTTTTTATTCTCTGAAAGGGGCGGAAGGTCATTACCTTGTCTTTTGGTCTTGGGACCCATCGCATCGTTCAGCGAAGCCCTGTCTTCCATGGACTCAATGAATAAGCGAATTCGCTTTTCAAGCACCGTTAGCTCGTGGATAACCCCTTCAAGGGCTTGCTCTTTTTCTGCCACACCGCTGTCATCAGGTGCGAGGGCAAGAGCGCGGCTAAGGTCAGCTTTCTTTTCTTTCAGCGACCGGCGGCGCTCGTTCATCTGAGCCAGGATTTCTTGGTCCGTCGGTGTCGCCTCAGGAGCATTGCCCGATGGCTGACTCTCATTATCGACATCCATCTGCTGGTCATCGAGGGAGAGGTTGTTGATACCGTCGGTGTTCATGTTGTTGTTTTGGGAATTGTGTGTGTGTGTGTGTGTGTGTGTGTAGATAGTATCTTCACTGAAAAAAATGAAATATATGGTGGTTTTTGAAGTCAGTGAGAAAGAGATGTGTCTCCAAACACACATCTACACGATATTTATTAATCAGCTCTAGATTAAGTTTCAGAGGTGATGGATTTATATAGTAATAGAGTACACTGGACTCGGCTGAATATGCAGCAAGCACCAAGGAGCGTCTCTTAGTGGCAACAGCACCCGCGGACAGCATCTATGGAGACACCCACGTGGAGAGGCTGAATGAACTGAAGATGATCTTGCTCACGGACAGGATCAACTGCATCGATGGACCGGCTAGGGCCAAAGATCAAAATGAAGAGACGGCGTATCGCGTTGCAGTCGCTACACAAAAAGACATGGATTTGCTGTTGGATACGTGTAAGAGTAAAACATTGCATACAGAACAAGAGGTCGAACTCAAATGAGGACCAAGGTCGTGAACGAGGTCAAAAGAAACGCAAGACAGATTCGAAATTCTGTACGTACTCCGAGAAGTGTAAGACGCTGAGGCTCAAGCACCCGCTGGGGAAGTGTTCTCATTGGCAGAACGACCAGAGGAAGAAAAAGGAGTCTTAGACAAAGGCAACCAACCGGCAAGGGAGGGCTATAAGCCCATGAAAACGGTTGGAGCATTTGCCAAGATTAATGAGGAAGCACAGCCAGGAGGAATTCAGCTGAATAAAGAATCTTATTTATCTTCTCCACAAGTCTATTTGAGGCATGTGTATGCATACAAAGGACCAGCACCAGGTGATAATCGCGTAGCAGTGCCAATAGGTACCATAGGTACGCAATGCACAGCGCTATTAGATCCTGGAGCGACAACATCTCTGCTTAGTAGAGAATTAGCGGATGACTTTGGCATTCGATATGGCAAAGAGGTCAGTCGAGTACATACCAACTCCATGTCATGGACATTGATCACTACGATTTCATCGTATGAATGGATCTCTTTCCTAGATTTGGGTTTGCTATCACAGGTGTGGTTATGCCAGCACCAAGAGAAGAAGAATTTCTATGGGCGCCATCCGATGAGAAACCCCTCTGAAAGAACGCACGCCTGAATTCATCAAGAAAAAGATTTTATGAGAGCGCTCGAGCCCTCTCTCAAAGCTAATGAAACCATAGACCCAAAACCATATCTTGATGAAAGTTGCGTTGAAGGTTAAGCCTGACTGCGTAATCCAGGAAAGGTCTCGACCGTTTCACGCACAGGTCGAGAAAGAAGAAGTAGGAGTCATTGTGCTCGCACCGAAAGGCAACCCATACAACAATTCTCTGACAATGGCTGCTCGCAGAGACCTAGATGGCAACATCATGAAGTACCGCCTGTGCCTTGATCCTCGCACGCTGAACAGACAGCTAGAGGATACAGATAATTTCCCTTTACCACTTATAACAGATGTTCAGCAAAAAGTGGCAGGACACAAGCACTCACAAGTACTTTTCGACGATCGGTCTCATTCAAGCATATCATCGAATCCCAGTGGACGAGGCGAGTCAACCATTGACAGCCTTCACCTACAGTGGCAAACAATACATGTTTGCAAGAGCTCCATTTGGGCTGAAACCTCTGGATGTCCCATTTGCTTGGTGATCTGCATTATGGTAGCACATATGCTGATGACATTGGCTCACATCACTGTGGTCGCCAATCGATTGACTGAAGCAAAGCTAATCGTCGATCGAGAGAAAAACAGGTTTCTAAGCACTGAGGTCCTTCTAAGATTTATTGTCAATGAAGAAGGACACAGTATCAATACGGAAAAGATTGTTAACGTTCAATCGTGGGTCCTTTCGACGATCAAAAAGATGATCCCGAGATATCTCGGACTCTTTAATTATTTTAGGTAGTATATCCCACTCTACAGCACTATCACAGCACCGCTGGATCAGTTGCGCAATCAAAGGTACGTTTGGGTTGAATAACTTGCAAAGGTGCAATTAGAAATCTGATTGCCCAAGCATCTGTTTTGTCATTCCTAAACTTCAAAGAACCTTTTTATGTCGCCACTGACGTCTCTAATGTGGGCATCGGTGCAGTCTTGTACCAGTTACCAAACGGAAAAGGCGAAGAATCTAAAGTGAACTACGTTTCCTTTCAGGCACGTGCACTACACAAGCACGAAAAGAATTATCCCACTCTCATGAGATTCCATCACTGTTTGTGGGGCAGAAGGTTCACGCTGTACAGTGATCGCAGACTCTTGACATACATTCACGAACAGAAGGCGCTGCCTCCGATCATTACGAACTGGAAGGAGACATTGCTCAACTATGATCGTCCAGGGCTGCCAAATGTTATTCCAGACGCATTATCCCGAGCATTTCCAGATGGACTATGGACGCCTGTTGAGAGTGCAAGCTCTAAAGGCAAATGGGAAGAGCATCGTGTTGCAGCAGTGGCTAGGTCAGGACTACGAAAGGCCACTCTTTCACCCACAAAAGAAAACATCACTATTCTTCAGTTGACATAGCAGATCGTCTCTCGATAGTACTTATTGATCATGAAGCACCGTATACTCATATTGTGCAGACGAACAACATGGACAGAACTACCGTTCTAGACGTCGAAGAATGTAAACAAATACTCAAGCAAGCCCATGAGGTTGTTCGTTTCGGGGGTAATGCAGTAGTTAAGGCCATTTATGAGCAAGGCTACATATGGCCAAACCTCAGGGAAGATTGTCTCAGATAGGTTAGCCAGTGTGGACCCTGTCAGCACTTTAATATTGCACGCAAAGGATATCATCCACTGAAAGTCATTCATGCAGAATTACCTGGAGAGCATGTAACGATTGATATCGCCACATTTGACATTAGCAGGCAAGGCAACATGTTCGCCTTGGTAATGGTTGACATCTACACTAGATTCGTCTTTCTGGAACCATTGCCGAATAAAGAAGCCAAGACAGTTCAGGCGCCCTCTTCAAATTGTTTTGTACAATTGATTTCCCAATGATTATCCAAAGCGACAATGACACCGAATCCGTAAATAAAGTGGCCAACTCATGTCGCAGAAGCTGCAGATCGATCATAGGCTATTTACACCATACCATCCTCGATCCAACGGTGTTGCTGAGAGGCATGTTAGAGCCCTTAAAGAGAATATTCAGAAGCAACTTGAAGGTCGTCTTGATCTCTGGATGCCTATTTCCTTTGACCCAACTCCAATTAAACGTGCGTGCTGCGAGCCCTCACAAGTCTGCGCCTTCTCATTATTCTTCGGACGCTCTTTTGCAGGGCTAACCGATTTTACGTCAGCAGAATCACATCTCATGACAAAAGAAGAACTTGAGAAACGTTCGGAATATCTTACGGAACTAGTCTTTCCGGCAGTGTCAGGAGCCAGTGCAGAGACACAGCGCAAAATTATTGATAAGTTCAGCCGCACACACCGCATTCTGGTTTCCCTCCTGGCTGTTATGTCACGGCCAGAGAGCAACTCCCGGAAGGCAAGATTGCACCAAAGTACCAAAACCCTTACAAGGTCATGGAACGTACAGAGAATGGAGCTTACACTCTGTTGGATGCCACGAATCAGAAACTAGGACGCAACTACACCTCTGTTGAGCTTAAAATTATCACGCAAGACCTAGATGGTCGCAATGATGAGTCGCACGAAGCCGAAGCCATTCTTGGCCACGAACTCACGGCGGAGGGGGTGAGGTACACTGTCAAGTGGAAGGGATACGACTCTTCTCACAACTCGCAACTAGAGTATGGCAATTTTGATTCAGATCTGATCATCAGACGGTATTGAAAGCGTTTGAACCAACAGAACCCTCATATCATTGCAAAGCAAGCAGAGAAGGAAAAAAGAGTTCAGAAAAAAACGCTACGACAACAGACGGTACAGCAAAAACCAATCTCAAAAAATGCGAGTAAGGGAAAAAGAGGAAGGAAGAACTTCCCTCCCAGAAAGAAAGCAAAGTAGTGAGCATGACAATGCTTACTGAGGGCTTCCGCACTCCGAGTCTTCTCCAGAAAAGATCAGGGTCTGATCCAAAGGGGGGTTGTACATTTTTCCACACACTCATTATTTTAAGGTTACAACGCACAGACGTTGACGCACCAGCGAGTTTTAGATTTTTTCTCGTGTTCCTCAAACGGATAACTAGGAGGTTTACTTTTTCCTCCATTACATTTCATATCACAGAGGTTTTTGATACCATTTTCCCTCACATATCAATGGATAACTCCATCTCAACAGTAGTTTTGTGGGATGGAAATTCGGGAGGGGGGAGTTGTTCCGTCCAGACCCCAAATTGGGATCGTACTGGGAGTGAATCTTCATATTTAGGCCACTTCCATTTTTATTCATGAGACTATCAAGCTATCTGATGTACCAAGCCCCAGGTCGGGGAATAAAAACCCCTACCGGGAGCATAATAAACATCAACACTCTTTTGTCTCCTTGAGTCATACTCATATACATAAAACATCACAGTTCCAGCTTCAGACCCAAGCCGTCCAACATTCAGGATCTCAAAGCTGGACGAGATAATCAATTACAGGAAAAGTACCTGGAAAGATGATGCCACAGCAGCACTTGGCCAAGTTGTATGGTTGATGCGGAAAATGCATTCCGAGATACTCAAACGAGAGCTCAGGCACAAGAGACAGAAGAGCTTCCATGGAGAGAGTATGAGCAAGATACGGTGTCTCAAGAGTACATTGGATTAAAGCCCGACACCTCACAATTTGTTTACTTTTGTAGCCATTGTAACCATTTGCAAAAAAAAAACTATTTACTTGAAGGGCGGATCGCTACTACTACTACCACTACTGCCAATACTATATCGCCTGACAACTCTTAGACCCTCACTCCCTCGAACAGGCCCTCTGAAAGATAGGTGCAAACTCGCGAAATAATAATAATAGTAATAACAATAATTCACCAGCACAATGAGTTGCGCTGACGCACATACTAAATTAGTCACTGACACTCTATGAACCTCCCAGCGTTTATTACACAACCACTTTTGTTTTGATTACAATATCGCATAGTAATGGATTAGTATAGAGAATGAGAAGAAAAATTGTAATAACGCACTGAAGACATATAAGGCGAGAAGATTCGCGTTATCAAAGTATGTGTCCTCACTCACAATCACCCAACCTCTCACCAACAATTCAACAACTCTCTACTGACCAACCGCTCCTCTCACAACAATAAGTAACTCACAGTTCTGAAGCCGAAAAAAATCTTTTGCAGTGACAAAAAAATATATAAACAGCGTACTGACAAATATATAATGGCTTGCACTGACCAAAAAAAAAAAAAAAAAAAAAAAAAAGAATCTCACCAATGCCTACTAATGGCAGAGGTAATAAAAAATGCAGCAGCATGTAAATGCTTTCGGTGTAGTAGTGTGAAGCTGGAAAGAAAAAAGAACAATAGTCAATTAGGCTTCCTGTTCTTAAGAGTAAAAGTAAGTACTGTACAAGAGGTAAATGAAGCGAGAAAAAAGAGCATAAATGTTGTGTCGAGTTGCGTCGATATGAAAACGAGGGTCCTTGCTCAAAAATTTAGTCAATTCCACTGGAATTATCATACAAGAGTGACACAAAATCTTTTAAAGATCGCTCTCAAAAGAAAAACCAAACGATGTACTGTACAATCCACGCTCGGATAGAGACCGAAAATCGGTCTTCAATTCAATGGCACGACTCAAGAAAAAATTTATGCATGGGATTCATGTCGACCTCAAGAAATGCAGACACAAAAAGCAAAGGGAAATTTCTGATTTTGAGTCGCGTCATTATTGAATTGACAAAATAAAAAAATCGATTTCCGGTCTCTATCCGAGCTTGGACAAAGCTATATACAACATATCAGCATATAATAAACATAACATACTGTTGTCATTGAATCGAGTGTGTATATTGAACGCTGAAAATTTAGTGTCAATTTATGCTGGTGCTCCTTGGGGCTGGGAATCACCAATCTTTACTTGTATACCGATGTTTGAATTTGAGGCCGAGTTGAGTTGTGATTCGAGGTGAGGCTTTAACTACATCCTCATCTCAGCTGAGAGAAAAATTATTTCACTACTTCGCGTTAAGACTTCCCACAGATTGTTGGGTCTTGAAGTACGAGGCACAAGCGACCTTGACATGTTCCCAGGCTTCGTCGTAGGCTTCCACCACCCCCTTGGGCAAGGGACCTTTTTCCAGATCTTTGAGGTTAGCCTCAAGATGGCCAACGGAGGAAGCACCAATGATGATTCCGTCCTGTGGACCGAGACCTGCATGGTGTGACATCCAGCGCAGAGCTGACTCTATCAAAGTGAGGCTGTGCTCCTTGCACACCTTTTCCATCTTTTTGACAGCGTCGACGGTCAGCGTGTTGAGGTAGCGCTCGCGATAGCTGTTTATAACGACAGTAGACGGGTGGAGATGGTTGTTAATACCCCATTTTGTGTTGCAGCGAGAAAGATAGGAATAAATATAAGAAAGGCTTGTTACAACTTACACTTTTCCGTATAGAGTCTGAGGGAGACGGTGTGTGGAGTTGAATAGCAGACATATGGTGTTAATAGCTGAACGAGACCTTGAAAGCGCGCTTGATTGAAGACGAGAAATGCCAATATATCCACTATATATATAGGATTCGGCACATCATGCTTACCGCGGTGTCAAACGGACCGCCCTTGGTTTCATCTACTTTGTCAAAGTCGATTTTGCCCGAGAGAAGCCCTCCAGCCTAGCGCAATTGGTTGAGACAGCCATAATTGATCAGCATGACTAGAAGATGAATTTGACGCGCTTGCAGCAAACCATGAAGCAATGGATCAAAGGACTCACAATGGGATTAAAGCCGTAGAAGGCAATGTTGAGGGCCTTGAGGCAAGGCAGCAGCTCGCGCACGACATCCCTGGTGAAAGCATTGTACTATATATTGTATGGCATGGCGTTAGAATCAGCATGGTTTGGCAAAATAATCGACTCAAATCCAAGACGTGTAGGATATTCTTACCATTCCTTGGTAGACTGTTGGAACGACGTATCCGTTCTGCTTGCAGAGTTCGTGGATCAGCGTCACCTGCCAAGCGGCGAAGTTCGACAATCCAAACTAGAATTTTACGTTTTTTCGACCGTCAGTTAGAACCAACTGACGTTTAATCTCCTTGCTTCTTCCGACTGTATTATCTCCGTTAAGACTTTCCGGTGTTACTCCACCTACAAAATTCGAAAAACCATTTCATTCAACAACTTACCCTCTCAAAGAGTCCCTCGCGATAGAGCTCATCCACAGCCTTGATCGTCTCCTCAAAAGGGGTCGTGTAGTCCGGAGCATGCAAGTAAAAGATGTCGACTTTCTTGCCATTCAATGCTGCCAACGATTCTCTAAAGGTTTTCTTCAAAAGCTCGGATCCATGAGCCTTGGGAACTGTGGGCCACACTTTCGTAGAGATTTTGAATTGCTCTGTGGGCGCCTGTCCTAATACCTAGAAAAACAAAACCATGATTTTGTAACATATGAGCACAACTGAGAGACGGACATTACAAAGTATGGCATCTTTTGGGATTTGGTCAAATCAAACGCTTACTGTTTCTGTATCGCCATGGCAGTAGAATCTGGCAGTGTCAAGTTCATTGTAGCCGTGGGCATGGAACGTGTCCAGGAGGGGCTTGATGTTCTCGACGCCTCTGACTCGGACTGTTGTTGAATCATCAGTGGTCTCCAAAGCAAAGGACATTGTTCTGTGTTAAACACATTCATATCGAAGAAACAAAGTCAGTAAGCTCAACTGCCCATTCTCGGCGCATCTTTTTTTCCACGCTAATCAAGATCACGATGACGAGAAATTGTTACCCAAGGATGACGCGCGGGGTGTTGTGTGATCCAGACATGTTGGGAAAGAAAAGAATGGGCTTCAAAGGGGAACGGCGGAAGGTCAAGTACTTTGTGGGAAGTTAAGAGAAGAGACACAAACATGGTATTTATATCAATCAGAATATGTATTTTTCAATTTCGTACACTATTTGTCAGCGAATTATTACCTGAGGGATGTTCAGCGACAATTTGGGCTACATTTTGGATAGTTGATACTATTCGCTGTGGGCATGGTCTTTGTGCTTTTCTATTCCTTTCCCCGCTTTTTGAAGAAGTCGTACAAATGATTGTCAAACTTTGTATAGCACACAAAAATCTCCGTTGTACAAGTACGAAAAATTTAACGACCTTTGAGGTAGCCTCCTTCATTGCTGCGCACTACGATAGAGTCTAGCTGCCGCAGGCAAGAAATAGAGTTGTATTTTAGATTTTAGGGTCAATCATTAACCGTTTCCTTTCCTAGTGCATGGATCGTGATCTCGCGACTATCTAACGCACAGCATTTTTGCCATTGGCTGCGCATTTGATGGTCTTATTTCCCTTTCAAAAATAACAATATTTCTTGGACAAACAAGGGACAACCATTCATGTTACCTGCATACTATCCCTTCGATTGTCAGGGTTTCTGATCGAGAAATCGACCACATTTTTCTGGGCATAAATCACGTGTAACTCCATATGATAACTATGCAAAAAAGACAACCACTTTGGAAGAGTCCAGGTACCAAGGGACCAGGCCTGGGGTTCTTTTTTATCTATTTATTTATTCTTTTTATATATGGGTATATTGCATTGTGGTTGGAAAGGGGGATGGGATAAGAGGATAATTATGGATGGTGAACCGGAATCTCATGGTATTCTCTGTAACAATTGCGTGTGAGAAGGCAAAGGGGCACATTACAGAACCCACACTTGAACGACGTCGACGTACGTTTCCTATATTCTGGGTCCTTTAGAACTGTGGCCTTGTGTCGACAAAGGATACAGTTGGGTTTTCTTTCTGCGCTGGTAGGGTAGTGTAGCCCTTTGTTGGTAAGGCGAATGGCGGGGAGTTCTGTTCGATTCTTGGTCACATATACTACCTTTTGGGAGCAAGATCGATCCTGTTTTTTCTGGTGGTGTTGACGAGTTGCCTTGACGTTGGGAGTTTGGTTCCTGCTGCCTTCTAACGCTAGTGCCCATGCCAATTCGATTCGATACTCCCTGTGGGATAGAGTGCCTCCTTGAGCTTTGTAGATACGGTAGGAGTTCACAATGGTTGTATCCAGAATCCAAAAAAAGAGTGGCATCCATGTCCTGAAAACAGTCAGCTGGGTGTTGTAGTACGATCTGTATTGGTCGCTGAGATCGACACCATTCATTTTATGATTATAGTCGTTGATGATGGCGGGGATCTCCAACATAGCGCTATGTTCACCTTTGAAAACCTCACGGACTTTGTTGTAGTTGGAGCTTGTGGTCCGAGGGCAGCGGCGGAGGCGATGAACACGGGCTTCGGAACCAGTAATCTTGTGAATGGTAGTGAGCATAGGAACAGGGGCATTGTCGACCCATACAACGGCGAGGACAGAGTTGTCAACAACCACTCCAGAGAGCGTGTCCTACTCATGCTTGGCCTTCTTGTCGACTTTGAGGGAGGCAGGAAACTGTTTGGAGTTGATACGAGCAGTACCACAAGCGCCGATTTTGAGGTCGCGCAGATGCTTAAAGAGAGGAACATTGCTGAAAAAGTTGTCCATGTAAATGTTAAATGGGTAGGTTTTGTGAGGTAAAGACTGGGCAAGCTTGACAACTGCTGCTGAAGTGGCATTCAGACCATCGATGGAAGGCACACCAGTGATAGACATGACACGGGAGTAGTAGAGGAAGGAAAAAGTGCACCCAGACTCACAAAGAGCATAGATCTTGTAGCCTTCGGGGGTGGGCTTGCACTTCATCTTAACGGTGTGAGCACTACGACCAGAGAAACGGACAATCATTTCATCGACGGAGACATCGGTGGAAGGAATGTAAAAGCGACTGAAGTCCTGGGAAAGCTTGGAGGAAAGGGGCTCGACCTTAGAGTACCAGTGCTCCTCTGGTTCATGGGGTGAAGATATGTGGAGGAAGCGTTTTAATTGCTGGAAGCGGGTAAGGGTCATGAAACAGCTAATGTCGTGCTTGGGAAAACGTGGTGATGTTGTCCAAAGTTCATGGACGGGGCTATTAGGACAGAAAATACCGAGGTAGATGATGATACTGATGAAGATACGGAACTCGCCAAATGTTGTATCCTTCCACACGCGCGAACCCTCGTTCGACCCTGCTCCTTTCAGTGCAGCATAAGCATTGGTGTTGGTGGCAATTTGGTCGAGAACAGAGTCGGAAAAAAAGAGCGAGAAGATCTGCAGAGGAGGCAAGGCATCATTGAGGAGAAGCTCGGGTGGGAGTTTGGGATGTCCTCCATGAGGTGGTTTGGAGTGCAGAAAGGTGTTGTCGAAGACAGGTGGATCAGGGAGCCTGGGAGTAACCTTCTTGATAGTTCGGGCAGGGGCTTTCCTTTTGGCGCCTGTTGAGGGACCAACATCTGCAACCTCCTCTACCTCCTCTTCCTCCTCCTCTTCCTCGTCCTCTAGACTCTCGGTCAACGTCGTGCGTGGGCGGTGAGTGATCGTGAAAACCATTTCCTCATCCTCCATCATATTGTTGGTGTCCACCTCGTTCTCTTCTACAGGTTTTGGAGCTTCTTCAACAGGTTCTGGAGCCTCCTCAACAGGTCCTGGAGCCTCTTCAACAGGTTCTGGCACCTCCTCCATAATATGACGATGGGCACGGGGCATGGGGGGTTGGGAGGTTAGGCGAAGTAAAAAGTGGGGGACAGTGATTGAGTGAGTGACAGTTGAATGGATGAAGGGAATCAATGCAATCACTTTTGACGAAGAAAACAAACCGCGGTCGAGCAGTAAACCACCTTTTCCAACGTAATTTTGAGCGGCGAATCCATTTTTTATGTCACCGAAACAATCGAAGGGATAGGGTTATAGGGGACACCCAAAAGCGGAAAACCTCATGCCTTCCAAGTCCGTGTAAATTGAATTTTAATAAGAAAATGCAATTGTGTAAAATACTATTATGATTGCCACCCCCCCCCCCCCCCCCCTTTTCTAAGCACATATTGACACCTAGCCCCCAGTACATCTAGAAATGTAACTTGGTTGGCATTTACTTGGAGTTGGTTGACCAATGATGGTGCCGATGGTTACCCTTCTCATTACCAAGTCGACTGCTCCTTGTTGGGAGAGAGATGGGAAATTGAGCTCTTCCGAGGATATTATGAATCAGTTGTCGAGTACGAGTCAGTCATTACTGCCCCTCAAACAATAGAAGCTTATATTAGATGGACAAGCGAGACGAGAGAGCCGTCAACCGTTACATGGAGATAGTCCGGGAAAAAATTTCAACTTGAAGGACCAGGAGGATCCTTGTTTGTCCAAGAAATATTGTTATTTTTGAAAGGGAAATAAGACCATCAAATGCGCAGCCAATGGCAAAAATGCTGTGCGTTAGATAGTCGCGAGATCACGATCCATGCACTAGGAAAGGAAACGGTTAATGATTGACCCTAAAATCTAAAATACAACTCTATTTCTTGCCTGCGGCAGCTAGACTCTATCGTAGTGCGCAGCAATGAAGGAGGCTACCTCAAAGGTCGTTAAATTTTTCGTACTTGTACAACGGAGATTTTTGTGTGCTATACAAAGTTTGACAATCATTTGTACGACTTCTTCAAAAAGCGGGGAAAGGAATAGAAAAGCACAAAGACCATGCCCACAGCGAATAGTATCAACTATCCAAAATGTAGCCCAAATTGTCGCTGAACATCCCTCAGGTAATAATTCGCTGACAAATAGTGTACGAAATTGAAAAATACATATTCTGATTGATATAAATACCATGTTTGTGTCTCTTCTCTTAACTTCCCACAAAGTACTTGACCTTCCGCCGTTCCCCTTTGAAGCCCATTCTTTTCTTTCCCAACATGTCTGGATCACACAACACCCCGCGCGTCATCCTTGGGTAACAATTTCTCGTCATCGTGATCTTGATTAGCGTGGAAAAAAAGATGCGCCGAGAATGGGCAGTTGAGCTTACTGACTTTGTTTCTTCGATATGAATGTGTTTAACACAGAACAATGTCCTTTGCTTTGGAGACCACTGATGATTCAACAACAGTCCGAGTCAGAGGCGTCGAGAACATCAAGCCCCTCCTGGACACGTTCCATGCCCACGGCTACAATGAACTTGACACTGCCAGATTCTACTGCCATGGCGATACAGAAACAGTAAGCGTTTGATTTGACCAAATCCCAAAAGATGCCATACTTTGTAATGTCCGTCTCTCAGTTGTGCTCATATGTTACAAAATCATGGTTTTGTTTTTCTAGGTATTAGGACAGGCGCCCACAGAGCAATTCAAAATCTCTACGAAAGTGTGGCCCACAGTTCCCAAGGCTCATGGATCCGAGCTTTTGAAGAAAACCTTTAGAGAATCGTTGGCAGCATTGAATGGCAAGAAAGTCGACATCTTTTACTTGCATGCTCCGGACTACACGACCCCTTTTGAGGAGACGATCAAGGCTGTGGATGAGCTCTATCGCGAGGGACTCTTTGAGAGGGTAAGTTGTTGAATGAAATGGTTTTTCGAATTTTGTAGGTGGAGTAACACCGGAAAGTCTTAACGGAGATAATACAGTCGGAAGAAGCAAGGAGATTAAACGTCAGTTGGTTCTAACTGACGGTCGAAAAAACGTAAAATTCTAGTTTGGATTGTCGAACTTCGCCGCTTGGCAGGTGACGCTGATCCACGAACTCTGCAAGCAGAACGGATACGTCGTTCCAACAGTCTACCAAGGAATGGTAAGAATATCCTACACGTCTTGGATTTGAGTCGATTATTTTGCCAAACCATGCTGATTCTAACGCCATGCCATACAATATATAGTACAATGCTTTCACCAGGGATGTCGTGCGCGAGCTGCTGCCTTGCCTCAAGGCCCTCAACATTGCCTTCTACGGCTTTAATCCCATTGTGAGTCCTTTGATCCATTGCTTCATGGTTTGCTGCAAGCGCGTCAAATTCATCTTCTAGTCATGCTGATCAATTATGGCTGTCTCAACCAATTGCGCTAGGCTGGAGGGCTTCTCTCGGGCAAAATCGACTTTGACAAAGTAGATGAAACCAAGGGCGGTCCGTTTGACACCGCGGTAAGCATGATGTGCCGAATCCTATATATATAGTGGATATATTGGCATTTCTCGTCTTCAATCAAGCGCGCTTTCAAGGTCTCGTTCAGCTATTAACACCATATGTCTGCTATTCAACTCCACACACCGTCTCCCTCAGACTCTATACGGAAAAGTGTAAGTTGTAACAAGCCTTTCTTATATTTATTCCTATCTTTCTCGCTGCAACACAAAATGGGGTATTAACAACCATCTCCACCCGTCTACTGTCGTTATAAACAGCTATCGCGAGCGCTACCTCAACACGCTGACCGTCGACGCTGTCAAAAAGATGGAAAAGGTGTGCAAGGAGCACAGCCTCACTTTGATAGAGTCAGCTCTGCGCTGGATGTCACACCATGCAGGTCTCGGTCCACAGGACGGAATCATCATTGGTGCTTCCTCCGTTGGCCATCTTGAGGCTAACCTCAAAGATCTGGAAAAAGGTCCCTTGCCCAAGGGGGTGGTGGAAGCCTACGACGAAGCCTGGGAACATGTCAAGGTCGCTTGTGCCTCGTACTTCAAGACCCAACAATCTGTGGGAAGTCTTAACGCGAAGTAGTGAAATAATTTTTCTCTCAGCTGAGATGAGGATGTAGTTAAAGCCTCACCTCGAATCACAACTCAACTCGGCCTCAAATTCAAACATCGGTATACAAGTAAAGATTGGTGATTCCCAGCCCCAAGGAGCACCAGCATAAATTGACACTAAATTTTCAGCGTTCAATATACACACTCGATTCAATGACAACAGTATGTTATGTTTATTATATGCTGATATGTTGTATATAGCTTTGTCCAAGCTCGGATAGAGACCGGAAATCGATTTTTTTATTTTGTCAATTCAATAATGACGCGACTCAAAATCAGAAATTTCCCTTTGCTTTTTGTGTCTGCATTTCTCGTACGATGCACGGACCTCAGATACCCTTGCGCCAGGGAAGACGAGACTCGTCGGAATGCAAAGATTTTTAAAGATGCACGAAAGAGTTCATGCGTTGATTTCCTGCAGATTACCTCCACATGAGACAAGTACTCGTTCGTCATGGCCTGCGGATCAAAAAAAGAAAAAAAAAAGACTCCAGATGCATGCTACATAACACAGTATATGGCAATAGCATGCGTGCATCTTGCAATACTGATCTGCTTCTTCCAAATCCTTGATAATTTTGAAATTGAACCCAACACTTGTCGCGACCGGTGCATTGTAGTCATTCTTGCTTACTATGCAGAAAAAGCTAAGTTGGGCCCTGGATAGACCAAGACACCGCAACACGTCCGCCCGGCTGTACACCAGAACTCGGTGTCTTAAGAGTGGCGTCGATGGAGTCATATCACAGTAGGTCACTATCGGTGGTGAGTACGATATCGTTGGGTCTGCAAGCTTGTGCGAACTCTAGGTCCGCTTCGCTAGGGCATTCGATGAAATGCCAACAATTTTGCTACATATGTAAAGCGAACCCGTGCCGTGATTCCAACGGCCAATAAAATGCAGATCGTATTTGCTTGGAGAGATTGAATAAATGTCTTCTTCAGTTGTTGGCTGTTCTGTACACGCTCCTCCATCTCTTTCATAGAGCTCGATTTAAAGCATGATTCCGCCTTGCCTCTCTGGCCTCGGTCGTCCTCGGCTTCTCTACTGGAGATAAGCCATCAAGATAAAAGAAAACGCCTTTGTTCATGCCGAAAAATTCCAAATGCTTCTCGAGCAGCTGGCGGGTCAAATGCAAAGGATGGACGGAATAGATACGACGAATGGTAGAGTAAAAGCACACCAACATGTCGACTCTGAGGTTGTGATTATGATGGTCTTCAGCTTGGTTTTGCGTGGCCTGTATGATGTCATGTACACTTTCTGTTGATACTTCGTGGGGGGAATGCGCTGAACATCTAGTCAATAGCAACCGGCCTCTTTAGCTCCAGCAGGTGCTCCAGAGTAATTTCGTGCCCTGCCGAGTGGGAGGTGGTTGTGATTATGATGGTCTTCAGATTGGCTTTGCATGGCCTGTATGATGTCATGTACACTTTCTGTCAATTGCGCTTCTGTGGCCTGGCAAAGAGCCATAATGATATCGTAGTATTCGTTAACTCTGACTCTATTATTCTCCAGCCTTTACTCTACCAGTCTCTCGATTCTCTTCAGCCGATTTAATATCGGTAAGGCGTCAGAGCTACATCTATGCTGCGACAAAGTCACTTAAACTAGCTACAAGCAATATTAACATGGAAATACTTTGGTCGCTTCCTCATTAGCATTAACATCGTCCAAGCATATCAACAACTTTGTATCTAAACTGGGCATTAAATATTGAGCCGAAGAAGGAGCATGTCTCCTTTGTAAACTTCGTGAGAAAGTTCGACTTCACTGGCAAGGGGATCGCACATGAGGCGTACCTGTCGCTCATTGAATCCCAAAACATTCGCCAATGTCGACAAAAGCGACTTCGTGAAGCGTACAACTCATTTCGAGCACGGAACGAGGCACATTTTTGGGCAGATCGCGCTTTCGAATCTGCTAAGCGTGAACTGCTTGTTAACAGTGCCATTGTGGCCAAGAAGTCGGCGGTTATGATTCAGGAAGCGGATCTTCAGGAAGCGACCTCTGGGACCCAGAGATACCCATCCGACTTGGATTCAAACATTGCGCATTTAGAGGCGTTGGATAACTCAGATGACAGTAAGGCTGAGATAGAAGCGGAAGTCACCTCTGAGATTGCAGGTAAGGGCGCTCCATTCGAACAAATGATCGCGTCTAAATGCATGTTGCCCATAGAATTTCTGTACGCCGTCCCACGAGTAATCGGAATATGACTCTGATGGTGTACCCAACTCGAGTGTTAGATTGTTGAGATTCTTTTCAATGTACATCCAAAGAGTCGTGCGAAGTTGTTCATCGGAGCTGAGGATATCAGGTTCAGGATGAGAGGCTTTAGGTGGTGAATAGCGATCATGCTGGGTTCATCAACGAGATCAGGATAGACTAAAATAATGCGACTGAGTAGCTCCTGTATCGTTGCAATATTAGCGTCTGTAGTCCAAGGAAAGTTTTCTGAGGCTCTCTTGAGGGACACCTTCAACGCAATGCTGCTTGACAATTTTGGAACTGATACAAGGTATTTTTGAATTAGTGCTGTGCAACAATTTCGATACAACGTACAAAGTTTTGTCGCGAAAGGGCGTTTACCTTGCTGCGGTCGCTGTATGATGATATGGATGGTGTCAGCATTGACATCTTCAGGAAACATTTTGGAGAGCCTGGTTGTGGCTAACCAGAAAAACTCTCGTCGATCGGGCTCACTGTAGATGGAGGGGCATGGACAGGTTCAGTTGGCGCAACAGGGGGCTGATGATGTTTGAATCTCCTCATCGATGGGTGTCTCTGAATGCGGAGGGACAGGCCAAAAAAAAAACTCATTGTAAAGCCGACCGATCGAAGATGATACTATATCTTGATGCATCCGCCTTTGGGCCGACAGAAGAGTATGAAGATAGGATATTTCCAGTCTCCACGACATCCCCATTAAGTCCACCGACCGAAATGACAACAAGACGCGAAAATGCAATGCGATCAGCAACATGATGTGAAAGTGGACATGCATTACAAATATGAAAATGCAATCTTTACATTTCTGCTTAGGTAGGACATAAGCTCTTGGAAATAAATAAAAAAGAGTGCAACAGTAGCAATCAAGTCTCGGGGTTAAAATACATGTGGCGTAGAGTGGTCGTTGTTGCGCTTGGAGATAGTTCTTTTACAGTTGTAAGGAGTAAGGAAACTCCCAATCTGAATGCTCGAATAATTTGTGTTCCACACTGAATACAAGGGTCTAACGCACAACTACGCACACTGTAGCGAGTGATCAGCACAACGGTCTTCTTGTTCAACTGGAACCATAATTCATTATTGATATATCTAAGCAAAAGGGTACCTGTAGCGAGTGATCAGCACAACGGTCTTCTTGTTCAACTGGAACCATAATTCATTATTGATATATCTAAGCAAAAGGGTACCTGTAGCGAGTGATCAGCACAACGGTCTTCTTGTTCAACTGGAACAAGGAACAAAAGACCGCTGGCTTCGATCCTCCTTTTATACAGGCACAACCCCAAAACCTAATATCAAATCCTGCGTACCCTCGGTGGTTGCTGGCCAACATCGTGTTTCCCCAGTCCTCCAGTGCGTAGACTGGGTCGTGTGGACCCAGTCACCGTAGAGACATAGGCAGAGCCCAAACTGCACTCGCCTCAAATAAGAAAGAAGATCGAAGACATCACAGGCTCATCCTATAAGCGAGTCGCTTCACAGACGAGCACGGTGGACGACTACGGTCGATAAAGATAGGGCTGGCTGCGAATACGTAGACTGAACCAGGAACAAAGAACCGGAAGAAAAGCCTCAGGTAGCCATTAATTTGCAACGGATTGGATATTCGCTACAAAACGATGCACATTGCACAATGCGCATAAGGGGGAGAAAAGAAGTGCGTCGGTCCTTGTGTCCGCACTCCCTTCGTTCCCGCCCTCTCTTCTCCAAATTCCTGCAACTCCATTACTCCACTTCTCTTCATCGCTCGCACATCTCATTCATTTCGTTCTCTTTCCTCCTCATGGCTCATCCTGCTTTTTCGACAGAACAGGCCGCTGCTGGCTGGAAGACACAGACAAGGGAGCAGCTCACCTATTGGGTGCCCGAGGTCGACATCAAGGGTCAGCTTCCCAAAGATCTTATTGGCACCTTTTTCCGTAATGGTAATGGTTCATTCATCTGCGCTACTTTGTTTACCATCACCTCTGGAGAAGAATGCTGCAACTTTTCTCGCGTTTTAATACACGACAATCCTCGTGACACTGACAGTATGATTCTCTACCTCATCCCTGGCAAATATGAAAACGTGCATGTAGGCCCTGGCAACACCAGCGTTGGGAGCACCAAACTGACCCATCCAATCGATGGCGATGGTCTTGTCGTTGCCCTGTCTTTCACTGGTGATGGACACGTCCACTTCAACTCTCGCTTTATCCAGTCGCGGCACCGCGTTGAGGAGCAGACTGCGAAGAAGATGATCTACCGTGGTCAGATGGGGACGGATCCCAATAGCTTGAGGGCAAACGTTGCAGCAGTGATAAAATCCAAGGTCGGCTGGGAAAAGAGCTCAACTGTGCTCACCTTCAGGAACCCCTCCAACACCAATGTCTACATGTGGGAGGTAATACAGGAAGACGCCGGCCTAATCTCCTCACTCTTCTTTTGCACATGTCTCGTATTACCATATGTACTGCGTCCAATCCGCTGACCATCTTGTTCATGCGCGATTGTAGGGCAAGGTGCTCAGTGCACACGAGACAAGTATGGCGGATCATAAATGATACGCGACAAAGAATTATTGTTATTTCTCCCGTAGAAGATCTGTATGTAAAATGCGTTGTATTATACAAATTTCAATAGGTCTCCCTCACTGTTTGGATCCTACAACCCTCGAGACCATTGGCGAAGAGGACCTAGGCGGCACACTGCAGCTCAAGGCGCTAGGCGCCCATTTCCGCTATGATCCATTCCTCGATAGGCTGGTCACCATGTCTGCCAAGGCTGGTGTCAGCCGTCAACCGTCGCTCCAAATTAACGAGTATGGCCGTCAGTGGGCCGTCAAGAGCCTCCAAGTAATATTGATTATGCGCAACGCGCGCTATCTGTAATTATTTACCCAGTTTTAGTTCTCGCTCACAGCCTACTCTCCCCTACTCTCTGTGTCTTTTTCTTTTTTCTTATTCTATAGACGTTCCATATCCCAGGACTCAACTACGCTCACGACCTCTTACTGAGTAAGAACTTTTACATCGTCCAGATCACGCCCTTCGTCAACGTTTCTAATGCGGACGTCTACAAGTTCTTACTCGGCATTTCCTCACCTGGGGATGCGATGCACTACTATGAGCATCTACCCTGTCGTCTTGTCATCATTGCGCGCACTCCGCAGGTAGCTGACCAAGTCCTTCGCGGTCGTCAATGGATCGAAGCCGACATTCCGGAGCCTTGCCATATCTTCCACTTTGGCAATGTTCAGGAAATCTACGAGAGTGATCGTGTAGTCGGTTTGGATCTGACTGCAGTCTGCCTGGGTAAAAAATTCACGATGGAGTTTGAGAACAAAACCTGGCTCAGCAACGCTTCTAAAGCTCCTGGCCTTTTGACAGGATTCAAGGTTCGATTTGGAGACAGTGATATCCCATTGGTTCACCAGACTGTGCTCCATCCCGCCTCGGTCGAGTTCCCCATAGTGCATCCCTACCGTCATGGGCTGGATACTCGCTACACATATATGATGGCCTCGAGTGATCTTAAGCGCCCACATTGTTTTACTGCAGTCCTGAAGCACGATCTTCATGGCAAGGGTACCAAGTTCTGGCAGAGCGAGGGTGTCACAGGCGAGCCATGTTTCATCCCTCGTGGCGGGTATGCTACAGTTGGAAAGGAGGATACACGCGCAGAGGACGATGGCTTCGTGGTTGTCCAGGTCTTTCACCCCAAGAAGCAGACAACGGACTTTGCAGTGCTGGATGCTCAAACCATGGAGCTGCTGGCGACGATCGGGCTCAAACATCATGTACCATTCGGCTTTCATGGCACGTTTACACCGGAGCTCTTTGTTCAGGGTCCTGCACCTCCAAGCCTGGTCAGAGCCAAGATCTAGGCACGCGAAGCAGTTCGCACAATTTCAACAATGATTCCTGATGCAACTAAACATAGTAGTGGTCCGACTCAATTTCAGTTCCCATAGCCTTAAAAAAAGTGCATTAACCTTAATACCTTAATTTTTAAAAACACTCTGAGTTCAGATGGCAGGGCTTTACAGCGCGTTTCCATCATTTATTTTGAAGGATGTACGTACATCGCTACAAAACTTTGTCATTTCTTCTTCATCACCCTTGGAGTATGCCGTTGTCTTCTCAAGCGCCAGTTTGTTTACACTAGCCACGAACGTTTTTCACAAAAACCAATTCTTCATCCCCATCCAAAATTTTATTTCATTTTCATTTTCAGTTTCATCATCTCAAAACCTCAGCCCAGACACGACTTTCTAAAAAACGGAGCACGGCATCGGCTTCGCAGTTACCGATTTACTTATACCAGCCTTGAGCGTTTCTTTATAAAGCGCGTTTTCAAAACCGCCATTGCCGGTCATCAATTTCAAATGACGCTCAAAAGTTACCAAGGTATGGCCAACCTTTGTCTGTCATGAACCATAACAAAAGACAAGACACTCGTCTACACCTCCCTTTCAGACCGCGACTGACGTATGAAGAAGGAGCGACACGAGGAGAGAATCGATCAAAAAATTGCGAACGAGCTGGCCGTAGGTTGGGACGAAGTCTTGGATGCTTGTATGGTACGCGTTTCATCTTGACTGTGATTCCCTATTCTCGCTCCCGAGCACTGGTCGCGTCGCAGCGTGGCTCCCAGGTCAGCTCCGTGATCCGCGTCTCAATAAAGCTGACAAACTTGTGGATGGCCTGGCGCGCAATCGAAGGTGGCGAGGTGAATAGGCTACCCCACTCCTTGATTAGGCTGATGGGTGTGATATCGCAGTACAAATCGCTAATTCGCCGGAAAGCGGTCGATAAAGTCGTCGCCTAGGACCAGCGACTGGGTTCCGGTGATGCAGGACAGACCTCGGATGTGGATCGATATCTTGGAATAAACACATAAGATGGGCTTGGCAAGGCCTTGTTGCTGCCAATGTCGATATTGCACTTAAAGATTTTTTATTTTTTTTTATTTTTATTTTTTTTTTATTTTTTTTTTTTTTTATTAACATAAATCCCCATGAGCACAAGACGCATGGTCCGCAAAGGCCTTGAAGCCATAGATGCCTTCCATGCACGGCAGAGCCGCATCCCCTACCAACTATGTTGGCTTGAGGCGTCAAATTCATAACCCATGTCGCATAGCTAGCCTAACCTAACTCCTGCGTGACCTGTTGCGCGATACACGTCTCCTAATCCAGATCCAATGTTAATAAAGTTGTTTTTAAACCGAATAACCCCTCCATTATGTCCAACTTCCCTCGCCCCAAGCAATGCTGTAGCACCCTATAATCCGCGGTCCGTCTACCTTCCTGGATCTCCGTTGCAAGTAACCGTCTCCCTTTCAAATCAGAGAAATTCGCGCCAGATCGCCTTGTGGACAGTTGAAGATCGTGCAATTTTTTTTTTTTTTTTTTTATTCAACATGGCCTCCGAGAGAGAACAATCAGTGCTGGTTTCCTAGTGAATAGTCTCTGAGACTTGTGTCTATCTGGCCCTAAATCTTCTAGTGTGGCAGTCGCACCATCTCCAACAACTTCACTGTAACCTCCCTAAGCGTCCCGAGGTCTTTCTCCTGCGATCCGCTCGGCTAGCTGGCAGGCTCCTCACCTGCTAATCTGCCAAGACCATCTCTCCAATTGTAACCTGTACATCTGGGAGATGGTCTTGGTTTCTTGAGAGCACGGAATCCGTTCTACTGGCTTGCGAGCCGAATCCTCTACTATTGTAACATTTCCTCCACCTCCTCGTCCCGTCTTTCCTCCACCTGAGGTCACTGGATGTGAGCTCAGATTAGCCTATTATAAAGTGGGCCTACTCACTTTTGAACTTATACCTGTAACCCCGGCAGGGGTAGCTAAGACGCATGCTGCCAGTGCAGTGGAATAACTTGTACACCCTGGTGTATAGCTGGGAAGTTCTGAACCAGCGCCTCTCGAAGTCCGGAGGCTAGCGCAAGGGCGAAATTTATTCTGAGCATTTTGTCAAGCGTTAAGGAAGGGGAAAGGAAACCCACAACGAGTACATGGGGTAGTGCCACTCAATGTGGGGGTCGCCGGGGAAAGGAAACCCACATAACTGAAGTGGGGTAGTACGCCCAACTCATGCTCCAAATAAATTTCTATGCGTAGCACATATTACTGTGCTTTAACCAGGGCTCGAACCTGGTCCCTTCGCGTTACAAGGGAGGTGCCCTGACCAGTATGCTAACTGAGCCATCGGGAAAATTGCACTTAAAGATCGTGCATTTAAAGAGTTTGTACTTAGAGGACGAATTATAGATAATGAAATATATAGTAATTTGGTGGCACGCTTCCCCGGAAGCGTGGTTGGTTTAGTGGTATAATTACCGCCTGCCACGCGGTAGACCCGGGTTCGATTCCCGGACCACGCACTACGTTTTACTTCTTGTGACTGGACAAATCCCGGAAGAAGTGTTCCGGTTCCTGAGGTTTCATTTTGTCATTTTGCTGGATCAAAGAGGGAAAGAAGGAAGGAGTTCGACACTCCGAATGAAAAGAGTCGAAGGTACAGTAGAAAGAAGAGGGAAGGAAGAGGAGCAGAGTTGAAAAGTATCCAACATAAGTGCTGCCAACTATGTCTGTTTGTCTACATGTCTGTAGCACAGCCCATGGCTCATTTGGCATTTGGCATGGCTGTGTCGAGCTGGAGTAGGAAGAAGAATAGAAATACAGCCCACCCACTCCACTTTTCCCCTTTTCTTCATCTTCCATTTGTCATCGATCCCGCTTCATTCCTCTCTTCTTTTTTTTTATTCCAAGTTGTTTGCAGTGTTCTTGTCACACATCTCTCTTTCTCTTGGATTCGGCTTCCTTCTTGCTCTTCCGTCCCCACACCCCACACCTCATATCCCCATATATCATTCGTTCCCGTGCCAGCTTGCTTCCTCTGAATGAACTACGGACAAGGATATCCTGGCCAGCAGAGCCCTTACGGCGGTGGCGGCTATGATCCCTCAGGCGCATATGACCCCTCGGGCGTGTATCCTCCTCCTCAGCAGCAGTTCGACCCCAATATGGCCAACCAAGCCTATGACCCCAATGGCTTCAACAGCGGCCCAGGTCTCCCTCCTTATTCAGCCTACCCTCCCACCCCAGCCATGGGCGCAAGCCCTGCGGTCCCTGGAGGCATGGCCAGCGGATACCCCTCGAGCCCTGCCTTCAACCCCATGCACGCCAACGGTGGCGGTAACAGCAACAGCAACAATAGCATGAACAACGGCATGGGCAATATGAACGGCGGTGTCAATAACTTCTCAGGGGGTCCTGTCAATATGGGTCCCGTGGGAGGCATGAGCGGTGTTGTCAATAGCAATGGCTACGACGGCAACAACATGAACATGAATAACAACATGAACAACAACATGAACAACATGAGCAACAACATGAACAGCATGAGCAGCGGTAGCATGAACAATGGCAGTATGAACAACGGCAACATGAACGGCGGCAGCAATAATAACAACTTTGGCCCTCCTCCCGCAAACCAGACGTATCAGGCAGGCGCACTTAACTACCAGCAGAGCATCTACAACTCTCCGTCCTCACAGCCTGCATCTGGAATGAGCCCTGTCTCGAATCCTCCCACGCCTCTCCGCGCCCAGGCACCACAGCCCGAAATGGATTACCCAGTTGTGATGGCCATTGACTTTGGTACGTCGTTGCTGTAGTTGTTACTGCAGTCGTCAGAGTGTCTAACCTCTTTATCTATTTCTCGCCTCTTCTCTATGCCACGTCGCCACTCTTTTGTTTTTGAAGCATGATACTCATCCTATGACATTTGTTGCTACCCCTGCCCTGCTCTTCTGTACCTATGTTTCGATGCTGTAGGAACGACATTCTCTGGGGTCGCTTATGCACTCAAGGCGGACGGTGAAGTCCACGATATCACCAAATGGTACTCTATGCATTTTCTCGTTGATCAATATGTATCAGCTCTAAGGCTGGCTTTGAAGTCCCGCTCATCTAATAGTTTTATTCCATCATAGGCCTAGACATTTGGCACAGTACCCAAAGACGCCGACACTTAGTTTGTACAAAAAAGACTCGCAAAAGATCCTCGACTGGGGTCATGCTGCTCGTTTGGCCATGCTCAAGCCCTCGGCAAAGGACTTTTGTTTGCTCCGAAAGTTTAAACTGCAGCTGGATGAAACTCTGCATAGCACCCCTCTTGAGAACGGCATCTCAGCTTTGGAGGCTGTGACCCATTATCTGAAAAAACTACATGGTCACGTCATGTCGGAGCTGATGAAGAGCTTCATCAAGAACTATGAGCCCAGCCAATTTCAGTACTGTCTGACGGTTCCTGCCATGTGGTCCGATGCTGCCAAGAATACCATGCGACGGGCAGCTATTGGCGCTGGTTTGATTCAGGAGGGCGACCCACCAAATCGCTTGATACTGATTTCTGAACCCGAAGCTGCAGCCATGTACTGCGAGCGAATGGTCGACAGATTCTCGCTCAAGCACGGAGACCGATTCATGATTTGCGATGCCGGTGGTGGAACTGTGGATCTGATTGTCTTTGAAGTAAGCGAGCCCCCAGGTCAGACCCGGCATCTGAAAGAGGTCACGCGTGGTCATGGTGCCTCTTGCGGATCAGTTTTCCTTGATGCGAATATGGAGCGACTGCTGGAGCGTAAGTTCAGGCGATATCGCAGGGGCATCAAGGCATGCGGGTGGGCGTCGCTCATGGACACGTTTGTGGATATGGTCAAGCCCATGTTTAATGGCCAGGAGGATGTGCTAATGCAAATTCCACAGGCCACCGGTCTCGAGGACTTGAACGACCCTGACATTGGACTAGAGGACGGTGTACTTTGCGTCCCTGTCGAGGAAATGAAGGCTGAGGTCTTTGAGCCTGTCATTTCAGATGTATTGGACCTGATCCAGAAACAGCTACATCAGAGCCAGTCCTGCAACGCCATCTTTATGGTCGGAGGATTTGGATCTTCTCGTTATTTGGAAGAGCGTGTCCGGCAAGAATTCTCGCATCTTGTTGGACTGATTGCGGTTCCACAGCGTCCCGAATTGGCTGTGGTCCGTGGAGCGGTCTACGCAGGGTTGAATACAAAGACGATCAACATGCGTGTGGCCCGTCGCTGGTACGGAGTTGATGCCAACATGCCATTCGAGGAGGGCGTCGACCCAGAGTCGAAGAAGATTATCTCGCACGACGGATATATTCGCTGCAAGGAGCGATTCTCGGTTTATGTGCGTCCTGGACAGCAGATCGGCGTGGATGAGTGTGTCTCGAAGGAATACGTGACCTGGTCGTACCCCAAGGGCCTGGACTCGCCCTTGTACGTGTGTAACTCACCCAATCAGCCTAAATATATCACGGACCCTGGCGTGCAAAAGATTGCAGACTTCCACATTCCTATGCCTGAAATCCCTGGCGCCCAACCCCGTACCCGTGTCGTCTTTAAGCTGAACATGTACTTTGGTAAGACTAGTTGCTTTCGTGACTTTATTGATACAGTGTTAATGATGGACAAATGTCTAATACCTGTTTATTATGTGAATTCTAGGGTTGACCGAGGTGCGTGCGGAGGCAGTGATCAACGGAAACACCTACACGACTATTTGCTCGTTCGGAGGCGGAGGAAATAGCCGCTAAGGAGAACCAGGATTTGGGTTGAAGACACCTCTCCCGTCCGAACATCTTTTGTTCAAACCACTCGTGTGCATTTAGGCCTTTACAAAGAATACCCTGCGCGGGATAAAGCTCAATAAAGATGTGCGCAAACATTTATTTTAAGAAGTCTCTCCTTACATCGCCCAATCGACAAACAGATCCCTTTCTACACAACACATCAAGGAGCGGATTAGTCGAGCAACACTGATTAGGAGCGTATAACAATGTCTGATGAACTCGATGACTGGGAGCAAGCGGACGAGGCCGATGTGAGGATGCAAAAAAACTACTTGTCGTGCATAGTGCTTTGTCACGACATAGCCTTCTTGATTGATAAATGCGCGTAAGCTCATCATATCCGGATCCCCTTCAATGCCACTTTCAATTAGATCCAAGCTCCTGCAGCTGTACCGAAACCAACCCAGGAGACAACAGCAAACGCGAGATCTTCCTTTCTCGGAAAAGAAACGGTTAGGGCAAAAAATACGACACCGAGGATACACAGGGATGATGATAGACTTATTGGTATGGATCGATATGGTCTCTCGCGGAACGATGATGAAAAGAATATGAAAGATAGTCGGTCGCTGCATGAGAAGAATCGAGCTCTCTGGGATAAAGCGTAGGTGGAAAAGTGGGCACTATCCGGAGGAAGTGTGAATGATTTGTATCCGATTATGGCGCCTAACCAAGGAATCTTATTCTTGCATAGGAACTCGTACGAGCAGCCGGTCATCTCCAGGAACGATAGTAACAACAGCATGCGGACAGAATATGTTCCTGAGGTCCGTATATTACATATTATTTGCGCGCATTCTGTTCCTTTCTCACCGAGAGGCACGATGCAATGGTTCTCACGCAGCCTTTTTTTTTTGCGGCTAACTTACACGCCCTTTAGATCAAAATCCTGAGGCGACCCAAGAGCCCCGTCCAGGCTATCAAGGTCGCCCACATGGCCCCGAAACCTTTGGCCCAACGAGAGGCAGATTACATGGCAGCACGTGAAAAGATCTTTGGACCGACCACTACATCATCAAACACACCACCGACTACTTCGCGGTCCTCACCTGTATCGCGATCTGGATCCTCATCGCCCATGGACCCTGCGTACTTGACAAACCAGCAGCAGCAACAACTATCGTCGTCTAGGCAAGGAGTTTGTGTTGGTTCAGGGGTGGATGTAAAGCCTATAGAATTTAGGGGCCCGCCCCCTACGATCAGATCCGTGCAAAGACCATCGGGGGGACAGAACGATACCGCTATTCGACAGCCACAGGGACCGACTTACATCCCGGACGCATCAATCTCGACATCGTCGAAAGCAAGAGAAGGGTCGAGGCAGGAAGGCGGATCAACAGGGTTTCGGAGGCCTTTTGGGGGGGCGCGACGTCCTCCTCATATACGTTCCGATTAAGCAAAGCGGATGGAGTGCTCACGCAAGCCCTTTGTTAATTTAGGCGGTACTGTTTGGTCACTTTAATAATATATTAATGCGCATGACATGTATTTTAAAGAACACGGGTTGCAGTGCCGGCTTTATTGAAGTGAAGGATGGTCATCTTCAGGCTACACTTGCTGCAGCATGAGGGAGTCTCGTTTGCTCTTGGGTAACGCTCCTTGGCCCTTCCTGGGGTAGGATATGACCCGTACCGCGATTTTCGACTAAAGGGAGCCAGGCAACCTGGGGTCGATACTCGAACGTCTTGGCAAATCCTCGCTGCTGTAACCATGTTGGTATATAGTTGAACATGATATAGCGGATCAATCTCTCTGTCCAGGTCTATAACGCAGCAAGGTTTCCTTCGTTAGTTTAGATGCTTCAGCATTGTCTTTATTCCTGAGGGATAACGCGCACTCTTCATCCCATATCGTACCTGGCCTGAGGTGATCTTGGACATGGTATTGCTGCGAGCAAACTGGGCCTCTGCACGATGGTAGCGTTGGCTGAAGTACTCTGTGAACGCAGCGATGATACTCTCAGAACTTGAATCAGGCATGCTGAAGATACACTTGGCCAGAACCACAGCGTCCTGCATCGCGTTCACCGCGCCTATCAAATGAAGATGTTGTATGCAAAAAAAAAAAAAAAAAAAAAAAAAAAAAGAGACTTAGTTATGGAGTCCCAGTGTCCAATGCAAAGCCTATAGCGAGAAAGATTCTCTTCCTAACCTTGGCCGGCTGCAGGAGTCATCTAAAAAAAATTGAAACGAAGCAGAAAAAAGGATAAGATCAGGAAACCGTGTCTTTGAACAAGAGAGTTAATGTCGTCTGTCGGCAATTACCTTGTGGCAGACTATAATAAGTGACAAGCAGCATGGACAACACATATCAGGAATAGTTAGAGATATATCCGCGAGTAAGGTACGCTCCATATTACTAGAATAAAAGAAAAGAAAAGAAAAGAGTTCAAATTGTTACCATCGCCTAGGAGAACGGTGCGGGAGTGGTACCAAGTCTTGAACAACTCAAAAAAAATCTTGGAGATCGAGTGTTTCGGACTCGCCTCAATAAGCTCGCGCATAGTACCACCAAACGGGCGCGGCATATCCTGAAGATTCTTAATCATGCTATCGTGCGATTCTGGACCCCACTCCGAATTTCGAAATTGCTGCTGCTTGGCCTCAGACTTGGAGAGCTGGGTGCTGAGACCCCAACAGATCTGGTTGTTCGCGACACTGACAGAGCTCCACTAGTAGCATAATTATAAAAAGGAAGAGTAAGGGCACCAACCTGTAAGTCAGCGTATCAAAGTCGAAGCAGTCGGTCCATTCAATGACTTGCCCCAGAGCCATCCCCTCCGAGGACCTTCGAGAAGTGCGAAAAGTCATCCTGCAACTGCGGATACTTTTCCGGATTCGGTGGAGTCGCGACGCCGACCATGAGAACGTAGCCCACAGACAATCCTTCCTGATCCGCAATCGGTAAAAGTTTCTTCTCTTCCAGCTGTCGATAAAGACTCTGACGCACGCCACTGTAGGCGCCACAAGGATCTCGCCCTCGTATTTGGTGTCGTCAGAGCAATAAATGATGACCCGATCGTCCTGTTCCTCTGTCCGGACAACTTTCTTGCCCATGGTGATCCTATGCGCAGGGACCTGTTTCTTCATAAGGTCGTAAAGCATGGGTCTTGCGAAAATGAAATTCCCATATCCAGTGCTGTTTATAAGAAAGAAAGGAAGGGCGTTCTAGCATCTATATTTGATTAGGTTATATAAAAATGAACGCGTCTCACTGAAGCGTATGGACTTACACTTCCTCATGACCCTTTACGTCAATGGAACCAAGTTTCTTGAGCTCGGCATTTTAAATATCCAGAGAGCAGCAAGGAAGTGAGGCTTGCTTGATCTTCTCCAGAAGGCCGAGCTGCTCGGAGACTGGAAGGATGGACGCACCGAGTGTCATGGCGGACCTATTTTTTTATGAGCTGACTTAGTGGAGATACTACTCTTAAATGCGATGCCCGATCTACTCGCAATGCGTGTAATTGCACTCATGCTCGTCTGCTTACCCCAGCGGCCGCACTTCGGTAGCACGCTTAAGGATATGATACGGGATATTGATGCGCTCCAACAGGGCTCCCAGCATGAGGCCGCCCAGTTCGGCGCCAACAATCGACACTGTTGGGGGTCTTTGTGTCGACATATCGTACTACAGCCAAAAAGTAATGAGGACAAGGCCGAATGAGAATGAGATGAGGAATGAAAACAAGATGCAGATGGAGGAATAACCTGCACTCAGAGGATACAGGGTGTAGGCTACAAAGAGCGAAAGATGATGGGCATCGATGTGGACACAAAAAGGACCAACATGCATGGGCGCTGCACCCGCGTTCCCGAACGTGTTCCTGCATGGATGACTGCATGATATGTATTTACTTTATTCTCAACTCGCCATGACAAAGAGAACTGCTCCGTCTTACACCACCTTGGTCTACTGCTGCTGCTACTTCTCTATAACTCCCCTCTTTCCAGTCTGGGGCAGCACACGGATGGTGCCTCGGTCCTCCGCCAGGGGCAGCCAAGCAATCTGAGGACGATACGACAGCGTCTTTGCAAAGTTCTGTTGCTGAACCCAGTTCGACAAATAGTTGAGAATCATCTTGCGGAGGAGGCGTTCCGTCCACGTCTATCGTGTGCGATAAACGCCGTTATTTCAGTTAATGGTGGATGAGCAAAAGCGTTTCAATGGCGTGTAGTTCCTTTTTTTTTTTTACCTGACCGAACATGGTTCTGCTCATGGCGCTGCTGTTCTTAAATTGGTCGTACGAGTAGTCGTAACGCTGGCTGTAAAATTCTTTGAAGGCTGCTTTGATGCCTTTATCGCCTAGATTGGTTATGTTGTAGATGCAGTTTGCAAGCACAACGGCATCGTGCATTGCATTGACAGCTCCTGCAACACAGAAAAAAAAAAAAAAAAAAAAAGAGGCCGTTAACAGCAGTTTGTCGTCGTAGTTTTTATCAGTTGCCGATAGAAAATTGATAATGTTCTTACCTAGACCTGCGCCAGGGAGCATCTGCAACACAGAGGAGCGAATAAAATACAAGGCGATGGATAAAAAATAGTTAGCGCCTCGTAGCAATTGAACGCGAGTTAAATGAAGGGACAATGCTCTAGCTACTAACCTTATGACAGGCTGATGCCGTTGAGGAAAAGTGCGCATGGCAGTTGAGAATGCATAGAAGAAATACAGTTAATAATCGATTTGGCGCATGCTTGAGTCATTTTAAACCTAGCCCTGGTTATCAACTTACCGTCGCCAATGAGAACTACCCTGCCATGGTACCAGGTTTTGAAGATTTTTTCCTCGAGGAACACCTTTGAGATCAAGTCCTTAGGTGTGGCCCTGATGATTTCTCCCATGTTGCCGCCCCATGGTGTGGGCATATCCTGGAAGTCCTGGATCATCGTTTCATTCGCTTCAGGGCCCCATTCCGAGTTTCTAAACTGTTGATCCTGTGCCTGTGCATCCGTGAGCTGGATCCCAAGACCCCAGCAGATCTGGTTGTTTGGAACGCTAACGACAGTCCACTGTATGAAAGATCCAGACAATCAGACATGTCCGACAGCAATAACCAGTACAAATACGCAGCACTGTTCAACACTATTTTCTTACACTGCGCATACTGTCTCCGAGCACTTGCGAGAAATGAGAGACCTTGTCCTTCAGCTGAGGATACTTTTCAGGGTTGGGAGGAGTGGCAACGCCAACCATGCTCACGTAACCAATCGCTAGACTTTCCAGATCGCCCTTAGGAAGGATGTTTTTGTCGTCCATCTGTTTATACAAACTCTGGCGAACTGCACTATAGGCACCGTCCGCTCCGATGAGGATATCCCCCTCGTAGGTGGTACCGTCAGCGCATCGGATGGCCACTCGATCCCCTATGTCCTCAATAGCAAGGACTTTCTTGTTCAGGGTAATTTTAGAGGGTGGGACCTGCTTGCGCAGGAGCTCATAGAGCTGCGGTCGCGGAAACAGAAGATTCTCGTATCCGGTACTAAATACATGCGCAGGTAATGTTTATGAACTTTGCAACCAAAAGATTGAGTGGTACATGCAGAAATAGTTGCGCGCTATAACCATACCCTTCCTTTCCCATGAGAGTAATGGAGCCCAATTTTTGGACATTTGCATCATAAAAATCCAGGGACGGGCAGGGCAGCGACACCTTCTCGATTTCCTCCAGCAAACCCAGTTGCTCGAAGACGGGCAGAATATTAGCGCCCAGGGTCATCGCTGCACTAGAAAGTTTACAGTTGCATCAAGACATATACTTTCGTCAGCTCAAGAAGTGAACATCTTGAACAAAAGAGTGACAAATAGATGTCTTCTTACCCAAGCGAACGCAGCTCCGTGGCACGTTCAAAGATATGGTAGGGAACATTGATGCGTTCAAAGAGAGTCCCTAGCATCAGACCGCCAATACCTCCGCCGACAATTAGCACATTAGGAAACGCCCGTTCTTCTGAGTTCTCTGAGGCCTTTTTTTTTTTTCGCGTGTTTGCGTATTTTTAATCGACAAGGGTTTTGTAATGCAAAGAATGGGGATGAAGACAGAAATGAGAGATTGAGGAATCTGATTCTAAGATGAGGTGGTGTTTATTGTACACCTTTTTGCCCGTCGCGGGCTCAAAACCATTGTGCAAGGTAGCATAGCAATCGGCAAGCTAAAATTGATAATTATCCCGCACTGTAGCGTAAAGCACCACAACGTGGCCTTACTGTATCCGACATTATCCAGGGCAGTGACACAGGATGAGAGAGAACAGCCTGATCCGGTTTTAATACTTTTAATCATTTTCTATGTAGCGCACACCAAAAGGTTCCCATTAGATCGCTTTCGCCTACTGTCCGAAATCTTTCCTTTCTCCCTCCTGTGGGAGGACCTTTCCAGTGCCACGATTCTCGACCAAAGGCAGCCATGCAATCTGAGGTCGATACTCAAAGGCCTTGGCGAAGCCCTTTTGCTGGATCCAATCTGGAATGTAGTTAAGAATTATGTTGCGCGTCAATCGCTCGGTCCATGTCTAGTCGCAGATGTAGAATGAGATACGTTAGATCGCTCGCTTTCATGTTCATTGTTATCCCAACGAGCAGAGTTTGGCTGCCTTCGCTTACCTGACCAGCCATTGTCTTCGACATGGCGCCACTGCGCTGAAGCTGTTCATCCGCTCGATCGTAGCGCTGCCTGTAGTACTCTTGAAATGCGGCTGTAAAGCTTTTGGGACTTGCATCCTTCATGTTGTAGATGCAGTTGGCAAGGACCACGGCGTCCTGCATGGCATTCACGGCCCCTGTTGAATAATTGCATATAAAACAGGCGTCTTATTAGCGGTCGTATATCAAGAGTACACTCGGTTCTGTGGCTCATGGAAGAACAAGTTGTACGAACCTAAACCAGCGCCAGGAAGCATCTACAGATTGATACGATGCAGGGCATTAATAAAGATTCGTTTGTGATTGTTGTACATTCATGCAAATCGTACTGTCCCGCCATTTACTTTATGACAAGCTACATGAGAAAAGTACATAAACGCGTAAAAAACTGGTTAGTAGTTGGCCTTGAATTAGAAATGGCAATCGCCTAGAAGCAGCAACATCATGGGTAGTTACCGTCGCCAATAAGGACTGTCCGCGAATGATACCAGGTCTTGAATAGCTTCTCCTCGAGAAAGACTTTCGAAGTCAACTCCTTAGGTGTAGCCTCAAAGATATCGCCCATCGTGCCTCCCCATGGAATAGGCAGGTTCTCAAATTCCTTGATCGTGCCTTCGTTCGATTCCGGGCCCCACTCAGAGTTACGGAAATGCTGGTCCTTGGCTTCGGATTCAGAGAGCTGGGTACTAAGACCCCAGCAGATTTGGTTATCTGCGACGCTGAAAACGCCCCACTGGATTAACAGCCAGCATGGTCAGGTTGAGTACATGTGAGCATGTTGTGTGTATATTGGAACGACCAAGTGCGTATTCATGGCAACGAAAATGAACTTACGCTGCGCGCATCCTTCCCAAGCACCTGTGAAAAGTGTGAATAGTCGTCCTTGAGCTGAGGGTACTTTTCAGGGTTTGGCGGGGTGGCGACACCGACCATGCTAACATACGCAATCGAAAGACTTTCCAAGTCTGATTTTGGGAGAACTCCAGCTTCATCCAGTCGTTTGTAAAGGCTCTGTCGCACGCCGCTGTAAGCGCCGTCTGCTCCGATTAAGATATCGCCATGATAGCTGGTGTTGTCAGAGCAATGGATATGGACCTTGTTATCTTTTTCCTCGGCGCGAAGGACTTTTTTGCCCAGAGTGATCTTCTCCGCGGGTACTTGTTTGCGAAGTAGCTCATAGAGCTTTGGTCTTGCGAATAGGAGGTTGTCATATCCTGAACTGAGCAACAAAAGGAGGAACTGGTTATTAAGTACGCAGAGTATCAATACAAACAAGAGAGGGGGCAATTGCACCTACACTGTTTTGTGTCCACGCAGGTCGATGCCACCAGCCTGCTTCATGTTGCCATTGTAAAACTCCAGCCAAGGACAGGGCAACGACACCCTCTCGATCTCCTCCAGGAGTCCCAATTGCTCAAAGACGGGCAGAATGTTAGCTCCGAGAGTCATGGCGGCACTAAAAAGGAGTAGCAACCAGAATGTACGTGTCAATTAATCAGCTGGACATCTTCGACTGCGAAAAAATAAGCTGAAGATCATACCCTAGAGAGCGCATTTCAGTAGCACGTTCAAAAATATGGTAGGGCACATCGATGCGCTCCAGGAGTGTTGCCAGTAAGAGGCCACCGAGGCCAGCTCCAACTATCAGGACTATTGGCACGGCCTTCGCTGGAGGATTTTGGTCTGACATGAAAATCTTTGTGGTATGTTACAGAAGAGAGGAGAGGAGAGAAAGATGAATGAACACAAGAAATGCAGATGAATGCAGATGAATGCAGATGAGATGATGAGTAGCAGAGTACACAAGCCCTGGAAGGGCACCGGCAGAGCATACCGAGAGACATCCAAAGACACATGCGACCATTAGAGTCGATCGGTTGGACACAAAGTTGCACACATATCGTTTTCGAGGGCTCTGAAGTGCATATTTACCCGTCGCACAAGATCAGGTCGAGGCAATAGAATGCCCGCTCCTGTATCCCGCACCTGCTGACGGACATGATTAGTGTCGACCGGTTTGGTAGTAAGAAGCCTATGCCAGTAGTTGATGATACATCAAGAGAAACATAGATCGAACGGTATCAAGCAACAGATCAACTGACGTGGCTTTATATACATTAAGAGTCCAGGAACAGGGGCGTATATATTTTGCTACAGTGAAAAAAAAAAAAGAAAAGAGCCAGTAGCATGCTGTTACATGAGGTTTCTCACCAACCCGGGGGAGAGAGTTTAGTATTCGCTCTCAAATGGATGGACAAGGGTTATCCCTGTTACCAACTCGCAAGAGACTGCTTCAAATTACCCAACAAGGGATCGACTTGAAGATGGTGCGTGTTGCCTCTCAGGTGGAATGAACAAAATAGAGATTAAAGTAATGAATTTGGCGTTTAAGACTAGATCGATGCGGGAAGGCATTGCAGTATCTTCTTTAAGGCTCTTACTCGAAGGCCCAGAAAGAAAAAAAGCCATCTGGGTATGTGGAATAATGAGTGAGTAAGCGAAGTACTGATATGAAGTTGCAGTCGAGATCCGCGCTCCTAGGTATGTATCGCTGATATATCTCCTCTGCATACCTAGAGGTTGCCATCTTTGCGCACTAATAATGTTCATTCTTAATTCCAAAGGATACGGCGTAGAGCCAACGATAGTGTAGATGTCATTTTGAAGAAGCCGCTGTAAAGCAACAAGGAGCAATCACAGCAGGTGCTGCTTCAGCTATAGTAGCTACAACAGAAACTAGGCAGCATGAAGGAACAAGAGGTGCCACCGCTGGATCGGTCTAGGTTTCAATTTGGTAAATTCGAAGTTGTACGTGATCAAGCAGGGGATATCAAATGCTCTTTCTCAGTAACCTGGAGAAACCATGTATCGACAATGTTAGCGCCTTCAAATGTCTAGAGAATCAACTTACTAAATGAACACACGTCCATTCCTCAAATGGATTCATGGATCGCATTATTTATATGCAGGATAGACTTCCTGGGCTGCCAGAGGATGTACAAAACGTATCGACAAATGTATGCACATGTCGATAAATGCTTTTACAGAGAATCAGAGTAATGGGGTTGATAATAAAATAATTTGTTCCGCCGCACTTTTAGCTCCTAGAATAGCGGAACGGACATGTACGAATCGCGAGGTGTGTTTCATGGGAAGATCGGTTCACGATCTGATCGTCTCTTTCAAGGGCAGCGAATCATTTTTTTTAGTAGTTTGTGGTCCCTGGTTGAGGAAAAAAAGGGTGGCCCGCTTGGGTATTGTGTAAAATCGATACAAAGCGTGGATAATCGCGGTTTTCCTGATAATGCAATTGAGGACTGTGGCGCAGATCTGGTATCCATTTCGATGAGCGATTGTGGCTGTGCTATTCTGGGTGGCAGCCGGATCTGTCCTCATGAACAGAAAATACCGTTTTTAACATTCATTCGCGAAAGGATGATACTCCTGCCGCTGTGGTCCAAGTACTTTTCTCCCAGCCAATCCTGTTGCAGGGGGAAAAAACCGCTGCCTCCCACCGATCAACCTCCGTTTCTGCCGGTGATATCCCTTTTGGTCTGCTCTGTCGTCTCTTTCCTTTCTGTTTCAACGGAATCTCCCTCTCCGCCTCTTCCCTTCTCTTTCCCTCCCTCCACCAAGAAAAAAGCATGTTCTCTGCACTCCGACTTGAGAGGCGTACGAGGGAGCTATGCAAGAGCTACGGCAAGGACTGGGGTCTGGTCCTACTCGTGCTCGCGGCATTTTCCCTCATTGACCAGGTCGAGCCATTCCATCGCCAATTCTCGGTCAAGGACATCACCATTCAGCATCCCTTTGCCAAACAGGAGACCATTCCGGACTGGCTACTCCTTGTAAGAAAGAAACGTGCACGAGACCAGTTGCAAATACCTTCATGTTTCTCTCACCTTTTACACCTCCCATACTTTCGCGCTGCAATCTTCGCACCTCTAATCTAGTTGCTCTTTTTTTATATGTAGATCCTGGCATTCCTGCTGCCGCTGGGTATAATCGTTCTAATTGCCGTATTTCAGAGGAAGTCCTATACGGACTTGCACAATGGCTTCTTGGGCCTGTTCCTCACCCAGGCCTTGGTTCTCATTGTCACGGATAGTGTCAAGGTATGAAAGCAGAAACAATGCTTGCATCTATGTTGTACGTATTGGTATACAGATGTGGGACATCTGGACATGCAGGCAGCTCAATCGGGCATTGTCATTCCCATAACAAAAAAAAGAAAAAAAAAAAAGAGCGCGGGCAGAAACCCCTTGAAGGCGTGTGGTCCATCTGAAAGTAACTGTAACCTTACTCCCACGCAGTTGTGCCCAATTGCACCAATTGAACCAGAAAGATTCGTTCGTGAGAGACCTCTGTGTTGTAATAGTTGTCAAATCTCTCCCGCAGGCCTACCTTATCGCGGTTGTGCGGTTGTGCTTATCTCACCAATTCTTGCGGTCCTCTCGCGCTCTCTCTTTCCCCCCTCTCTGTTGTTTCTCTCCTCGGAAAAATTACAAAGGACCAAAGCTAATGAAGCGTACACAGTTGCTAAGCTCCACCCTCGTGTTCGTATTCTCTGGATGCTCAAATGATCATAGATCACAGTCGGTAGACCGAGGCCAGACTTTCTCGACCGATGCCTATCCCTGTATGACAACACCTATGCTGGCACGCCATTGCATCTCCTTACGGACCCGCCTAACCTCCTGTCCAACTCGAGCATCTGCACGCGGGCGGATCTCCTTCGGGATGGTTTTAAAGCTTTCCCCTCTGGCCACTCATCCTTCTCATTTGGAGGACTCGGATACGTGTCCATGTACTTAGCCGGCAAACTGCATCTGTTTGATGAGCGCGGCCATATTTACAAGTCGCTCGTAGTTCTAGCGCCATTGATATTGGCTGCGCTGATTGCGACCTCCAGAGTATCGGACTACAGACATCACTGGGAAGACGTGACGGCAGGCTCCTTTATCGGTGGAGTTTTCGCTGTCTTTGCCTACCGCCAGTACTACCCCTCCCTAGGCTCTGTGAAGTCCGATCGTCCATTCTCGCCAAGAGTCCAGGAGGAACTCTTGCCTGTGGGCAACCTCATAGGAGCTTTTCATAGTCGTCATAATCGCTATAGAGATGCCGATGACGATATGAATGGCTTGCTTGATGGTGATGATACTATCGCCCATGATTCACCAGAGAGTGGTGGATCGGACTTAGGATTTTCACAGTTCTTCCGACGAGACCCCGATGATAACATGCCGACCGGAAATGGTCAACGAGGTCCAAACAAAAACCATGGGAACAGTGGCACAGACGGGCGCTCCGTTGCTGTTTGAGGAACCACGCGTTTTTGGTGGAAAGATACCCAACCTTCAACTCATGCCATTTATTACATGTAAATAAACCCTTTGATCGTCACGACTTGGCACCTTGAAAGTGTCTGATGCCACTAACGTTGATCCCCTTGCTACTTCAAAAGAAATGACATCAAACTCACGAGTGATCGACGTTGGTATGAACCGCCATCGAAAGTCACTTTGGCAGATACCGTCATCGACTTCTACTTCAGGTCAAACGGTCTGCTTCGTGAGGGTAAAGGGCGAAATTCGACATCAAAACCAGTTTAGGATAAGACCGAATGATGGGCGACACGGCACCAAAAGGCCAAGGGCCAAGTTGGCCGTTGGCCAAGCCGTACAACCAATATCCAAATAGCCACCGGGGAATTGGGTCGCGTTCAAAAGGCGAGAGTTGATCGAGGGTCCCTCGTTTTGGTTTGGTTACTCTTGCCAATATTATTATTTTCCCTCCCCTCTTATATCTAAGGTATCCAGCGGCGGTATCCTCTGCCCTGCATTTCGGTTATCATAGTCCTCTTTTCACAACGACCCCCCATTTGCTACATTCAAGGCGCGTCTCTATTTCACCCATACCAAAACGAACGAGTAACACCAACGCTAAGGATAACACTCAGTGTTCGGCCATATTGTCAACCCTGCAGCCAAAACACTTGAAAAAAACTGGCTCGTTTTTTGCGCCTTGTGTTCACAGTGTCGTACGCCCGCAAAAGATCTATATGAGATGAAAATACCTAAGGCAACTCTGTGCACACTAACAGCCTCAATCAGCTGCATAGTGGGAGTAGCAGAGGCAGGTGCTTTCAAGTACGTATCTTAAAAGAACGCAGTACTACTCTTGTAGGGGCTCCTACAGTTAATTAACAACTGACATCTCGCCGCAAATAAATATTATCGACTGCAGGGTCCCGATTCACAGAAACGAGCGCCATCGTCCGAACACCCGTGCGCACGCGTTCAAGACACTGAAAAAATATGGACATCATCACCGGCTCAGTCCCCGGGCATTCGGTCGTCAGCCCGTAACGGATGTGGAAAATGATGTCGAGGTATGTACTCCATATTTCTGTGCTTGATGCAATCGATCGACTTTTATTTTGACGTTTTCTTAACTTGCTGTCATTTTTGTGCACTTTCCTTAGTACTATGGCATCGTAGGCATTGGGACACCACCGCAGATGTTCAAATTGGACATGGATACCGGCTCCTCCGATCTCTGGGTCCCTTCATTAAAATGCGACCGTCACAACATCAAATGCGCGCGCCATACGCGCTTTAACCCATCGTTGTCGTCCACGATCGTTGAGCTCCAGACACCCTGGAAGATTGGTTATGGCGACGGATCTACTGTCAGCGGACACTTGGCTGTGGACCGGATCGAGTTTGCGGAAATCGCGATCGAGAACCAGTTGTTTGGCATGGCAGACCGGGAATCCAGCAGCTTCCTCGACGACGTGGTCGATGGTGTCTTTGGACTAGGTTTTCCCTCGCTGTCGGCGCTAATCATCGAAAATCAAAAGGAAGCAGAGGCCAAGGCCAAGGGACCGATCAGCAATACTGTGTTGAGTAGTATTCTAAATCATGAGCTGGTCCCCGCACCAGTCTTTGGGGTGTGGTTAGGAAACGGAGATGGACCCACGACGGATCCTAATGGTGGAGACGGTGAGTTCATATTTGGATCGATCGATACCAGTCGGTTTGAAGGTGAACTCACGTTTCTGCCGATCACGAACCGCAAGTACTGGCAGATCAAAGTGGACGGGGTCAAGCTGGACAGACAGATGGATATGTCGATCCACGGAGACACGATCATTGACACTGGCACGACGTTGCTGGTATTCCCGATTGCACATGCGAAGAAGATTAACAAGGCCATTGGGGCTGTGTCGGACCCGTGGGAGGGATGGGTTTTACCATGCGACTCGAACAGGGTGGGGTCACTTGATTTTGAGATGGGCGGTAGCCGGTTTTCGGTCCAGAGAAAGGATTTGGTACGGGAGCAGGTCAAGAACAAAGCGGGATGGTGCTACAGCGCCGTTACGGCAACCCCTGGCGACGTGATGATCTTTGGAGACGTATTTATCCGTAACAACTACTGCGTCTTCGACGTTGAGCATCTCTCGATCGGCCTTGCGCCCATTCGCAGACAATAGTATCAATATAATTCTTCCTATAGTACATGCTTGCATGCAGGCCGACCAATCAACATGACATAGTGCAACACGGTTCCTCGCGTCAAATAACGCCACCAATTCAACTGAGCCGAGAAGGAATTCCCACCTGCTTCTCATCCTCCCTATACTCATATTCATTCCCCATTCCGCTTCGACCTCCACTTGACATCCGATTCCTCATCGCCATGTGCATTCTACTCTGGACGCTGCCCGACAGCAACCACCCTCGCTTCAAGTTGTAAAGACCTTTGCTTTTGCTTCTATCTCAGCTCCGTACACTTCCATTTGCATTCCTTCTTTTAGCCATTGCATAACATCTATCTCTTCCTCTTGCTTTCAACAGTGCATTCGCAAGTAACCGCGATGAATTCATGGCCCGTAAGGCCTCGCGTGCTGCGTTCTGGGACCTGAATTCTATTCTTAAGCGAGCCAGCTTGCCCTCAGAATCATTGGCTGGTTCTCCAGAGGCACCATCTTTCGGCTTACAGTCGAACGACACCGCAGTCGGCATCCTTTCTGGTCAGGATCTTCAGCCTTCGCAGGCAGAAAACTACACCATTAAAGAGACCGAGATGGACGCTGTCACAGAAGAAGAAAGGATCACCATGACCCTCTTGACCAACGATGTACCTGGCACCTGGCTAGGTATTACAACCCACGGCGATTTGGTGGCATTGACCAATTATCGAGAGACCATGGCATACATGGCTCAAACCCGGGGACCAAAGCTATCGAGAGGCAAAGTGTGTGGCGAGTACTTGATCACGATGGCGGCTGCGCACTTTGGCTCGAACTCGGATCTGTCCAAGAATGGCTCTCTAGCTGAGGATCGAGCCGAACAATGGATCAGGAAGCGGGGTGTGGGCTGGGAGGATGAATTTGAAGGGTTGAACTTATTGGTGGTACAGAATTCTGGAGACCAGCAATGCGTTGGCGGCAACCGAGAGGGATCCGGTCTATCTATCTTCAAGAAGAAACAGAACACTGCGAATGAAAATGAAGCGGCAGCGCGCAACAAGCGAGTGATTTCACCAGGATCTGTTGTCGGTGTGAGCAACTCTGTCTTTTCTCGACCATGGACCAAGGTCGAAATTGGTGTGGGGGCTCTGGAGAAAGTCTTGAACGACAGTCTGACATTGTTCGGTACCGGACGCCATGCCTCGTTTCAATCTCAATCCCGAGTGGATTCACAGCCAACATCTCCAGCAACACCGGGGCCCATCGTGGACGGCCAACCCTTGGACGATGACACCAAGGAATTGGCATGGTTAGTAGTCGAGATGTTGACACTCCTGCGTGTTAATACCAAACCTTATCCAAAGGAAGGATTGGAGCTTCTGAGCGCCTTGATGGGTCTCCGAGAGCGCGTCTTCATTCCCAGGATTACAATGGGCAGTGAGTACGGTACGAGGTCCAGCACGGTGGTTCTGTTTGGACGTGATAGTCGGCTTGCGGTGTATGTGGAGAAGATATGGTATGGTCCAATTGATGAGACTACGGGCGAGCGGGTCGAGTTTGCAGCCGACAGTGCTGAGGGATTGATATGGTGGCAGGGTTATGTGGGTCAGCCAAAGGAAGAATGGAAGTGCATCGAGGGGCAGGAACTCGAGAATTTAATCCGCATCGCCAAGGGCGTACAGCAGGTCAAAATGCACAGCTAAAATAAACAACTTGGAACATTTTCTCTCGACAGAGCAGCGTTGTCCGCATGTCGAAAAGACCAGTGGATCAAAAGTTGTAGGCATTCATCAACAAGGCCCTTTACTATGAGGGACCTCGTTATTTGACAAAAATTCGGCGTTCTGATTGGCCAGAAGCTTGTGACTGCCGATTATATGTTCTGATTGGTGGCAAAAACTTACTAGGGATAAACGGCACCGTAAAATGGGCTTCAAATCATGAATTTAAAGCGTCGTTATTGTTGATGTTGTTGTTTTGTCGACAAGCTTGGCCCTTTCATAGTCAAGAGGAGCGGGCCACTGCCCATTGCGGAGAAACTGCAACACAGCGTTGGACATATTCGTGGCAGCGTTGTGGTCCCGGTCGCGCTCCCACTTGCACTCGTCGCAGATTACCGACCGGCCCCGGACTCCCATCCGAAAGTGGCACGAACAGCAAAAAATCGACGTCCGGAACTCTGGAATCTTGACCAACTCGATCACCATTGGTGTCTTCTTGTTCCTTGCCAAGTCCTTAACGAGATCCCGAGTCTAGTAATGCCAGGAGAAGCCAAAATATTAGAATCATTCAATTGCCACTCGCTTCTCTCAGAAAAGTCTTCAATGCTTGCCTGTCGTATTAAGTTCCTGGTAAACTTACTGCCGCCGTGGCTCTGACCTTTCCAACCACGGAAATCACCATCACCTAGCCCGATCACGAGTGGCGACTGCAGAAAGGCATTACGCTTGTCGTCCGGCAGAGTATTCAAATTCAGAAATCCTCGTTCGAAGAGAGATCTGGCGATCTTCTTCCGACGCCTCGTCAACGACTTGGAATTTAGGAGCGTTTTGCGCTCAATCTCCGGTCGTTTATTTACCTCGTCCATGAGTCGCAGATATGGCGCCCAATCGTATTCTTTTACATTCGGCAATCCATCGAAAAATGCCATGGAACCCTTGATATCGTCATCAAGATGGTGGAGCACATCCGCGAGATCCTTATCTGATAGTTGCCGATCGGGGACATGCTTCCGCATCTGTAGGATCGCGGTTGTAGCCTTATCAAGGTCATGCCGCAGGGCCTCTCTATAGTCGTACTTGTCTTGCTTGAACCTAGCGCCGCCATAAAAGGATCGGAGAGTCGACGCCTTTTTTGCTACATTGACGAGATGGACCTTGACAGCAGACTCGTAGTCCTGTATCGCCTTTTCCACGGCCTTGGTAATCGGCGTTATTGTATCTTGGCTGCTGCTGGTGATCCCTGAATCACCTTCCATAATAACGTCCGAGTCACCAACAACCAACTTGGCTTCGACGGGCTTTTGTTGCACGAGCCTATCTTCGATTTCCGTTAACCCCGCATCGATCTTTATACGGCTCTGTTGTTTGCGGTATCTTCGGTCGATATCATCCCGTGGGCCGCGGGGGATGTTCAGGTTGATATTTTCCTTTTCATAGCTAGAGTGAATAAGGGTAGCAGTGGCGGTACTGGCAATCCCGGGGTCTACACAAAGACTCCGTATTCCAACCTCGTCGTTTGTATTTCGGAGGAGACTGTCGACCTTCTCTGGCTGTCAAATTTTTTGGATACATACGACCATCCTTGTATCATTGGCACGGTTGACCAGGGGAAGACTGTGTTGAAGACTGTGTTGGATGTTGGTACTGGGGGTGATATTGATGAAGCTGTTGTGGATTCAACGATTTCAGCATCCGTCATCGTGGTTGGAGGCTTTGATCGCCTACCCACCGTCAATTTGTATGCCATGACTCGTAGGTCATGACCGTTGGTCGAAAGGTTGCCAGTAAGTACATACTTTTGTCGCGGTTGCCCCGGTTTAGATTTGTCGATCTGCTCTTGGTATTTTTCCGGACGTTGAAGACTTTGGCGAATAAGATCCTTGAATTCGAGTTTGCTGCTTGCGTACCGGGGATCTTTTGCCTCCATTTTCTCCAGAGCTGTTCTTGCTTCTTTGATTGTGCTCACGTCGTCGGACTTGAAGACAACCTTGGTCTTGAGGCACTTTTGCTGGAGTGCGGATGGTGGATTGGGAGATGAGGAGGAGGAGGCAGGGCCACAGCTGCCATTGGCCCACAGCATGTTGGCTCCTCTACGGTAGCTCGTATTCTTGCCATTAAGGAAAAGGAAGAAGGACAATCGACCGACCTCGTCCTGTGTGTTCTTTTCAGCAGATGTCTTGGATCCAAAGACATCATCAAGTATTTTTGCAAGCGAGCATTGCTTTTCCTGCTCGGCACTACTTAATCGGCGTATTTTTTTGGCGATTGGTGTGAGCCTGTTGTTCCTTTGGTCCATTCTGAAATCTTTCAAAAGGCAGCAGACAAGCTGACGCTCCGTGAAGGAAAAGAAACCGTCCTCATAACCGATTTGTGGTAAGATTTTGATTTGAGCCTTCGCTGGCAAAATCAGATTCAGGATAAGGTGAATACTGACACAATCGTGCTCCCGCGACCGCCCTGTCGTATCGTCGATAGAGTCCAAAATGGCCTTCCCGTTCTCAGAAGAGGCCCAAGAGGGATTGTGCATTAATGCCTATAATGAGTAGTCAGAGTAGTGAGGCCAGTGTCCGCGTGCATGATTGAAACGAGATGGCTCTTATTAAGATGACTTACCCGCTTCTTAAGTTCCAATGAAAACTTGTAGAGATGGCCTCCTACCATATCGGACAGTGTTCTCGCACACTGGCTCATGAAGGAGCCTTCACAGAGGTCTCTATCCTTCAGTCGGAATGGTGGTGCCTGGCGTTGCAAGGTGATCTGTAAATACTCCTGAAAAATCTTGTCGGACGCCATTAATGCAGGTGAACTAGCCTTCTTGAGATCGGAATCGTCACTGTCCCATCTGATTAACCGATTCAAAAGCCGCTGAAAAAATGAATCTCGTTTACCCTTCAATAGGATATTGTTGAAGTGTTCCATTCTTTTGTCGCGATGCACTCGTCCTCGATCTTCGTCAATTGCTGGGAATGTTCCGAACGTTCTTGCTATGTAGAGATTGGTCACCAAAAGGCCCTCGCGTAGCAAATTAGTATGGACTCTTGCCATCGTCTGCATGGTCTCGAGGAGATGGTCCAATAAGAGGCTACGGTCCTGGTCATTCATGCAAGGGAACGACTCTTTGAGACTGTGAATAAGACACGACTCAATCCGACCAGGCCTCATTGCGCGCATTGGATGCAAAGATGCAACAGCGTCGACCATCAGGTTTGTTGGGTTGATCTTGCGGGGAACAGCGTTCTCGTTCAGTGGTACATCGGCATCACGAGCCTCCCTGGAGCTCTTGGTATATGTAATCTTCTTGAATGCCCTTTTCTTGGGACGTTCTGCATCGATAGGCTAGTCCTCAGCTTGTTGATCCCCTCGTAATCGCTTCCGTTACCAGAATTGTCGTCAGAGTTGTTGTCAGAGTTGTTGTCAGAGTTGTCGTCAGAGTTGTTGTCAGAGTTGTCTCCAGACTCATTTCCGTTCATTGTATTCTCTTCAGCTGAGACAGCAAGAGGAGCAAGGAGGTTCACCACTGCGGCATCATTCGAGATATCTGCATTGTCTGGGAATGTATCATGATCGTCGTCGTCGTCGTGATCTATGAGCACACTAGCCATGGATCCGGGCCGACCGATGGTCCGATCTTTCACGCTTACAGGCTGCGTGTTTTTGTCCTGACTTGTGAAGGCTGACGTGAAAGCCCTCGGACGGTATTTGTGGCCAGTGGTGTATCTTTGAAATCTGTTTTCCGCAGACGAAAGAGAGAGAGAGAGAGAGAGAGATAGTGTGTGTGTGTGGGTGAGGAAAAGATGAGAAGGAAGAACAAACGTTTAAATTTTAACGGCTAGGGGTTGCTCCATGTTAGGCTTTCCCGCCCCTTTAATGTCGTTGCAGCGGCCTACGGGCCTACATATGCCGCACACAGCCACATATCTCTAATTGCACAATCTCTAATTGCATACGCCCTTATTTGCACATGCCCTTTATTTGCACGCCCTCTTCACCTGCACGACTGCTCCTTTTTACCACTGCACTATTTTTGTCCAGGCTGCGCCCAAACCCGGCCGGCTCCTGAACGCTCTCCATCTCATCTATACCCCGTTCGCGCTCTCCATCTACATTTACCCCTAAGTATTAGTCAGCGCGGCACCGACCTAGGCCCCGCTTCTAGTATAAAAACGCGATGCCTACCATGAAGAATAAAGCGGTTCCGAACACCCAGAGAAAGACATACTACCTTTTGCGACTTGACTGAAGTTTATTTCACTTGCCCGTTTTCCCTCCTACCCTGACCTCTATCTACCTATCTAGCTACCTTACACCCCGCCCATCTACCTTACCCACCTTGCACTTATCTTGCCTACCCCATCCACCCCTTGCCTTCCCTATAAGCCTACCCTATCTTGCCCCGACTCCGATTACCCGTAACATCGTTGACAAAAATTAAAATGATTGTGTATCCAAAGCCCGTTGCATCGAAGACCGCCTGTTGCACTTGGCGATGTTCTCTCGTGTGCCACTCTATGATCTTAACCAGTGGGGGTACCCATCGTCCTTGATTCGGTCTACCCTGTTTTGAATCATTCGTGTCACCAAACACCGATACCCTGTATTTATCTTGACTTCGTTGTTATGTAAATGGGCTTATGATTCGAACATTTGATTTTCTGATATTCTACGGTGTGATTTGTACTGTTTCACTGCTCGCTCTGCAGCCTCCATTGGCAGTCCCTTCCTGTAAGTGTCTATATATCTAAATGCCTTCCAAGCATACCTTCGTATGGTTTCAATAGGCACCGAGTCCAGAGCCTCAGGGATGATTGACTGGAGACCTCGGAAGGAATAGTCGCAGTGCTTCCGGGTATAGCGCTTGCTTGCTCCCCAGTACATCTCTATGAAGTTGAGCTCACAATGAAATTTGGGATAGAAGACAATACGCTGTCCTTCCTCCCTTGCAATCTCCTCCAGTATCGAGCCCTGAGCAACAAAATCGGGCTACAGTTCTAGAATTCGTTCTACGCAACAGTCCACTCGATCAGGGTGTTTATCGTCAGCCCTACATCTCGAGCATGTTCTAGGGAGTCCATCAATCCAGAGACCTCGGTCCTTGAGAACCTCTTTCATTCCCTTGGGGTTTCCTCTTAACGCCTCGTTCGCGTAATTATCTGGAAAGACCATGGTGTAGTGGGTTCCATCTACAATGGTGTCCCGCATGACCGCTTGCTTTCCACCAGACGAAAGGTTCATCCTATTCACCACCAGTGCATCTTTGGCAACACAGTTGTGGTTTGATGAATTATCGAACGCCCAAAGTCCAATCAGATTCGGGTGGTTCCTCTTGTGTATAGTGATCGCTTTCTTGAACTGCCGAGCCATGTCTTCAGCGGTCCAGTAGCCATCGTGAATTTTCCCTGGGTTGATGATCTCTCGAGCACGTATCACCTCGCCATTGTCATCGATCGTCTTCAAAGGTCCCTCAAGTTCGGAAAGAAACTCACTGACCATGATGATGGACCGACCATGACCTTTCTTGCGCAACGGAAGTTGACCATCTGGATGCCAAAGCATAGAATTTCCTTCGTTCGAGTAGAAAATGCTCTCATCGTGAGTGTAAAACACTATCGCCTGTTCGCCTGCAGCCTAGAGCAAAGAGAAGTAATTTAGCGGTACGAATTAAATATCCATGAGTTACCTCCTAATCGCAACAAGCACTTACCAGAGTGGGCTCGATGATCTTTGTTTGATCGTTGGCGTCTACGGTTATCATCCTCTTCTCGTACTTCTCCATTCGTACAAGAAAAATCTCCCGATACTCTTTCACGTCAGGTCGCTCATGGCCATCGAAATATAGGCCCTTTTTTGCCTCTGAGTATATCCAGCCCAGCGCATGTAGCCACCGACCTGCTGTTGACTCGCTGATTGAGAATTCGATGCCATTTGGTGGGAGGAAGACGTTATTGATGTGCCGCCGGAGTATCGATGGCGTGATAGTGTATTTATGGTTCAACAATATCCAGGTTCTCAACTCGTTAAAGTTATCGCCCTCGGTTAGTTGGTTCCTGGTTTTGGCATGCTTCCCTCGACGCGACACAGTGATTTCCTCATTGTTCTCCCACTGAGTAGCCCATATCATGATCCTTCGTGAAAAGTGCACGCCTCTGCCAAAACCTTTCGCCGTAACCAGAGCTGCCTTAGTCTTGCTCACTCCTGGGACCAAGCGGCGTAGGTACTGCTGGAGTGCTTGCAAATTAAAGGCCTCGTCACTGAGGGGCGGATATTTCTTGTACTTGTTATCCAAGTAACCTTGAATTTCCAATACCATCCCTGCATTGCGGCGCACATCTACATTCCCGAAAGGTGATATTACATATATGTTAGTATTAATATATTAATAATTTATATTATAGGCACACAGTATCCAGTTATCATACCTGAAGGTTCAAATTCCTGGACAACTCTCTTCCGGCGAGGAGCTGTCAGTGTTGGCACAGTGAACCCAAATGTAGAGAGGGGAGGGGAGCTTACTGCTGCCCTTTTGAGGACCATCTTTCGGTGGTGCAAGTTTTGCCGAGTGGTTCCATCGTAAGGCTTTGTCGTCTTCACTGAAGCAGCTGCCAATCGCATACTCGTAAGGAGTTCATCCCATTCCTCGTTATTCCTGAGAGTTCTTCTGACTGCCTGCCAATCCTCGTCATCAGTGTCGTCTTCAGCAGGTCCATCACTGTCCGATTCCGCGAGAACAGCATTCCATTCCTCAATATCGCGACTTGACTCCTGTATCTCATAGCCCGCTTTCACAGGCACATAAATGACGTTCTCCTCCTGCTGTCCTTGGTAGACTGGGTCAAGAATAGGCGGGGGTGGTTTGGGTTTTTGCGCTATTCTTCTTAAATGCTGCGTGAGTTTCTTCACTCGAGGCATTCTAAACTTAGAGGAAAGGAATGCTGACGACGATGGAGTGATGATGAGAATCACGGAAAGGGTCGGTTGAATGGAAAATACACATGGACGCTCCAACATTAGGACTAAACGTCAATGGTGACTGCTGCGACCCAATTATTTGACAAAATCCAAAGACTGGCCTGTTGAGCCAGGCACGCGTTCTTCTCTTTTGCCTCACTCATTTCACGACCGATCCCATGGAACCGTCCTCGACAACACGCGCCAGGGCAGGGCTGCGTCGACCAGATTATGGACCGATGCAGCATCGTGTGCTTCGGAGGGTCCCAGCATCACCCACTGCCAAGAAGCGGAGGACCATCGTCGACGAGAATCTACTTGACGCATTCCACCAGGCACACATTGGAATCCAGCAGACAACAATTATCAGTACCGGTCCTGGAGGGCCTGAGAAGCCTTTGACAGAGTACTCGGACGGAAACACGCTAAATGAGGTTCAGACTCGGACAAGCATTGGTGGCGGTCGCCTATGGGCTGCCGAGGTACGTTCTCTGGCAACCTTGAGCAGACTCTGGACAGCGATACCACTTGATAAGGAGCCTTATTAACAGCACTCTCATAAACATGGTCGCTGAATAGCAGAGCACACCGAGTCAGCCATACATACCACAGACACCGAAGCGCGAATCCCACACGTTTATGATTGCACCAGGTTCAGGACGGAGGACGCCAAGGCGACGATCCAGATCCAGTAACCAGAACTTGAGAACGACCCCTCTCAAGGCCCTCGCGGATGCTAATCAGGCGCGCGTCAATAGACTGATATTGGAGGCGAATAAACGAGGGCGAGTAGGGCGCGACCAGCACTCACCCATGGGCATCCTCAGGACGCTAAGTAGAAGTATGTTGCACGGTCAACAAGAATCCGCATCGATTATCGTTGTATAGAGTGCAACAGCTCTATTCACCATCCCTACTTTCGTCTATCTTTTGCATGCTTCCAGTTCCAGGCTTCAACCCTCCGCCACGGCCAGCGCCGGACCGACAGCCTATCCCCGGAAGCTCTGATTGGAGAAAGCTGACACCAAAATCGCAGCGGACAAATCACATCCAAATGCCTGATGACCCTAATAACCCATTCACAAACTCTGCAGAACTGGCCCGACAGCATTATTCACATCCAAGATCAACATCAGGGCCGGACCGCAGCGTCATATCTTCGACTGAACGACGCGCGTACGAGAGATTCAGAGATCAGAACCCGTTTCTCGATTTGGACGACTTGAACAAGCTATGGGATGAGGAAATGAGAAGGCACGGCGACGTTGCCACAGGACGGAGCTCCTTCGGCATGGGATTTTCAGATCAACAGTTCGCGATGCTGGAGGATGAGGACACAAGGGATTTCAACGTCGTGCAAGGCGATCTTACAAACCCTTTCGACATCGGACCTGCGAAAATTATGGAACGGCCGCAGCATATCGATGACATTACAATTACATCGCAGCGTGGACTTGCAGAGAATCAATATGCTTTAGGACAAGTTCAGGATCAGTCACAGTATGTACGGACACATGGCATGGATGATCAGGACGGTTATTTGAGCTCGTCGATCGATCAAGCGTCATTATCATTGATGGCAGAGCAAAATCGTATCAGTTTAGCGTTATCTATGTCGCAACAAGTCAACATGGATGACGGCTGGGAGGACATTCCAGATGATGAGAATGCAGAAAATGAAGATCAAGGCGACCTTGAGCGGCAGCAACAGTTGCAGGAGGAGAATGCTCATGCTGAGGTTCTCGAATTAGATTTGACAAGGGAGGACCGAATACGCACGGACGAGTCTATGGAGGAAGGGATCCAAGCCCCTGAGGAGATAGAGGGGAATGAGGTCTCCATGGAAGCAGGAGAAGCAGAGGAGAATGAGAACGCTGACGACCTGACTTTGGCAGACGAGGGTTTAAGCACGTACGGCCCAGCTCTGGCAGAGACGAGTATGAACGTAGACGTCCTGAATTTGTTAGACGAGGACCTCAACCCAGATGACCTGGCTCTAGCAGAGACCGACGTGAATGCAGACGGCCTGAATTTGCTGGACGAGGAATCCAACGCAGATGATATGGCTATGGCAGGAGAGCGCATGGACGAGGATGACGATGCCTTGGCAGAGGAGGGGCCAAACGCAGATGACCAAACATCGCCAGAGGAGATTATGGACGAAGAGGGCCAATTAATAACGGAGAATGGCCGAAATGCAGGCGAAAATATAACCAGTGCAGACGGTGAGATTGCTATCGAGGATCCAAATGGGCGGGATACAGTCTGGGTTGATGAGGGCCAGCCAGAGTACGAAGACGGATACATGAACGTGAACGATGAGGAACACATCGAGCAGCTGGAACACGAGAGGCAACAGGGTCAGTCCAGCGTGCAGTACTTTGACGACTTCCCGAGCGAGCTAGGGATTATGTCGAACGGAAGCGTGCTCCCGACAAGCGCCCCAGCTCCCAAAAGGGTTCAAAGGTCAGTTCAGCACGGACCAATACGACTGTCTCTCCTTGCGATGATTTGGATGAAAAGAAATGCTGACGACGTTTTACCATCAAATGCGTAATAGGTTGTCTAAGGTGGGTGTTCCAGTACCCTCCCTCCCTGCCACTCTCCAAAAAAACCTCATCCATACATTTTCGAGATCGAGAATATCGCGTGAAGCTATGGAGGTCATCCAGGAAGGGTATGCCAACGCCTGTTTTTGCTGCTCAATATCGGGAGATCTTTTATGCAAGAGCAGTTTACTAACTTAACAACTCTCGTTTCTCATTTGACAATTTACATAGCTCGCACCAATTCTTGGAGCAGGTGGCGGGCGATCTAGCCGCCTATGCAGCGCATGCTGGCAGAAGGACGATCGACGGTTCTGATGTCGAGTGCTTAATGCAAAGGTACAAGAAGGGATCATGATGGTTTGGATATTCCGAGAAGTTCATATTGAACGATATTTGGTCAACTCACACAAATTCGCTTCAATTGTTTCGTTCACTTTATTCACTCTTGCCTTGGCAGGTTAAGGATCACGAATAACAAGGTGTCGATTGAGTCGCTACTGCAGCGCTATCTCCCGCGCGAGCTCCGCGACAAAGTCCTTTACCCCGAAGACCTACAGCGATTCCGCAGGCAATGATCTTTCATCCCCATGCTACCCTACCCTCACCTACTACGCATGTGCTTTGTTTGCTGCTCATATGTTGCACTATATACCAATCTATTCTCTTTTGTAATTTTGGCGTTTCCAGCAGTTCGTATGCTATTGCTGTTGAGCTCAATGTATCATCATCCTTCACTAATAAAATGAAATTGCTGCTTTTTGCATACATGTCATGTTGTACTATATGAAAATGGTTGCGGAGACCCATAATTCTCACAGGGGCACACGCGGAAGCATTAGCGGCAACAAACAGTGCCAGCCATCGACAGGTTACTGGAGTGTGCGGAGCTAGTTGATCGGAAGGAGCGTGGGTAGGAGAAGATCTTCGATGGCCGTAACCACATCGAGGAGATAGAAATGGAGCATGCAAAACATGAGCAAATGCATTTGTTGCTATAGTAGATGCTTTATGCAGGATGGAGGAATGCAAAACAGTATGAAAAACAATGCGAGAGATATTGGACATGCCGATGCTGCACCGTTTAATCCAAATGCGTAACACCCTGTCCCTTCTTCAGGTTCTTCATGACCTTCTCCTGTCGTGTCTTTTCGTTCGCAAACGCGGCCTTGGTCGCCTTCTTAGTCTCACGCCGCTCCCGCTTCTCCTGCTTGATCGCCTCTTTCCTTGCCTTCTTTTCTTCCTTTGTCTCGGCCTTGTTGCGCTTCGTTCCCAGGTTCTCAGGCTCTTCCTCTTCTTCTTCCTCAGACTCCTCCTCGTCATCACTGTTCTGCTCGCCATTCTCCGCAGCACGAGCAGCGGCCTCTGCCTCTGCAACTTCTTTCCTGCGCTGGAGCGCCTTCTTTGAGAGCTTTTCTGTAACGATTGGCATGCCTGTCTTTGGGTCGATCTGTATCCTGCGGCGATGCTGCTCCTTGATCATGCCAGGGTGGTTCTCCAAATTGGAGTATGTACCTATTTAAAAATAAGGATAAAGTAAGAAAAAAACGCATTAGTAAGCTGTAAACTACGATGTCAATATTTGCTCGCCTTCAACTCGGAAGAGCAAGACGAGGCGACAACTTACTGAGAATGGTCTGAACATCCCAGTTGTCTCGCATCCTTTCAGCTCGACTCCGGAAATCCGTCTGTAGCTCTGTGGCCATATCCTCGTCCAAGTTCTTCTTTGGCCGCCTCGTACCCCCGACTGTCGTTGCGACTGACTTCTCCTCCTCGCCCTCGTCAACCAAGAGTGCGTTACGGATAGTAGACAGCTTGTTCTCCGAAGTTGCGCCCTCTAACCGGGGAACCATCTTCGATCCCACGATCTCAAACTTGTCCAAAAAGTCATCTAGGATCGAATCAAAATCCTTGCGCAACTCCTCCGCCTTGAAATCCCGTGGCTCATCCTCATCGTCCTCATCCGACGAATCCTCCTCGTATTCACGCTCGATCTTGTCGAATCGCTCGTCTAGAAGCGTCAGGTTCTCGTTACGGAACATGGCAGATGAAGACATGGAAAAGGTTGAAGCGGAGGCCCCAGCGGGACGACGTGAGGATCTGGAGGTTTGGCTATATCCGTCGTCGGATCCCTCAAATGACTCGTTGTCTGAGGCGTACTTTTGTGCCTTTTTAAATTTTTTGAAATCAGCCTCCCATCCATCAGCGCCCTCTTCTTCCTCATCCTCATCATTGTACTCGTCGCCCTCGCCATCACCAAAATCAAAATCATTGCCATCTTCGTCCAACTGGTCAAAGAACGACTCGTCCAGCTCTCCGTCCACAAACGCCTCGTCTTCCAAAGCCTCCAGTGTCTCTCGAATATCAAAGGGCATGTCCGGTTGCAAACCCATGGGCACAGCACTCTGATAAACATCCGCGAAATCCAGCTCCTCTCTCGAAGGAAGGACCTCTGATGGTAGATTCAAAGCCTTCTTATTGGCGGATTTGCTGGTTGAGGTTTGGGATTGTTCCACGGTGGCCATCTCCTGTGCAGCGTCTACGTCTGTGAACTGGATTCCGCGTGACTGAGCAGCCTTCTTCTGTTGAGCGGCAACTTTGGGGGCGGCCATGAAGACGGCGTCCGAAGTCTTGCCGATTTCCCTCATGTGCTGTGTGTAGTCGTATGAGCCGTCGTTGAAATCGTCGCCGACAAGTCCCAACAATGCTGCTTCACCGATTTTTCTGCATAGTAAAAAGTTATGTGCATTAAATAAAAGAACATGTTAGTAGGCGGCCTTCGAGTACAGAGGTGTATGTTCCCTATTCATTGTCATCCCGGCAGGGAAACGGCGAGCATGACTCTCCTACTTACTCTTCATTCTTTCCAGTTGTGGACTTCTTTTTCTTAGCGGCTGTAAGGGTCGGCGCCTCAAGCAGCTCGACTTCCTCGTTCGCACGGTCGTAAGTGCCATAGTTGACACCATCATCGTCGCCTCGTCCACCAAAGATATCCTGATCATCATCCGAAAAGTCGTCGTGTTCCTCGCGAGGGATATTGACCTTGCCAATTAGGTTGGCAGGGATAACCTCCTTGAGCACTCGCTGGGGTGCAGACTCGTCGCGAGAAAGAGGGTCTCGCTGGGAGCGGTGGACTAGATGGAAGTGGCGGGCGTTCTTCCTGTCGATAAACTGTTTTTTACCCATGATGAAGGCGATATATGAAAGTGTTTTGCTGCTTTGTCTGCTGTTTCCTGTGCGGCTCTGTGTTGATGTCGATGAGGAAGGTTGTTGGTTGGTTGAAACGTCCGATGCAAAGATGGACGAGAATTGCCAGAGAAGGAGTGGAGACTGAACAGTGCCTGAACAAAGGTTGGCTTCGGTGGACGAACTTTTTTTTTTTTTTTGTGGCTTGAAATAACAACATTGGATGTTTGATAAAGTTGGTGGCGAAAGTAAGGTTTATTCGCGACGCGCACGTTTCACAACACCAGCGTCTGTTCTCCCACGACCTTTCTTGGACCCTCTTGTGGCAGTACAGGGGAGCTGCCTCGGTTCTCGACCAAGGGGAGCCATGCCATCTGAGGCCGATACCCCAGAGTCTTGGCATTGCTCCACTGTTGCACCCAGTCCGGGACATAGTTAAAAATGACATGTCGCAGGAGTCGCTCTGTCCATGTCTACAAAACGATAAAGAGACATTACTGTCAGGATTCCTTGGGCTTCGAATCTGTATGTCCTCCCCGCAACCGGTTCTCATATGTTTGTTTATGGGTTTGCCTGATGTTTTACCTGGCCTGCTGTAATCTTGGACATTGCATTACTGCGCTCGATTTCCATAGCAGCGCGATGGAATCGTTGCTGGCAGTAGCTTTTAAAAGCGGAGTTAATGCTGTCCGGGGGTTTGTCAGGCATGCTGAACAAGCAATTGGCAAGTACAACTACATCCTGCAATGCATTCACTGCGCCTATTGAGAGAAGAACAACGCGGTTAGAGAAGCTGTCCAATCACCCTCGATGTTCATAAAAGTACTTAGATCCATACCCACGCCGGCACCAGGAAGCATCTACAATGTGAAGAATAATAGCACACAGTGGTGCGAGCATGATGAGTATGCATGAACGACACGAAAGTAAGAGTTCGACAGCCTCTACTTACCTTGTGGCATGCTATAGATGATTCATAATGAGGTGTCTCATAAAAGCCTATCAGTAAACAGCACTATAGGAGCATCGATAACTGTGCGCACACGAATACAGGCGCAGTTCATACGCACCATCACCGATAAATACCGTTCGACTATGGAACCACGTCTTGAACATCTTTTGTTCGAGAAAGACCTTCGAGATCATATCCTTGGGCGTCGCATCAAAGATTTCAGCCATATTGCTTCCCCATGGACATGGCTTGTCTCGATACAGGTCCAGCATGGTATCGTTTGCATGAGGACCCCATTCCGAGTTTCGGACCTGATGCTCTTCTGCCTCGGCCTCTGAGAGTTGGATGCTGACGAACCAGCAGACTTGATTGTCCGCAATACTACCAACACCCCACTAGTGTTATGAAGAGAAAACGAGAGCCGAGAGGCTCATGAGATTCCTGGGAAGTTCGATAAACATTCTCACAATATTGCGTGCAGTATCGCCCGGGATTTCACCTACGCTGCTACTGTCATTTCTCAGCATATGCGAAAAATGCGAAAACTCATCCTTCAACTGAGGATACTTGTCAGGACTCTGAGGGCCAGCGACCCCAACCATTGTGACATAGCCGATAGACATGCGCTCCGGGTCTTCCTTGGGCAGAAGTCCCATCTTGTCCAACTGATCGTACAAACTGCGTCGCACACCGCTGTACGCACCATCAGCTCCAACGAGAATGTCGCCCTCGTATACCGTATCGTCCGAGCAATGGATGAACACCTTGCCGTCTTTTTCCTCCATACGATCGACCTTTTTGTTCAGGCTGTTCTTGTTCGCAGGAACCTGCTTTCGGAAGAGCTCATACAGTCTTGGCCTAGCGAAAATCCGACTATCATATCCTGTACTATATATGAATATTGAAAGACGACACCATGCCCAATGGTTAAGGATCACCTCTTGAACTGAAAAGAAAGAGCAATGAACATTCTGCAACATACACGGGTTTTCGGCTCTTGAGGTCCATGATCCCAAGTTTCTTCCTGTCGATTCTGTAGAAATCCACCCCTAGGCAAGGCAGCGATAGCTTTTCGAATTCCTCCAGCAAACCGAGCTGTTCAAACACCGGGATGATGTTCGCGCCCATAGTCATAACGGAGCTGTTTCAGAGCACAAAGTCAAGTTGTCAGTAGGAGTTCCCGTGGTAAACCGTGGCCCCAAGATTAGCATATGAAAGATTAAGCTGGTAGCGCTTACCCAAGAGCCCGCAGTTCCGACGCTCGCTCATAGATATGATACGGGATATTGGTGCGTTCTAGAAGAATTGCTAGCAGAAGGCCTCCAAGACCAGCTCCAGCTATCAGTACCTTGGGCAGGGTTTCTTATTTTGCATCTTCGCCTGACATATCTTTGATATCGTGGAGAAATGGCTGAGGAAGACAGAGTAGTGAATGAGTTCGAATTAATGATGAAAGGTGAATGTCGATGACATTCTGATGGAGCGAGGGCAACACGGCGGTTACACTCATGCATAATCGTTGGCCGCAAGAAGATATTGGATGCACTTTGTTTATTACATGACTGTACAAGCTGCACTATCAACGCACAGCAGCCCTTGTCTCGTGCAACTAAACAATGTGCGCCTTCTTCTCAAGAGGCCGTCTTACACCCTCCTGTGGAAGCACCTTTCCAGTGCCACGGTTTTCCGCCAGGGGCAACCAGCTGATTTGAGGACGATACTCGAATGTCTTCATGAAGCTCAATTGCGTGAGATAATTGGGCATGTAATTCAGCACCATATTGCGAAACATCCTGTCTGACCAGGACTATCCAATATATAAAAAAAGGGTACACAGTTGTCAGCTGTCGATACAAAGACCTCCAGCTCATTTCTCCTCTGCGAGTTGCAATCCTGTCCGCTTACTTGGCCGCTGATGGTCTTGGTCATGTTGCTGCTGCGCTCAAACTGCAGCTCTGTGCGAATGAAGCGTTGCTTATAGTACTCTTGAAATGCGCCCGCGATACTGCTCGCGCTTGCATCGGGCATGTTGTATATGCAATTCGCAAGCACGACGGCATCAAACATTGCATTCACCGCTCCTACAAAGATATAAAGTATGTCGCGCCATCAGTATTTCTATTACACAGACAAGAGTAGGGCTTTTTTCCCTATTATCTCACCTTGACCGGCGCCCGGAAGCATCTGTTTCAGTAATCAATGAAAATAAAAGAATAAAAGGTGTTAGCGACAGCTTGATAGGGTCAAGGTATAGAAAATGTATCTGTCCTTCCCATTAGTATTTACCTTGTGGCAGGCTGAAGGGCATTCCCATGCGATGGAGATAGGAAATAGATTGTTTAGCCTTTGGCTGCATATCGTAGACATAGGGCAGCATAGACTCTCAAAACCACTTACCATCACCAATAAGAACCGTCCGTGAGTGGTACCACGTCTTGAAGAGCTTCTCCTCGAGGAACACCTTCGAAATCAAGTCCTTGGGTGTCGCATCGAAGACGTCGCCCATCTTGCCCCCCCAGGGACAAGGTTCCTCATAGAACTCCTTGAGCATGGCATCGTTCGCTTCAGGACCCCACTCGGAATTGCGGAATGCCTGGTCCTTGGCCTCTGCAGCCGATAGCTGGGAGCTGAGCACGAAGCAGATTTGATTGCCGGGCACACTGAATACACCCCACTAAAGAAATAAAAGAACGCCATCAGTCCTCATGTCGATGCAGAAAAAGTTGGCCTACAAACATTTAACACTATCCAGCGATGTGATCCAGCCCACTTACACTACGAGCATCAGGTCCGAGAACTTGTGAGTAGTGAGAAAAGTTGTCCTTCAGTTGCGGATACTTTTCTGGATTCGGCGGGTTAGCGACACCGACCATGCTTACAAATCCAACCGAAAGGCTTTCAAGGTCACTCTTGGGAAGGATGCCCTTCTCATTCATCTTCTTGTACAGATTTTGGCGTACCCCGCTATAGGCACCGTCTGCTCCGACAAGGATATCTCCCTCATAACTGGTGTTGTCAGAGCAATGAATGATAACCCTGCCTTCCTTTTCTTCGAAGCGGAGTACCTTTTTGGCGATGCTGACCTTGTTGACAGGGATCCGCTTCAGCATGAGGTCGTAAAGCTGTGGCCTTGCAAACAGCAAGTTCTCGTTTCCGGAACTAGCATGTAGAAAATAAAACGAAACGAAACACGAGATACGATCAATGGGATGTTACAAAGCGAGCTAATGTTTGTGGCCGAGTCAGTGTATGTAGCCGAGACATTTTGTGGACGCTCTGAACTTACGCTGCTTTATGCGACGACAGATCGATTGCACCAATCTTCTTCATGTCGCTGCTATACATATCTAGGGACCAACAGGGCAGCGAGAACTTATTGATCTCCTCCATCAGACCCAGCTGCTCAAAGACAGGAATGATGTTCGGGCCAATAGTCATAACAGATCTTTTGATAAGAATGTAAATCGCGTGAGATTTCTCCTGTAAACAACCACCCACCAGACAAATACGAAAGAAATGTCTCGTTACCCAAGAGCGCGCAGCTTGGTGGCCCGTTCAAAGATATGGTAAGGAACACCGATTTGCTCCAGCAGGTTGCCCAGCATGAGGCCACCGAGGCCGCCTCCGACGATCAGCACGCTTGGGACAGGTTTTGGTCCAAGGCCTGTTGCTGACATTTAGCGATATGCGAACTATGGGATTGTTGAGAACAAAAGAGAGAGGAGGGGGGAAGGGGAGGAGGAAGGAGGAGGAGGAGAAAGACGGAAGGGATGGCGATCCTGAGATGCAGATGAGAGAAATGTTACAGATGAGAGAGGAGTTGCAATGAGGGCTATGGAGCCGATACGTGGCATATATCCCGACTGACTGCAGACAACCTATTCTTTCCTTCCCAAATGTCTACGAGGAATAGACTGCATGCAATGTATGCACGACTATCCCTCAGCTAGTGTCGGGAACACAACATAAAACGTGCCTCTGCAGATCGCATCCCGCTGTCGACAGCAGCACCCTCATTTGAGATGTCCTATTTTATGTTTATTTTTGCTGTTGTTTTCCTAACACATGCATGTGTGGATGCATGCATGTTAATGAAAACTTCACGGCCAAAGCATGAGAGAACGATCAGTGTGTTCTTATGTTTGTGGAGATACACACCCCGAACTTCGGTTTTCCGTGAGTGTCATGGAAATCAGGGACCTGCGCTCGATACAGACTTTAATAGACGTAGAGTGTAGACCATGGACAGTACTTCAGGGTTCGTTATATCCATGTCCATGGAAGCGAAATGCTAGCGTAAAAACATATTCGCCTCCTAACTATCCCGCAGAAATAAATAAATAAAAAAAGAATGAGAGCGTTGCCTGTTGCTTACGGGACCGGTGCAGCAATACAACACTGTTGGACATGTTGAACAGGCAGTCTGTGAATTGTAGTATACTGAAGGATAGTCTAAACGAAAAAACATTATCGATGATAACGTACACCCTCCTCGCTAGCTGTGCATGGACACCATCTCAGTACTAAAATGAATTGAGATGCTTACTTGCCGCAAGAAAGCTTCACACCCTTCCCACTGTGTCGATTCTCAGCTTGCGATTTATGGTTTTCAAAAAAGAAATCATTTACCAAGGCTGCGCAATAGACTCCAAACCAAAGGAAGTTTCCCGAACAGAAGCCTGCCTCCTTTCTTCCCATCCACACCCCTCCACACCCCTCCACCCACCTTCACTCTGCTACAAAACAACTCGCTGAGAGCGGGACGCACCGACCCGGACGACATTAACGCCTATTCCGGCGAGAATGCGCGCCAGCGCTTACTTTCACTGACCGTGGTATGAATCTCCGTCTATAACTCTGATAATATGCCCGCTGACATCGTTCCGCCGCCAACAGACCGCAGACCAAGTTTAACTATGCGAAGTAATTAAGGTTACTAAGGCACCGCAACTACGCTAAACAGATGAGCACACGTTGAAAAAAGCTGCTGCTCATACCAAGTACATCCCACTCTGGTAGGTTCCTCATCAGCGGAAAGCAGGCGCGGCATTAACGGCGCTAGTCAAAAAGGCAGCTTTATACTTTGCACTAAATAGTGTCCAAAGCTCATGTGCATGTGAGATATAGGATACTACTACACATGGCTTTTGTTTCAACACTCGGACCCTACATACAACCATAGCAGTGTAAGAAATGCAATGCGACATTAAACGCGCATTTCGGCTCTCAAAGGTCACTCAACCATTGATATCGAACTACTCAGCAGGTTGTTTTCACGGCGCCATAAATGCACACAAACACGACAGCATAGCTACGGGGGATAATGTCATCCCATCGTTCATCAGCAAACGACGTGTAAGGCGTATTCGAATATATTCAGGCCAAGATGAGATCTTACACCCCCATCAGCTCGAAAGGCTGAATAAAGAGATAGAGTTCCATGAGCGAAATAAACCATTAAGAAGACTTGCAAAGCTGATAACCTTGCAACTGTTAACTCCAAAAACATATCTGTCTTAATGGATGCCCTATCGACGAAAGCGGATATTGCTCAGGCCACATTACTGTGTGAGCATGTCGGGGTACTTGTGTGTGCAAAGGCATGGCATGTCGAGTGCTGCTTTTTTTGCACTTCAGCCTAAGCGGCAACCGCCTCTCCAAGGTAGCAGCCGATATGAAGGTATGGCGCCAGATTCATTCTCCACATACTCACCTGCTTATCTGTCGAGGACCCTGCGGCTCGCAAATCCATTAATGAGACGCTTTTACACAGAGTACCTATCCATATCTGCGAACGATACCTATCCGCGTAATCGATTGAAGCATAAGGGTCGATAGTCTGCTCATTTTACATAAAATCGGTCCTTGTTATGTGTCTACAATCGGTATCCGCTGCAGTGTCCGCATGCATTTGCGCAAGGGAGAAAGAGTTCATGAACAAGTATGTGCAACATGGAGAGGAGGCGGTCCGGGAGGTTTGAGACCGTATGGCCCCCAATCGCTAGATGATGGCGTACCGGCACCTTTGGGCCTATGGCGCTTATTTCATCTGTAAATACACAGAACAAATAGATCGATGACCATGGCCATGACAAAGGCTAAATCTAACGACGTTGCTTAAGAACCATGCACGGCTCCAGCTGACGTTGCGGTATGGCTGACGCTTGTGTCTAAGCATGACATCGGTCTTCATGCGCTCTCCTATCAAGGAGGTCTCCCAAGCACAATTTATCCGAATCGAGGCAGGTTTCCTCTGCATCAGTCTGAAGCAGATGTGGATACACTCTCTTGGGCTTGTCGAATATTAACTCAAAAGGGGGCAGCCCTATCACGCTTTTTTTCTCTCCTGCTAACAGATAAAGTCCCCTCATTCATGTCGCGTCCATTTCACGCTCAGTACGGGTCCACTTCGCGCCCTTTAAATATATTGTTTATAAAAGAAGTCTGACTATAGTGTCTAATAAACTAACTACCTGTTCTGGTACGTCTCCTCCTTCTACTACCGTTGCTGTCTCTCCCGATGTGCTGTCATACTTTTTGAAGCTGATATTGAGCCAGCATCACGCCTTCCTATCCTTCAGGCATGTGCTGAAAACAGCAGTCAGTCCTCGCCAAAGCCCATCGCTCCCACTTCTCAGCCCTCTCCCTCTTGAGCGACGTGAAAGACCTCCTCCTTCAGATACTCCACACTATTTACGCCGGAATCTTCGCGAATGGTCTATTGATGCTACATTCTCTAAAGCAGGCAGCGGCTAACATTCACTCAGCTTTTTGTCTATTCATTTGTCAAGGAAACGTTTTGCCGATGCTATGGATGAGCTCGAATCCACTGAAGAGTTCTATCTGAAAATGTTCAGAACACTGGTTGACGCGTCAAGTCGGCGAAGACGCGTCGATCATGATGGGCAAGGGCTGATGGCTCTGCGATACAGCACATGTACTGGATAAGTGCGAGTATAACCGCTGGTTGTCGATGCAAGCCATGGCTGTGCAAACCTAAGGTGAAGAGAGGGATAGAAGACTCTTTCAGAGCGATATCTATGTTCTAGGGACAGCTGTGCTAAAAAGCCTGAAGGAGCATTCCCATTCTAGGCCATGCTAGGCTGCAGGGACATGACGTACTGTTCCTAATAGCTGTTTGCGCAATATGGCGACAAAAGAAAAGGAAACAGAGAAAGGAAACGAAGACAAAGACGAAAGAAACAACATGGCGATGCGTCCAAAGCAACAAGCTCCGCACCGCTCTCGTTAGCACTGCTGGCATCTGTGTATTTGTTATGTGTGATAACTGTTTATTTGCATTCAAGTCGTCCTTATTCGGCCGTTTTATTCAATCGCCCTGCTCAGCCATCCCGCTCGATCGCCCTGAGCGCGTCCCGCTGCCGTTCCAGTGCCATCCCAGCGCCATCCCAGCGTCATCCCAGCGCCATCCCAGCGTCATCCCAGCGTCATCCCAACGCCACTCTGGTGTCGTCGTACTCTCATCCGGCGCCGTTCAGTGCCGTCCGGTGCGCATCGTGCTCGCGTTGTTGTGTTTGCAGCCATAAAGAGAGAGAACATGCAAAAGAGGAAAGAATTTGCTAGCTCTGCAGACGCAACTTGTCAACATCACACAGCTTGTGAAGACATGCCAACTTCCACAACCCATCCCTCTTGTTTTGCCTTGGGGAACTGAGAATCAGCAGAACAGAAAGAAACGAGAAACAAACTACATAGAAAAGGACAGCGAGCTACCCATCCGGTTTCAAACATCCGTATTTCCATCTTGGCGCTCAAGGAGCACACAAGAACATGATGTGGGAACGGAAAGAAGAACAACAGTGTAGAAAATTGTGCAAATATAGGATGCCGCTCGCTGTGAAAATATCCCAACCGGTATTGCGTTTGCCATCTACCCAGTGTGCTGCGCCGTATGGGCTCAAAAGAAGACCCCAGCACACTATACTCATGAGCAGAAGGAGTGGTGCGCTTGCATGCTGTACATGAAGCAACAAGGGGTAGTGCATTACCAGAGTGGGCGTGTGTCGTTGTGTCACTAAATGGAGCACTCGGGGGGTCATTGTTGGATCGTGGCTCTAAGGCCCTACCCTCACCCCGCACACATTAAATGATGTGCGACATGCCTAATGCTTCATCCTCCACAGCGTGAGGAATCCACATGTAGTTCAGTGGTAGGACCCGTCGCACTGCGCCTGGCTGCCGTTGTGCTGCAACAAATCTTCTTCAAGCCGACACACACGAAATGGCACTGATACTAGCTGCCATACTCTATGCATTTATAAAGCACACCCACGTATACACGTGAAAAGGGGTGGAATAAAGGTGCTCTGGGGTCCCCCGCCTTAATGACAAAGCTCAACAAGTGAGAGGGGAGTGGGTTGTGTGCAAGGGAAGGTAGAGTGGACGCGTCTTGCCTACCTTGTGAGGGTTTGTTGTGGGAGTAGAGATGAGAGAAGTGCTGCTCTGTCAAGGGACAAAAGGAAGGAGAGGAAGGAGAGGAAGGGCAGGGTAGGGTATGACCGAGCAAGGCCAGCTGGTCAGTGGACGAGAAACAGAGGTGGAGTGCGTGCCAGGAGGTGCAGTGGCAGTAGAAGTGGGTGCGGCGGGTGCAGTGGTGGCAGAAGTGGCTGTGGCTGTGGCTGTGGTTGTGGTTGTGGCTGTGGTTGTGGCTGTGGCTGTGTTGCCAGCTGGCGGGGAAGGAAAAGAGGAGGAGCTTTGTAGTTCTGATTGCTTACCGCGCTGGTCTACTTACTGTGGTGATCTTGTCCGCTGCGCGCAAGATAGTGAAGAGTGCAGAAGAGAGTGAATAGTGCAGAAGGGATAGTGGGAGGTGGGAGGTGTGAGGAGTGGAGAAGAAAAGAGAAGAAAAGAGAAGAAAAGAGAAGAAAAGAGAAGAAAAGAGAAGGAAAGAGAAGAGAAGAAGAAAAGAGCTGTGTAGTCAACAAAGATTTGGGGCACGTGCGGTGGCTGTGTCTGTAGTTGGTGGCAAACCCTGCAGGTATCCCACGCTCTTATTCCCTCTCTCACTAAGCGGCTCGGTAAAGGTAACGTGAGAGTGCTAATCACAATCGCGCGGAGAACCCTCAGCCGAATGCATGGGGACACTTCGAGGGTCATTTATCTGTGGGTTGGGCCTAAGCAGTGCCAGCGCGTGGTTACGAGGTGATAGGAGGTGCACTCATGTACGCTGTGTGCTCATGTCTGTTGCGTAGGTGGGAATAGAGTTTAATATCTGTTTTTCCTTGTAATGCGTACTTTGTTTGAGCATCCTACTCAACCTTTACTATTTATTCTAGTGACTGACAGATCGAAGGAGCACCAGAAACTTCGGACGATATGGTAGATCGGGTGGTCGCTACTTTATCATCTAGTTATAGTGTCACCCCCACGACTGATACTGTCAAAGTATCGCTACCATTGCCATGGATGATATTTTATGTGCTTTTGTAGAAAGGCAGCATGTGTCCTGCTCTCACGCGTTTTCTGGGTAGCATTTGTCCATTGGTCACTCTTTAGGCCTAAGTACAGGGGCCCACCTTTTTTAAGCTATCGAGCCTTTAAACGTTCCATTTGTATGGCAGTAAGAGAATAATGTGGTTCCTCGATGAATAGTGCCTTCGTCTGGCTGTTGTTCTCTCGCTAAATGCAAAATATCTCACCGAAGATATATTTCGTTGTATTTGATTTTCCGTAGATTGTAACACAGTTTAGCAAAGCGAGTAAACAACAGCAGCCGCTTCCTGTTTATGAATAGACCATTGACTGAAAAAATGCCTGTTGACTCTTCCAGAGCACTACGGGTTGTCTGCGAAAGGTCCGGTTCGTGAAGCGGCGTGTTTCATGGTGAATAAACTTCTTCAGTATCCTTAGTATCATGCTTTGTATGCCACTCGGTCTCGCTCCACGCACTCTGACTACTCTGCAGCCATGGACTCTGAACATTCTCAGACCAGCTGTCGAAATGTTGTCCTTGATTATCCCATCCTTCCTCCTGCTGGCACTCTACCAGCGACAAATGCTTTTCGTTGTATGGTTCCGTCTCGTATTGATCGTCATCGTTGTATTCGTTGCAATCACTACCCGTAGGATCCAATGTGTCGTGTAACGCATATCTCCGCGCATCCCGTTCATCCCATTCCTTCCAAAATGCGCTCTCCTCATCGTACCGTATCTTGTCCTCCGCGACATCCAAGCGCACCAGTGAACTCGTTCCCAGGATTCGAATAAATTCAGACCGCCGCTTACACCGTTGCCGTACATCCAAGGAACCCCAAAGGTCCTCCAGATCGAGAACGCCAAGCTCAATTTCCGATTCTGGAGTGCTTTCCTTGTTGTCCTTGGCTTCAGTCGCCCCGGAATCCTGAACCTGTCCGTTTTGCATACAACCATTTATCCAGTAATCGTCGTAGTAGTCATCCTCTGTGCGCTCGAGTGGCGGCCTTGGGCGGATACGCGCGATTTTGTCGTGAAGAAACTCCAGAGCCTCCTCATCCGTATGCACGGTCTCGTAGGTCGGGTAATCGATCCTCGAGAACAGATTGTAGAACTCTTGTGTCCCTGATTTTGTTGTTTCTGCCGTTTCTGCTATGGTTGCCGATGTTGCTGTAGGTGATGGGGAATCGTCTCGCGTTAGAATCGCAAACTGCGTACAGCATCCGACTGCAGGATCGCCATGCGAGAGCATCCCTACTCCTGTGAATGAAACGTTGTAATGGCATTCTTTGGCTGCCTGCTTGCACCTATCAAGTCATGAAGGAAGAGGCCATCAAGGCATAGGTCAGTAAAAATCGCCGTGGTTAATTATCTTGAGCTGACAATTGGTACCGATACGCGAAGCACCGTACCAATCTTCAAATTCCTGACGCGTCCATTCGAATCGATGGTCATCGTTACGGAACACTGCCTCGGGTGTGCCGTATTTGAGCTGTGGAAAGTACACGTTGAACTCTGCATTGGGAGTGGAAACGATGACTAGCTTTGGCCTTAGTTTACCAAGCACGACGCCCCAGAACTGTTCCAGCACGTCAGGATCCAAATGTTCCACCCTGGTTACACACGGTTCATGAACAGGAGACAACATTTAGTATTTCTCAACCAACCATAAAGAGGGGCCAATCGAAAACCAGGTAGCATTGAAAGGGTGACATTACACCTCAAGACACGCTAGGGCATCGAATCCGATCATTCGGCTATCTGCTTGTGCGACAGATCCATGGTATATTTCGATCGCCAACTTGTTCACTCGTAGGTTCGATCCGAGCTCATAATCCTGCGGTTGGCATGCATCAGTCGCGAGGGTAAGTCGACTCTCATCCATATCCACCCCGGAGAGGCGTGTAATCGGATGCTCGCCGCTCGACTCCCAGATCAAAAAAGACATCAGTGCAGCCTCACCGCATCCAAAGTCAATGACCTGTACGACGCAAGTCGATGTATTGAGTGTAATGACATTCAACGGTTATTTTCTCGCTATCTCAAGCCTGCGGAAGAAATGTTGGCGTACTGTGGAAGAAAAAACAAACAGCAAGGTCCTTACAGATGTCGCATGGTGCTCGTCAATGATACGCCGAGCAAGGTTTCGTCGCTGTTGCCATAGTGGCGGGAAAAACAGAATCTCCTGCGCACTCTCCCCTTGCTCCTCCAAGCTTTCTTCTGACAAACCGGCTGACATTGCGATGGCTGATCAAGGGTTGGTGATGTGATGAGAGGAATGTCGCTGAAAAAAAAAGGTACCACATCAAACAAGCTCTCAAATGTTGGTAAAATAGCAAAAAGAATTCGCGTCAACAGCAGGATTTGAACCTGCGCGGGAGAACCCATGAGATTTCTAGTCTCACGCCTTAACCGCTCGGCCATGTTGACCTTTTTCGGTGTACTTTTAAGAATTATAAGTATCAATTATTATATTCTCTAAGTGCACATTCTATAGTTGCACATTCTATAATTGCACGATCTTCAACTAGGCCCGATGGCTCAGTTAGCATACTGGTCAGGGCACCTCCCTTGTAACGCGAAGGGACCAGGTTCGAGCCCTGGTTAAAGCACAGTAATATGTGCTACGCATAGAAATTTATTTGGAGCATGAGTTGGGCGTACTACCCCACTTCAGTTATGTGGGTTTCCTTTCCCCGGCGACCCCCACATTGAGTGGCACTACCCCATGTACTCGTTGTGGGTTTCCTTTCCCCTTCCTTAACGCTTGACAAAATGCTCAGAATAAATTTCGCCCTTGCGCTAGCCTCCGGACTTCGAGAGGCGCTGGTTCAGAACTTCCCAGCTATACACCAGGGTGTACAAGTTATTCCACTGCACTGGCAGCATGCGTCTTAGCTACCCCTGCCGGGGTTACAGGTATAAGTTCAAAAGTGAGTAGGCCCACTTTATAATAGGCTAATCTGAGCTCACATCCAGTGACCTCAGGTGGAGGAAAGACGGGACGAGGAGGTGGAGGAAATGTTACAATAGTAGAGGATTCGGCTCGCAAGCCAGTAGAACGGATTCCGTGCTCTCAAGAAACCAAGACCATCTCCCAGATGTACAGGTTACAATTGGAGAGATGGTCTTGGCAGATTAGCAGGTGAGGAGCCTGCCAGCTAGCCGAGCGGATCGCAGGAGAAAGACCTCGGGACGCTTAGGGAGGTTACAGTGAAGTTGTTGGAGATGGTGCGACTGCCACACTAGAAGATTTAGGGCCAGATAGACACAAGTCTCAGAGACTATTCACTAGGAAACCAGCACTGATTGTTCTCTCTCGGAGGCCATGTTGAATAAAAAAAAAAAAAAAAAAATTGCACGATCTTCAACTGTCCACAAGGCGATCTGGCGCGAATTTCTCTGATTTGAAAGGGAGACGGTTACTTGCAACGGAGATCCAGGAAGGTAGACGGACCGCGGATTATAGGGTGCTACAGCATTGCTTGGGGCGAGGGAAGTTGGACATAATGGAGGGGTTATTCGGTTTAAAAACAACTTTATTAACATTGGATCTGGATTAGGAGACGTGTATCGCGCAACAGGTCACGCAGGAGTTAGGTTAGGCTAGCTATGCGACATGGGTTATGAATTTGACGCCTCAAGCCAACATAGTTGGTAGGGGATGCGGCTCTGCCGTGCATGGAAGGCATCTATGGCTTCAAGGCCTTTGCGGACCATGCGTCTTGTGCTCATGGGGATTTATGTTAATAAAAAAAAAAAAAAAAAAAAAAGGCGATCTGGCGCGAAGGGCTACAGCAGATTGATAAGTGGGGACGAGCTGCAACGACCGCATACAACAAGAACAGCAAGAAGCAGCAAGAGCGTGATAGGATCCGCGCTGGAGCCGCCGCTGCTGCACCGAAACCCATTCGATGGGTTTGTCCTAACAACGAGACCCACATCCGAGGTCTACCCTGTATTGCCGGGACCCGATCAATGCTCAAAGGCGACGAGTATTATGACCGCTCTCCGGATCTGACCTGGAGCATCAGCGATTTATGCCGTGGCATCACACCCGTCAGCCTTATCAAGGAGTGGGGCAGCCTATTTACCTCGCCATCGTCGATTGCGCGCCAGGTCATTCACAAGTTCGTCGGCTTTATTGAGGAGAAAGCTACGGAGCTGATCTGGAAACCACGCTGCAAGGCCATCATTGCTCGAGAGCGAGAATGGGGGATCACAGCCAAGATGAAACGAACTCCATGCAAGGGACCGAGAGGGGACTGGAGTGATGGGTATGGATACATTAGCGACGATGACCAATGTCCGTGTGGTGCATTACTCGCTGACCATGTAAACGGGAGCTGCCCTGGCCCCATGCTTGACCCAGACGCAGCGGACCGGACGCTGCTGGATTGTCTGCAAGGGAGGAGGCGGTTGACAACTATGGAGGGGATGGGGAAGATACCCTTCTTGTAACAAGGTGTTTTCAGCTTTTAACACACTGATGAGGTGTGGCAATTGCTGCGCAGGCCCTAGGGGCAGGCCCGGGGAATGTGACCTGTCAACTGGCGACTGTGGATCGTACTTTGATGGAAAGGACGACTGCAGAGATCATTGCTAGTTAGGTCTGACAGATTTGCAGAGTCAATTTGTTATATAAAAAAAAAAAAAAGATTGGTGGCATGCATGTCTCCTTTTGAGATACTTCGCCCATTCTGCGTCCACCCTCTCTGCATCCTGTTTGTGTTAGCGCCGCACCTGTTCAGTTTTATTCCTTCCCGCTTTATGGTTCTTTTCCTGGTTGCTTCTCTTTTGTTGTATCCGCCCTAAGCGCGCATATACAGTGGCAGATCTAAAAAGCAGGACCAATCTGTTTGTAATAAAACTAATTCTCGGTTCCTGGTTCCTGTTTGCCACCCGCGCGATTCTAATGTTGTAGATTTGATTTCTCGATTCAGTTGTTGCTGAGACCCCTTGCGCAGTTAGTGTCGAATCCCGTTTATTTGTAATTAGTTCGTACTTTTGGGTGCTATCCTACTGTTTCTCTCTGCCGCCTTGCCTTCGTACCCTCCTTTCCTTGCTCCACCCTAGTTCACCCATAACTTTTTTCAAACCTTTCTAAAGTCCTAGGTCCACGGAAGCGTATTGATCCAGAGTGAAGAGGAATGGTCTTGTCTTTTTTTTCCGGCCCTTAGAAGGAGGCTGGTTCTTAAAAACAGCGCCAATTCTCATAGCCTCTTTCATTAAGAAGAGATATAAACGCCGACATTCTGATAGCAATCAAAGTAAACTCAAAGTTTGCAATCCGAAAGGCCAGCCCTGTTTTGCTTTATTCTGTCTGTAGAAGAAAAAAAAGGTATCCCCGCATCTACGTCCCGTCCTGCCACAGCTCCGCAATCAATCTCCGCACTCATACGACTTCTTCCACTTTCGTCAAATGGCCCTTCAGATATTTGTTCATTGAGAACGAGCTGACCCTGTCCTCTCCAAATAATGCCTTCAATTTCGCGTCGCAAAGGATCATGCGCCCATCTACAAGGTCGTTTGAAAAAGAAAAAAAAAAAAAAAAAAAAAGTTAGCGTGAAATCCAAATTTCAGACTTTGAGCGAAACGGAGAGATGAAATTGCTCGGTCGATAATTCCTACCCTTTGGGTCCTGCAGTGAATGTTCTCTTATGTAGGTCCACAGATGCTTGACAACAGTGGGACGAGCCATCTAAACGATAAAAAAGCAAGAGGAAGAGAGAAAAAAGGCCGAATTAGCATCTGCAGAGGCCCTCCGTTCGTATTTTGTTGTCTTTGGATTCTGTCATTCTGCTCTTACCTCTACTTTGCCGGAAGGTCCTGTCGTGCCATGCTTTCCAACGACATCCATCAGCTGGTCACTGATGACAAGAGGTTTCATAAAGCCTACCTGCTTGACCGTTCCATCTTCATTCAAAGGCTGCTTTCTCTTGGGCTTGTCTTCATCCTTCTTCTTGTCCTTTTTGGTGGACGATGTTGAGCTCTTGGAGGTCTTTGCTTTTGGCTTAGCCTTCGCTTTTGTCGTTGACTTCGTCTTTGCCTTGGTCTTTGTGGATGATTTCTTGGAGGAGGAGGATGTTTTTGCCTTTTTGGAGGCGCTTCCCTTGTCTTCATCCACAGAAGAATACGACGAATCAGAGGCGTTACCATCGTCGCCGTCTTCTTCCTCATCCTCATCTTCGGATTCCATTTTGATGGGAGCGGGAGCCGGCGCAGATTTTGGCGGCACATAAGACGTTGGCGGCAGGGCGAATCCACCGAATGAGAGTTGCTGTGGTTGTTGGTGTTGTGGTTGCTTAACACCGTTTGATCCAGTAGTATGACCATCATTCAATACCGAGCGATCGATCTATTTGGAACCATCAAAGTTCACAAGCACAATGTGTCAATGAGATGAATATACACCGAATTCAACTTGGAGGCATTCCCAGATGGTAATATAAACGTATTCAAGTAGAAAGAGAACACTCAAAGGACGTACTTCGTCACTGATCTTCTCATATATCTCCATCACAAGCTCGTCAAATTCACGCTTCACATCAGCCAGACTGGTGCCAGTGAGGGTCTCGATCTGCTTGCGGATGCCGCGTGCGGACACTGTTGAAATATCGGCCTGGCGGATGAGCTCTATGGCCAACAAAGAGTGCAGGAATAAAACGTCAATGACTTTGGTTAGAAAACGTTCTTTGAAAGAGAGCATACTTAAGACTCAAGCTTAATCAGTCTAGGAATGTCAATGTGTAGGGTTGAAATGCAGATCAAGTCCACAATGGCTACTCAATGCTCGTTTATTTTCGAAAGAATTGACAAATGGTGCGATGGGAAAGGTGTGAGTGGAAGTTGGCTGTTTGGTGACAAGTGGATGTGTACGATGCTTTTCTTGTTCCGATGCATGAGGTGGTTACCTGCCACCTTGGCGCGGTACACTTCCACGCCTGACATATTGAGTGTGTTTTGCTGGTGGGTTGCCCTAGACGGATACAAGGACCAAAGTGGGTCGTGATGCTGTGTGCGTCGAGTGCAAATGTCAAGGAGCAAAAAAGTCCAGAAACAAAAGAGGCACTTACCATTGGGCGCAAATGTGCCTTGTGTGGCTCAAAAGATTTCACACTTGCACACACACATACAACGCATCGCCATCCCTGGGCTAAGCAACTTGTTAAAAAGCATCATAGTCGACAGCTGGCATCGGCATTTGATCCGCTATCCCTTTGCTTGCATGACAGTTGCTGATACGTTCGCTTACCCCTGACGATGTTTGCCTCTCTCTTTTGCACCTGCAATACCGTCGACTGTATCAGCGCCCTGGATCGTCAATCCGCTAATTCTCAGCAGCGACACATTCATGATGTCGAAGGCCTATAGTCGATGCTCTGCATTCTCTTTCATAAAAAGCGACCTGTGCTCAATCCCTTGGAGCGACAGTTCATTGAAGTCATATCGCAATTGCCCTTCACTTCAATCTGCACGTGTAATTGGACCCCACCCTGCTTACGATGGCTTCCGCTCTTTCCGAGGCGCTGTTTCGGTATGGCTGCCTCTATCAAGAAGCTATGAGAAACGGCTTGCGGACAGAATTTATAGACACTGTTCGCTACGCTTGCGCATCTGGCGAGTCTCTTTTGGCCGGGACAACTGCGGAAAAAGGGTCATCTAAGGACCATAAAACACCTCCGGCCACAGCGCGCTTGTCTGTTTTTAACTTGGTAGCTTTGATACTGGCTAATATGTTCGAAGGCAAAATGCAGAGTATGCTATGGTTCATTGGAAGGGGCGGATCAAATGATTTCTTGATAAATAAAGGGATCCATGATCGGCGCAACGAGGCCTGCTTTGTACAATGTTAGAAAGTCATCCTTTGTGCTTAATGCACGCCTTTTCTTTAAATACCTGGCGATTCAGCGAGGAGAGGGTTTGGACATAAAAATAGCACTCGTGTTTTCCAATGAGTGAAATATATTCTTTAATAATTCCTACACAGAAAAGGCGGTGATACCATGGGATACGTCTCCTTCGGTTTTGCGCTCTAGTGAGATCGCCGGACAAGTTTTAGTATTTTGGACCCAATTGCATTCCCAGAGATATCTACCGCCGTACAATACAAGATGGTGTCACGATCAAGAAATTAACAGCCCTCCACCGCCGTTAGCCTCATTGGCTGTCCCTGTTGTACCCCGTTTTTTCATTCATGTCCTTCATGCCGTATCCCTTTGAAAAGAAGCGTATTGCTGCTGCGTGCATCATAACGAACGCTTGTATGGGCATTTCTGCGAGCCTCCCTCCCTCCTGCAATCCTGTATTTCCTTCACAGTTAAAGATGTGCAGCACATTTGCATATGGCAATATATTAGCTAACAATGGTCTCGTCTGTCCCGCCCCTTCTATCGCCGTGATTTATCCGTTTGTTGGTTTGACAAAAGACCTGGTCTGTATTTGTAAATGTAGTATTTTTTGGTATGGCCAATCTTCCATGACGCATGTCTAACTCGGAATCGGCCCTAGAGAGAAATAAAATTTTGTTTGATCCCATTTCCCTCTTTTCTTCTTTCTCTTTTCCCTCTCTTCCGCATCCCCCAACCTACCCTTCAGGAGCCCTCGACTTACCGCAAGATCGCAGGATAGCAAGGCGCAAGGCGTTCAAGACAGAACTAGTCCGTATATACATCTGCCGGCCAAGACATCGACGATTACTGGAGAAACAGCACACAAAGCGGAGCATTCGTCTTAAGAAGAGAGGCATTCTCACGGCCAAGTAAACAAGGAGACGTTGCTGAGCTAACGTATCGTGAACAGGAAGGATGCTTTTCGTTGCATCGACGGTCCAAAACCTCTCAGACCAAACCGGAACTCAATTGGACGGGTACAACTCCAAGGATTGCTTTCTGCCTCCTGTAGAGCCTGCATCGCCTTTTCCAGCCTTATTCAAGCAGCCAGAACAGCCACTACAATTAGAGGAGCGGGCGCAGTACGGTATGGCTGAAGCGAAGGGACCTCAAACGTTAAACGTTGACGACCTAATGTCTTGTCAGGAGATTATGTCTTCGCCGTCGTCATCGTTGCCTACGGCTCAATCAAGGTGTGGGGAACAGGATACGGTGCAGTCTAATCAAGTACCAGCCCAAAATGGTGTACAGAGAAACGAACGTTTCGTTCACTCATCGACACAAAAAGCTATTGAGGAGACAAAGCAAGAGCCGTATGATGGATGCTTAATGGAAGCAAATGATACCGAGGCGGAGCAAACATCGGCCCTATTGCGCCTCTTAGACTCCCCCGACTTTGAAGCTGCTGCATCGGCCTCGAAACCCAAGCGAAACCGTGAGCGGGCTTCTCTAGGGATCCCGCCCTCGACGTCCTCGTTATCAGGGAGCATCTCAGTGTCTTCAGCAGCCAGCCCATCACGATTATCATCGAAACCGACGACGAGACAGATGTCGCTGCGCGGGGCGCGGAAAAGGCTCTCAGTTTTGCCTGGGTCCAGTCCAAGTGCCTCTTTGCCGTCTCCCTTTGTGCCTCAGCCTGTACAGCCAGTTACGTCTCACACGGCTATTAACAACTCCAGTGGAACTATACCCAGCAAAATCGCTTCTGTTTCGTCAGCACCTACACCATTCAGAGGAAGCACAGGACCAGGTCATATGGGGGATCGACCTCAACGCGGCCCTACCCAAGATTACGGAGCAATGTCATCATATTCGCCTTCAGGCCAGTCTCGGTCATCGTCTGCCTCTCTGGAGCAGGAGAAAATGACGGATATTGTCCAGTCGAGACGGCGACGGCGGAAGACGGATGATGACGACGGATACGGAGCGACGCATTCTCAGACTGCTCAAGGACGCGCAACTTCACGGCAGGGATCCGCAGCGGCACCAGGAGATGCAGATAGTAGTAACAAGCGAACTAGGAGCCCAAGTGCGGACGTAGTCAAAAAGATCAAGGTCCAGGACCAGCGAGACGGATACCTTTCTCGTCGCAAAAAAATGCCTTCTGATGGTCCACGCGAGTAAGCAACGTGCGACTGGACTGTGGTTAACAAATGCAGATGTATAAGCCATTGTCAGGGAATTTGGAGCCGCCGGTTTCTAATTTTGTCGCAATAACTGTCTTTTTCTATGCTGCTTTCAGAGAAAAGAAGCATGTGATCCCCAAAGGCTTATTCTCCGTTACAGGAGATGAATATGCACTCAAGGTACAACGCAAGCGCCTTTTTTTTTTTTTTTTTTTTTTTTTTTGGCAGTGGTGATAATGAATCGAGCCTTTCGAGGCGGTATTAACTGTTAGGATACTGCGCTTTCCGAATGTATTAGCATAACAATGACTATTGCGAGAGTTGTATGGGGCTAGGCGAATTTATTTGCTGCGACTCTTGTCCGAGGGCCTTTCATTTCTCCTGTTGTCAGCCTCCCATGGACCCACAAAATCTCCCGGACGAGTGGAACTGCAACGAATGCCGAGCAGTGTTGGTGAGTGAGAGTTTTATCCACGATGACCTGGGTCTGCACAACAATTGTTTGCCACCAACCGAACATTATTTTTTCGCCTTCTTATTACCACTGTAGATTCCTCCAGAGCCCAATCCTCCTGGGATCTTTCAGCGCTTGCTGGACGCCGTTGACCGCATGAATCCAAGGGCCTTTTCTCTTCCATCTGAGATACGAACCTTCTTCAGAGGAGGTACGGCCTTTGTGGTTGATTCCCATTTGAACTCTATCCTCGCGCTGTACCACTGTTCTCAGCTGCCCTAACCTTTTTTATTTTTTATTTTTTATTCACTGCCTTTGTCTATGTTCCCTGCTTTTGCAGTGGAGACCAACAGCGATGGTGAATACGTCGACATGTTGGATTACAAGCCCTCAGAGACGACATCGGGGTCAGGGTCACATGTCTCGTCTGTAGTAGAGGACCCGCTTCAACTACGCGATAAACATGGAGGCATTCGGATATGTTTCCACTGCAACAAGAGTGCCTGGGGCGGTCGAATGATGATTAGTTGCGAGCATTGTCCGCTGCATTGGCACCTTGACTGCCTCAATCCGCCGCTGGCGTCCCGCCCGCCGACGACGCGCAAGTGGATGTGCCCAAACCACGTTGATCATGTCCTGGTGAGTATGAAAAAAAAAAAAAAGCGGAGGTCTAGATGTTTGAGCCCGTGTATCTGCTTTATGTCGTCATTGTTTACGAGATCAAAGCGCTTTCCTCAAACTGCACCTGCTGACAACGATAACTCGCCACTGTGTGTAACCGTTTTGATGAACGTAGCCCAGACGGCGGAAACGGAGAAATGCTCTCCCTGTGGAAGTCGTAGACCCATTTGCGCCCAACGATGGTGATATCGAGATCATTGAGGAGGCGCCTCCACAGCCCAGGGTAACAAAGGTCAAGTCTACACTGATTCATGATCCTACAGGGGCTGTCTACCGCATACCGGAAAAGAGCATTCGACTGAGCTTTGTGGAGAAGTGTCGAAGGTATGGTTCTCCAGTCCTAGAAGATATTTTTATGAGAAGGGGAAAATGAAATCTCCGGGTTTTCTAATATATGTTTTTTCGTCCCTTGGTTCCTGGTTCTCGTTTTCTGTTAGATTGCAAATGCAAGCGATACATGATAGACCGACAAGAGATCCTCCAGGAGGTGTGTCGCGCAACTTTGAAATCTTGGTTGCAGCTGTTATGGCGTGTGAGGGCATAGAATCCGAAATAGGCCATACGGACAAGGAGGGGGAGAAGAGCAAGGAGGAGGAAGATGAAGATGAAGAAGGAGGGATAGCAGCGGAGAATGTGTCTTACGAGAGGATGCAGGATGCAGTGCTGGCCCAGATAGGCGATCCAGAGGAACGGGATGCATATATACGGTTTCGAGCGTTACAGCGGGCTGTATGTGAGAAAGGGCTAGATGAGAGCGCCGTAGAATGGTCGCGAGTGCTACAGCAGCACCAACAACAGAACCAACAACAGAACCAACAACAGATGCAAGGGAAGCAGCGGCTACCTTAAGAAGGAATTGAATGTGCGCTGATATTTCATGGAACTAGCGCGTGGGTAAGAAGACAAGACCCATCATATTCATGTACAGTATCGTAAATATATATGGTTGGTTCTACAATGCAAGATCCCAGCTCACCATCCAGGAACAGAGGCAGGCTGCATGGAGAAACATAAAATTCAGGCACACGCACTAGCGCCATTTCCTTCGAGACTTAGTCCGATCTGGGGCACTAAATCGAGAAAACTTTCGAGGGAATGGGGAGCCAATTTGGACCTTGTTTTTCTTTTGGGTGTACATCCGCAAAATGGCCAACCCCTTGAGATTGTCGTGGTCGAAAGCAGACCATGTTATGTGTATCCACATTCTCACTAGATTAGCACAACGACAACGACGCGGACAAAAAACAACTTCATCATCGCGCATACGCAATAATTTGTTTTTTGTTCTTCGCACCTTCGTGGCAAGGTTTGCGATAGATACACATGTAAGAGAGAAAGGTCGCGATGGGGGTTATGGTTAAGTGTCCGCCTAGTTTCCTTCGTTTCCCATGCCTTTCTATTCGATTGGGTCGTCCCATGCTGTAGTCTAGCATAAGCAATAGAAGAAGGCATAGGCAGTTTTTTTTTATTGTATATAGGGCCTCGGCTCTTTCGCATTTCAAAAAAAGAGAGGGAAAAGGGAAAGGGAGGGGGGGGACTAGTAAAAGGAGGGACATGGATATCGATGGAAACGGACATGTACAGCAACGATGCACTCGGATGATGCAGTTTCAGATGTGTGTTCAAATAGACTTCAGGATGTGAAAGCAACGATGCACTGCACAGACATTATAAGAAGGGAAGAGCATGGAAGGGAAACAGCAGCATTGATTGAGATATGTAATAATATACCGCGCCGTAACAATGCGTTCATAGGGGAAGACAAGACAAGAAAGAAGGCGAAAATGTGGCCGATGGTCCTGGCCAACCTGGTTGGATATGCCAATCCTGCTTTGTTGTTCGAGCGAGGTGAGCTGAATGAGCTGGGTGTGAGTTGAGCGAGCGATTGGCTTGTTTCCTTCCCCAAGTCGCAGCCCTCTTCTCTTTCTCTCTTTCTCTCTTTCTCTCTCTTTTCTTTCCTTCCTTTGTTTCTTCTGTTTCTTCCTTTTCTATTTTTTTTTCTTCAGTTGTTTACTTGCTCCGGTGAAGCGTGCGCCTATTTCGTTTATTATTTCATAAAAATCCTTCCAGAGTTGTCACCCAATCGCATTCTCACACCCTCTCTCACTCTTCCCAACTTGTTCACATCGGTCTTTTTCTTTGCTCTCCTTCCTTCTCTCCTCTACCTCTTCTCTCTCTCTTTTTTTTTTTTTTTACTCCTCTTCGCCCAACCCATATCTCCTTCCTCCCTTCCTTCCCTTCTCCTCCCTGTCTTTCCTTCCTGCCCTCAATTGCATCGTTGCATTGAACCGTTGCGTGCTGTGTGCCTGTGTGTGCCTGTGTATGTGAGAAAGTCCAATCGGCTTTTGCGCGCGTGCTGGTTGTATCCATCCACAAGCACGATTATTACATTTTATCCTTCTCCCCCGTCCTGCTTAGTTCATAACACAACCGACCTATCACCTCTATATCAAATTGCCGATATGCCAGACTCAACACCGCCAACCGAGATACTCTCGCACCAAAGATCCTCCTTCACCATCACCAACCGGGAGGAGCAACAATCACTTTCTCATTCACAGCACTCTCATCCTCTCAACTCCTCATCTCACCAACAGCAACAGCAACAGCTAACATCTCCCTCGCGAACTCCTTCACCCGCCCCTGTGCACTCACCCATACTCTCCCCCTCCCACTCTCCCTCTCCTTCTACAACGTACCAGCAGCAACCATCACACCAATATCAGCACCAGCACCAATACAACCATCCACCCACCCGTTCAAATAGTCAATCAGCCCCTTCTCAGGAACACCTTCAACGAGCACTTCACCAGCAACAGCAGCACCAGCAGCAGCTCATCGACCTTATCTCTGACTCGGACTATGACTCCGATACCACCATGGCCATGATCACTACTGCCCTACTCGAGTCTCAGCACTCGATCCACCCTCCCCTTCTACAGCCTCAGCAGAGTTTTCTTCGTCAACATACCTTCGACATGGCAAGGTTCTTGGATTTCACAGTCGAGGCTTCAGTCTTGCTCGAGACGTTGCACCAGAACGGACTTATCCATGGCCAGCTCAGCCCGACCTCCTTTCGCTGGGAGGAGTCATCTTCTCTGAAGGCATTCAACAGCAGCAATACCAGCGGCACCAGTAATACTAGCAACAGTAATGGCAATGGCGTCAGTTCCCCTCCTCTTTCATCTTCGACTTTTACCACTCCTCCCTCAGCCATCAGAGCAAATTCAGACCAGAGCCTTTCAGCCTTCCCTCCGTCGCCTTCACCCAGGCATAGTTTCCAGGGTCACCCAAGTCGCAAAGAGAACCATACCAGTCCCAGTCAATTGACGCTCGACAGGGCAGGTTCAATCGCAAAAACCAGTGCAACGATCAGCAATAGCTCCAGTAGTACGGGTACAGGTACCAGTACCGGCAATAGCAACAGCAGCAGTTGCAATAATAACACCAAACCAGCGCACAGAAGCAGGCGATATTCTCTTGTCTTAGACTGTACTCATCTTGGCCTAGGCGAAAAGAGCACAGAGCCAGTAGACAGCCCGGCAAAAAAAGGTCTTCGAGACCACGCAGCAGCCGCCAACGTTGCCAACGGCCATGGCCATGGATCACCCTCGACGACTCTAGGCATCACTTTATCCAGTACAGTACCCATTGCCTTGGATGCCGATGGTAGCGGCAGCAATACTAGCGGCAGCATCGGATCTCTCCTAGACCCTGCACTGTTCTCACCGCACGACCTCAACTTGCAGCCCTACAGCAGCGGCAGCAATGGTGTCCTGCACGATACAATTTCATCGCGCATGGCACGTATCAAGAGGTCGCTCCTGTCCTCGTCTGCATCGTCACCAGCCATCAGCCAGTCGGCGTCGTCTGCATCTCCTGCGTCGTCGTCGGCTACGTCGGCTGGTTCTACCGCGTCAGGAGTATCCGGATCATCACAGCCCTTGGTGATCAAACAACATTTTCTATTGCATGTACCACAGGTAAGCCATCTGTGATGTCTTTGCCCCTTTCGTGATCTCCAGTCAAATGCATTCGGTCGTCTTCACGTCGATAGTGCCTGTTTATGCATCCGTCTCTGTTCTCGGTCATCACGCATCACTGTTTTTCCTTTGGGTAGTGTTTGCACGCACTTTTTTTCTTTTTTCCTTTTTCTGCATACCCAGGCATGAGATGGCGGACCAAATTGATTTGAAGAAAAAAGCTCTTGATTGGGGATATTGGGATACTACTTGGTTTATCTAAAAGAGGAGAGGGTAAGGGGGCAGAGACAGGGCAGGGCAGGGCAGGACAGGACAGGGCAGGACAGGGCAGGACAGGGCAGGGCAGCCTATTCACATTTGGATCAGACAACGGGTTTATCATGCTTCTCTGGGTGGATAAGTAGCTGGGTACAAGCATAGTCTACAGCTGTAGTCTTGTGTACATCTCCAACGACATGTCTACTCTCTACTCCTGATGGATGCATTGGGTTGTGTATCCAACACAAAGACGTCTCCTCATTCTGTTTACGCACGGAAGAGAGTGAGATGAGTGAATCTCGATCTTGTATAAATGTTTGACTTGAGTCCATGAATAAACACAAACGGTGGTCCTGGTCCTGGTCCTAGTCCTAATCCTAATCCTAATCCTACTCCTAGTCCTAGTCCTCCATTCTGTCCACTCCATTTTGAAGAACTATGATGGTTATTGACTGACAGCCTTCTTTTTATCGTGTCCCGATTAACCCTACAGGAGTTGCACTCACCACCTGGATGCGTACTACCTGTCCAGATCGACATCTACTCTCTCGGTAAGGCATCTTTATTTCTCTGCATTGCTTTGTCTGCGCTATCTCTGTTTTGGCTGTCTGCTGTCCTACTCCCGTACTTTCCTACTTGTCTGCTTGTCCGCTTGTTTGGCTAGCTGTCTGGGTGTAACACGTTTGCTCGCGCCCTTATCCATTCTCCATCCCCTCTTCCATTGGGCGAGGGGTTGGGGGTGGAGGTCCAAACAAAAGTAAAAATCGAACGTGGGTCCTCTGTCCAACTAAACGCTGTATTAATTTCGCATGATCACTTGTTTGTTCTTCTTTTTCTTTGTTGTACAGGTGTCATGTTCTACTACCTTTGGGCATCGTACTCCGCATTCCAGCCTGAGGTGTTGACTCAAGGAGCTATCGCAGAGGGATTGAACTCATTTGCATCTGGAAATGGCTCAGCAGCAGTGGGTAGAATCGCCTGCCATGCAGCCACCCCTGCACGCCTAGCCAATGTCATCCATCGAATGGTAGCAAAGGCATGACCATGCACTGTCATGCAATGCACGCTTTTTAGCCTGCTTGGTATGCTATTCCGTACATATTTATACAGAAAATCACTATTAACGGGATTTTTTTTTTTTTATGTGCGGCTGTTCCTCAAACCAATGAAACAGAGTTCCAAGGATAGGTTCCTGAGTATCTCTCAAGTGCGGAAGGAATTGAGTGTCATTCGAGATCAGGAGCAGGAGGCGCTGAAGAAGGAAACAGAGTCGAAGGTGAGCAAACGCGATGGACAAGCATGGCCTTCTGTCGGTCTTATCATATCTGTCTGATATGTATCTATCTGTATGTGCTTTTGTATTGTAAAGTACGAAATGGCGCTTTTCTGATGTCCCTTATCTTCTTTCTCTTTACATTTGCTGCTCTTAATAGGCATCCGCCAAAGCTGCATACGAATCTAAGGCAGGATCAAGTCCGTCTGCCACTAAACCAGCTCAACTGTCGACACCACCATCTGCACACGGCCCCACAATGGCGCGACCAGCATCTCCCGCCAATTCAACCCATTCCTTAAAGTCGACATCCACACTCACTAGCCAGGATTTGGATGCCAGTTCACTTGCGACAAAGCGTTCTGGATCAAGTGCTGGTTCTTCTGAGGGATTATCATCCGAGGACCGCGTCTTTGTTCTCGAATCAGTCCTGTCGTTGACCCATATCACAGACCTTCAAGAGTTGCTTCGTGCGGTCTCTCATGCCCTGGACAATGTTCTCGTGGGTCATCCACCAGAGGAGATGGCTATCATTTTATGGCAAAAGGACGATCGCTCACCGAACGGTGGAGCCTGGGCGATCATGGAGGACAAATACCAACCTGGAAGCACGCAACCGACTCTTACGTGGACGGATCTCTCAGAAAGACGGGACCATATGCCAGTGCTGGTACGCAAGGCCCTCGATACTCAGGAACCCATTTTCTCGACAGTTGTCGGCAGCCGATCTCAGCTTCCCACCATCGCCTGTGTCCCGATCATGAGTACTCAGCCTGGTGTTACGGCTCTTGCCGGGGCAATCTATCTGCACCATCTACACCCTCGGTTCTATTTCACGAAGCGGGATCAGGACATGCTGATGTTGTTTTGTCAAAAGCTGGCGATTCCGCTGCAGCATTGCGAGAGTTTTAGAATATTGTCGAAGCAGGTGACTTTGGCGACACAACGAAACCGCGTTCTTGAGGATACCATTACCAAGATCCAAAAGGTAATTCAATTCGACAGAAAAGAACAAATCACGGACTTGAGACTGGACTCTTGTTTTCCACTGCTGGTTTTAATTATCGATACTGACTTCTCATCGTCCATTTTTAGAATGAGCACGAGGTCTTTTCGTGGATGGAGGCACTGCCATGCTTTGTTTGGGCTGCCGAACGCGATGATGGTATACACCTTTCAGGACGTTTTGTAAGATCCCACTGGCGATTGTATGCAGCACATATGTCGACTCACAATACAATATTCTTACTTGTAGTCTTGAGTCGCCGATACCTCTCCAGATCCTGGTTCGATTTCACTGGTCTGCCAGGAGATACACGCACAAGCGACAGGTGGATTAGTGCTATGCAGTAAGTTCAGTAACCGGAGTCGCTTTGTTGTGTCTCAGTGTGTCTCAGTAGAGATGTTCTAAGACTCGGATTAACATATTGCCCCTTTTCGTTTGGACAATAGCCCTGACGACGTCGCTTCGTTTCAGAAGGAAGTGTCACAGAGCTATAAGACTGGCGTATACAAGGATTGCGAGTTCAGGCTGATGCGATACGACGGCATGTACCGCTGGCATCTTTCGCGTGCCGTCCCAGTGCTCAACCATAGCGGAGCTATCTTGAAATGGGTTGGTGTCACTATCGATATTGGTAAGTTTCTAAAATATATGAATGTTGCTTATGTATGATACTCTTTTATCAAATGCTGCATATTCCATGCTCATCTGTACCCCTATTCAATGTTTTTAGATGATCTCTATCTCGCTCAAAAAGCCGAGCTGCACAAGAAATCCAACTTCCTGGCCAACATGAGCCACGAACTGAGAACGTATGTTGCTCTTTGGTGTAGCCTGACATGTCTCTTGTCTATGAGTATCTCCTAGTCGTCTAAATGGCTCTTTCTTCTTATATCATAGACCTTTCTCTGGATTCCACGGAATGTTAACTTTGCTGGGGTATTCCAACCTGGATGAAGAACAACAGGAGTGTGTTGGCACAGCCAAGGCTAGCTGCGAGAAACTGTTACTTATTATTGATGATCTCTTGGATTTCTCGAAGCTGGAGGCCGACAAAGTGGTACTAGAATCATCACCATTCGATCTGGAGGAAGTCTTTGAGGAGGTAGAGGATATTGTGGAACCATTAGCATCTCAGAAATCGCTTGAGCTCGCATTTATCAAAGCCGATAATGTGCCCGAGGTCTTGGTCGGAGATTGTAACCGACTGAAGCAGATCCTCTTGAATCTTGTGGGCAATGCTATCAAGTTTACGCACTCTGGACATGTCATTGTGCGATGTAAGGTTCTGGAGAGTGACTCGGAGATGTCAGATGTTGCAGAGGGCTCATCCATGGCGGAGGTACTCGACGACGACAAGTTCTATTTTAAGCACGAGAAGAATGGTGGTGGTCAGTGTCAATCGGAGCTCCGTCCTCCCAATTCCGGTCGCTTCTCATCTCCAGAGCCATTGAGTGAGCACTCGATCAAACTGATGTTCTCGGTTGAGGATACAGGTATCGGAATCAGCTCAGAGGAGCAGGAGGTTTTGTTCTCGCCATTCTCACAGGTCGACGGCAGCGCTACGAGATCTTATGGAGGATCAGGATTGGGTCTCTCTATCTGTCTCCAGCTAGTCAAGCTGATGAAGGGTCGCATCGGTCTAAAGTCTGAGCGCGAAAAGGGTTCCACTTTCTGGTTTATGATTCAATGCGAACAGAGCACTGCCGTGGAGGGCTCCACCAAGCTTGTACAGGAGGCGGAGGTTGGAGATTCGACTAAGGAAATCAAACGCATTACAAGGACACTTGGGACACCCCGTATCTTGATCGCTTCTACCAGCCAAACGACCATTAGCACCCTTCAGAACTATCTCTCGGATTTCAACACGGAGGTCGCAGATGCACCTTCGACAGCCGCATGTCGACTGGAGGAATCCGTTGCCAATGGAATACGATTCGACTTTGTCTGCTGGGACTTTCCCAAAGCAGATCCGAACCACACCGTGATGCTGGATCTGAAGGCGAGGCCCGATCTCAACAATGTGCACTTTGTTCTGTTGTACACGCCGAATACCGAAATTATTCGACGTGCTCAGTCCCTCCAGCTACCACCTACGAGCTCCTCGTCCAACTCCCTTGGAGGCGGAAGGAAAAGACCGACTCTTAGCCAGTCTGTGTCTCTGCGGGTGGAAAATAGCGGCTCAGCTATCTATGGAAACTACACCTCTGGAAGCGAGGTCCCAGGACTTAGCCCAGAAAAGCTCAACAGCCTTCGCATCACTTGTATCTCAAAACCTATCCGTCGCCTCAAATTGCTACGCGCTTTTGTCGAAATCTTAGATGATTCAGCAAAGATCCATGGAGCTCATACAGTGAAGAAAGGAGTAGTTACACCGAGTGTTGCGCCGTCGAGCCCAACCACATCAGCAGTAGCAGCCATGGGATCACCAATCGCCTCACCTACCATGCCTTCCACCTCAGGCGCTACACTAACACCTATCAATATGACGCGCAGTTCATCTACCGCTTTGATAGTTTCACTCGAGGAGGCTTTAGGAAAAGATGCTGCGATATCCAAAGATGGTCAGGCCAGACCGGACTTGTACAATGTCGACAGCGGCACACACTTTTTGAACCAGGCGCAGGAGCAAAAGACGATCAGCCAGAGTCTTGCAGAGGCACATCTTTTGCCACTGGGCATTCATTTGCATTCTTCAGATGCTACGCTGAGTACCCCACTGGAAATTCTTGAAGTGGAGGAGCTGGTGACGATTGATGAGCGGGCTATGACACCAGAACCCTCGCAAATCCAAAAATCATCAGTGAACCAGACACCTGCTCCTATTACGCCAAAGTCGGATGGGTCCGGTAGCGTCCCAGATGCAACCCAGGAGCAGTCGCTAAAAGAGAAGGAGACGAAGGAGCCGGCCGAGAAGGAAAAGGAAGGCGACAGGGACCAGGAAAAGGAAAAGGCTCTAACGAATCCGAAGAAGCCTTTGTTCAGACAGAAGACACCTACCGGCACTTCAGGAAAGAATGGCAAACTGCGTTCAAATTCACCAAAACCAGCAAAGACGTCAAAATTGGTCACAGAGGAGGCGACAGAGATCTCGTTGTCGTTCGAGGAGGCCGAGAGGATTGCAGGCATGCGCATCTTGCTGGCGGAGGACAATGTGATTGCACAGAAGGTGCTGTCGAAGCAGCTGGCATTGTTTGGTCTCGCTATATCCTGCGCAAACGACGGAGCTGATGCATTGGCCCTGTTCAAAGCTCATCCGAGAGGGTACTATACCATGGGGTTCTTTGACCACCATATGCCCAACTGTAAGTCATATTGCAGTACTTCATCGAATGCTTTTAAAATATCATGGGGGAGGAAAGAACCATATTAACAGCCCTGACCTTTTTATTCTCCACTTCAATAGGCGATGGAGTGCAAGCGACGCAACAGATTCGTGCGCTGGAAAAGGAACATGCCGCAGAGGTGAAGGGTCCTGTCCCACGACTGCCACTCGTGGCTGTCTCTGCGGATATCCAGGAAACTGCCCGTAAAGCCTGTCTCAACTCTGGTATGGAGCGGTACGTGACCAAGCCCTTGATGCAAAAGGATTTAGTGGCCATGGTTCGCCATTACTGTGTGATTGGTGATGCTGAGGCTAGCACACTTCCATATGTACCCCCACCCGAGGGAACAGAAGTTTCAGCTAGTCTTGGAACATCGAGTTCGATGACTGTAACATCAACCGTTGCGGCCATGGTCTCTGCAGGGCACGTCTCAGCGCCTATTGGAGTCAGCTCTGCACTCCAACCGTCCATGCTCCACTCTGTCACATCCGTGCCAGCCACCCAGGTCGGAGAGCCGACACTTGCACAGAAACCACCAGCTCCTAAGCGTGATCTCGAGTTGTCTCCGGCAGCGTTGCGCGGTCTGGCCTTGATCCGCGAGAATACCATGCAGGACGAGAGTTCGAAGGTCGGAGGCGGAGGAAATATCAAGTCAACGAACTTGACCCTTCCAACGGTGTCTTACGTGTCCTCTACTGCAGCTGCTGCGTCATCTATCGTAGCGCCTTTGCCACAGGTATCTCGTAGTCTACACCACAGCAACAGCCTTACGGGACTGAACATTAACCAGAGCTCGTCATCACAGCTGCTGAGTGGGCCTCTGGGACATGCGATTACCAAGACAAACTCGTCCTCGTCATTGTCAACAACCTACCATTCCGGGACTATTTCGTCCCCGATTATGTTCCCCTCAATGTCCACGCCCACTGTCACGTCGGTTCCGGTATCAAACGTTGCGGCAGCGACCACGGCACCTACGGCAATGACGATGACGATGATGGCAGGGAATGGATCGAATCCGTCTTCGCTGCCGCACGTACCGGGCCCGATTACTCCGGTGGCTGCAATGGCTGCGGGGACAGCAACGGAGGCGATGGCTGTGGCATCTGCGGCGGCGAATACAGTGAGCTCCACGATCCATGAGTCCCAGCCGTCGATTTATGCGGCACAGGGAACTGTAGTTTTGAGTGGAGGAAGTATGTGTACGCCCTGGCCAAATCTGTTAAACGGCGGATCGATTGATCCGCACGCGCAGTCATCGTTGTTGCAAAGGCAGCAGCAGATACAGATGTTGATGGAGCAGCAGCAATTTCATATTGGGCAGACACTACTACTGCAACAGCAACAGCAGCAGCAGCAGGCGTTGGGACTGATGCAGGTACTGCAGGAGACGTTACCGGCGAATGGGCCAGGAACGGCGGCAGCACAGCAGCAGCAGCAGCAGCATGCTTATCATCCGCCGCAGGAGGTGTTTGTGCCGTACTTGCACCCATGTGAGCCTTCGCCGACGGTTGAACAGGAGCAGGATTCGATTTTGAGTAGCCAGGTGTTAGCGACTTTGCCGGTGACTACGAGTGCGAGTGCGAGTGCGAGCGTAACAGCGACAGCGACAGCGAATGGATCAATAGGAGAAGGAGGAGGAGGAGGAGGAGGAGGAGCTGTAGCACCGGGATCGACGCTAAATTCAGCGTTGGCGGCGATGAATAGTCCACCGTTGGCGCTGCACAGCTGGCTTCTGTAGATGCAGAAAAAAATAGCGCTGTAACTATAATAATAAACTATGCACGCGTTAACGTGAAGTCAAAAGGATGTCTGTGAAGAAAGAAAGAGACTTTTGATGGTGTAGCTCAGATTCCTCTTCTCAAGGCAATGAAAAGTAACGCTCGCTAGAGATTTGGGGGGGGAGGGGGAGAAAGGGGAAAAGGATGCCTAGAAACAGATTCACACTTCTTGCCTGTCTCTATCCTTTCCCGCCTATCAACTTTTCTACTTCCCCCTTCCCTCAGAGAATTCCAATATATATTTTTTCGCCCTCCCTTATTATGTCCGAGATGCCATTTCATACTCCAGGGGCGCGTGCCTGCATTACAGGATACGGATATGTCGTTGAATGCGTCTATCATATCCAGCTCCAGAGGATGTCAGATATCGTACGGGAAGTTTTCAATACTTCTGCAACGACGTCTCCTTAACTCAGCACGCTGGAGATGTGTACCGATGCTTAGTAAGGGCCGTCTCAAGGTTGTTGACGTTTAGTATGCCGAGATATTGTTAGACGGGAGTGAGTGTTTTATGGAATGGGAGCACTGTGCGCACCAGCAGAAGAGATGTCGCCTTACACAACAACAGCAGCCTGAGAACGACCAAGCGGCGTCTATAGAAAAAACAGCTCAAGTGTTACAATGTGATATTGTATTCTGTTGCGTGATACTGATCTGCGCTGAACTGTGCCAGGCAGGGCTGCGGTTCGTTATAATGTGACGAAGATGAGTGCAGGAACGGTGGTGGTATAGAGAGACTCAGCTGAGAATGCCATCGAGCGGAAAGAGTGGGCGGAAAAGGTGAAAAATAGTGTAGAGTACAGCTCGGGTTGTTCATGATCCAGTGAACGCTTCCTACTGGTTTCTCGATTAAAAATACTACTGAAATACGGAGAGGTGCGGCGATGTCAGTCATTGACGCGTTGTTGTGGAAGAATAGTTGGTTGCAATTCAGTTACTATTTTTTTTTTTTTTTTTTTGGGGGGGGGGGGTGCTTTATTTCAGATCGGCGGATCTACGGCTCGTAGACGACGTCTGTTCGGAGAATATACTTGTATCCCCTGTTGACCATGAGCGCTTCGTGGAGCATACACTGATCTCCATGCTTGTGGACCAGCAACAGCCCCCTATCTGGTTTGACGGCCACTCCTCCGTTTGGAAGGGTGTATGACAACAGAGATGCTGAAGACTCATCGCCACTTGCCTTCTCTGTTTCTGCCGCTGTAGAGGGCGTCTGTTTTCCCTTCGTCGCCCTCCTTGTCTGCTTTCCGAATCCTGATCCAGATGAATTCGCCGGTGCAGACGAGGGGAGTGCCTTCTTCTTCCCCGTTGGATAAAACACCGTTTCGCCACCTTGCAAATCCGAGTCTCTCTCGCCATTGAGATAGATCAACACCGTGTACTCCGATATCGTCTCTCCAAGCTCCTCCGTCCTGTCCATGACGCTTTCGTCGTAATGCGCTCCAAAAGATTGTCCCTTCTGGTATCGATACAGCCGAATGTTCCTGCTCAATCCTACCGCATGTCTCGCCCGCTTGTTATTCTTCGGCCCTGATGCTATGCATTCGCCTTGGACGCTCTCGAGCCCGAACTTAGGGTGAAGCCATAGCTCTGTCCAGCGATCGCGAAGGCCACATTTGTTCCAGAGCATAGACGCGAACTCTGGGGAATGGAACTGGATGCGGTCGTTATCACGAAAGGCGTAGCCAGGGCGTGGAGTAGGGCGCGGACGAGGCGTTAATGGGTCCAGTTTATCGTCGATCTGGACCTTCATCTCTTGTTGAATGTAGGTGATAAGTGATTGGGTGTCGGTGGGGGAGAGGAAGGATGGGAGGACGAGGACTTGGGTGGGGCCGAGAATAGGGAGCCACCGAGGGACAGGGCGAGAAGAGGAAAAGGATGGGGAGGAGAGGCGGGGCCAGTTCTGGGGATCGGGATTATGTGTTTGTTCCATTAGGGGGGATGAACGTGTGTCGTTGATGGCTGATGGGGATTGGAAGATTGTGTGATCAAAGGACCAAGGATGGAGCTGATGTGACCAGAAAGCAGAGATCTTTCAATTGCGTTTAGGATTTCCTGCTCTTTCTACAATTACGCGCGTAAAATGCCATGCTGTGCAAAAGCGCGCGTTCACTATCAAAGAAAGCAAGAGCAGCTCCTCATCTTCGCCCACATGGGACTGATTGTATTAGATTTAGAAGGATCTTTCAATGGTATCAGCACCGCCAGAGCGATGCGGTTTGAATGCACCCGCAGTCTTTGGTTCTCTACGCCTGTACATCGGCTTCCTTTAGTTCTCTACGCCTGTACATCGGCTTCCTTTGGTCGAGCACAATGGCCTGAGTCGAATGCTGCCCTGAACACAATCTAATGAAATGAGATATGGGCTGAATCAATACATGGGCACACATGGTGAGCAGTACCTGTTGCACACCGCTATATGTCGACTCTTATTCATTTCTGCATCCGCCCTCTCTCTCTTCCGCATCATCTCATCATCTCATCCACTAAACCTGAATTGGAATCGGAGTCGCCATCATGACCGCCAATATGTCTGTTCCAGTGCAAGAGCAGCGCAGTGTACCGACCGTGATGATTGTAGGCGCAGGATTGGGTGGCCTGCTACTGGCCATCCTCTTTGAGCGCGCCAACATACCCTACCACATTTACGAGCGGGCTACGGTCCTTAGACCACTCGGGTAAGTAAATCATCTGCTGAGCTATTGGCGCTGCTGTATACTCTTACTCTAACAGGATATTGACGTGTGCCCTTCATCTGAAAAATAGATCCGCCATGACGATGGGTGCCGACATCCTTCCCGTTTTTGAGCAGCTTGGTCTCCTAGAAGAACTCAAGCAAATCTCCCGACCACTGTCTTCGCTTGATCTTTATAACAAAGACATGAAGTTCCTGGGCCAAATCAACCTAAAGACTCGAAAAGCTGTGTATGTGCACACAATACCATTGTATTTTCTAAAGAGATGAGCCAGTCAATTAACTCAATTCTACACTTCAGCACAGGATATGACAGCATCATCTTCGCGCGCCCGAAATTCCATGAACTTCTGCTCAGACAAGTACCAGCCCACAAAATCAGTCTCGGAAAGAAGGTCCTTAGTTCCGAAGAATCTGATGGCAGAATCATCATCAACTGCTCTGACAACACCAAGTACGAGGGTGAGATTCTCGTGGGAGCTGATGGCGCCTACAGTGGGGTTCGACAGAGTCTCTACAAGCGCATGGCGGAAACGGACATGCTTCCCAAAGTGGACCAGGAGGGCTTTTCGATAGGGTATGTCAGCATGGTAGGGGTAACTAGTCCTCAAGATCCAGAAAAGTACCCGATCCTCAAAGACAGCTACGCTCACTTTTCGCAGGTCCTTGGAGACGACAATTGCAGTGTAAGTGCACGGACTTGGATTGTACGGGGTACCGAAATGGAGATACATGGATCGCAATTGACCCTCTTTTTGTACCCGATAATCGTTTTAGTGGGGCGTTCAGAGCGTCGCAAACAACCAGATTTGTTGGATCCTCAGCACCCAACTTTCGCCCTCGGATGCGAAGGAGCAACAGTTTAGGAACTCAGAATGGGGACCAGAGGCGAATGAGGCGATGATTAGAAAGTATCGAGACTTTCTGTGCCCGTGGGGAGGTACCATGGGAGATATTTTCGATGCAACTGTCGACAGTCTGACTTCGAAGGTGTTCCTGGAAGAAAAGGCTTTCAAGACATGGTACCATTCCCGAACAGTCCTTCTTGGTGATGGTATGCATGTTGATGTGCATTGAGGCGCATTGTATTGTTTATTGTTTGAGCATGTCTTAACCACTTTTTCCTGCCTCAAATAGCGTGCCACAAGGTAATAGCAAGAAACAGATGGTTTGATTGCTCAAATTTGTGGTTGCCAATGAGATTCACCAAATCGTTCCAATATGCGTTATAGATGCTTCCCGGAGCAGGCGTAGGTATGAACAATGCCGCAGCAAAGCCCTCAGTACTGCAGCATACGATACCACTGGTAACTACCCCTATCAACTGTTTGTCTTATAGGGGCCGTGAATGCCATGCAGGATGCTGTGGTGCTCGCGAACTGTCTGTTCAACATACCGGACAATAGTATGAAGAATATCACCGTGGCACTTCAAGGCTATTACAGACAACGATACCCGCGCTCATTCATGCAGTTCCGACGCAGCAATGGCATGTCAAAGATTCTGGCTGGCCAGGTAAGATAAATCATTGGTGTTTATTCATGTAACAAAATGAACCCTACCTCATTCGCTCTGCAACTTTTTCATATATCCTGCTGCCTTAGACCTGGATGGAGCGGGCTCTGCGGTATGTGCTCCTCAACTATATCCCTGATTGGGTCCAGCAGCGCAGCTTTGCCAAGACGTTGGAGTACCGGCCACAGATTGCTTGGTTACCTCTGGTTGAGACTCGAGGGTCAGGACATGTCGTGCCACAAGAATGCGCGAGGAGGGTGATCGAGCAACAGCAGCCGCCACAAGCCGTTTAGTATAACTTTGTTTTTCCGAGGACAACATTCTTCATCCTTTAGCCTACCTCGGCATCTTTCCTCCGACTGCACCTCTCTGCCAATGCATATACATCTGTAATAGAGAGCGCAGCTCGAATAAACAACAGAAAATTAGTCTGCATGTATTTTGTCGACACGAGAATGAAAGAGACCTCAAATAAGGGTGCTTTTGTCAATTCCTGGGATAGGTGATCTGCAGAACATGTTGTTCTCCCGACACTTATCATGCATGCATATTGCATGCAAGCGTGACGAACATGGTGCAACAGGTATTAAGATTTAGTGCAACCGACTTGAATACCGGATATTACGCCTGCATGCAGCATGGAAGTGTTCCTGAAGTCGGAGTGTATGTGGTCTTCGATCTCATCTGGATGGGATGCTTTCATCTGCAACTTGGAATCGCCATTTCACTCATTCTTTTCTTTCCTATTTTTCACTTTTCGCCCCCAAATCTCACAATTCGAACAAAATGTCAGCGCAAACTCCTGAACAGCCAAAATCTGTCCCAACAGTGTTGATCGTAGGAGGTGGACTCGGCGGTCTCATGCTGGGCCAGCTGCTCGAGCAGATCAACGTCCCCTATCACATCTTTGAGCGGGCTAACGAATTGCGCGCTCTAGGGTAAATTCCTGATTCTGTTGTAGGCGTCCACGAGCAATTGAGCGCCTTCTCATCCAGTAATGGCGCATTGACGCGCATTTCTTATTTAAAATAGCTCGGTCATGACCCTCGGCCCAAACATCATCCCCCTCTTTGAGCAGCTGGGCCTGATGGAGGAGATCAACAAGTTCTCGTTGCCGGTCTTCTCCCTTGACATGTACGGCGATGACATGAAGAAAGTCGGCGCAATCGATCTGACATCGCATAAGGCAGTGTAAGTTATTAAGGTGTTATATCTGAAAATGTGCTCCCTCTTTTTTTTTAAAAAAAAACAAATCAATTGATTCTTGGTTTTCTGTATGTCAGTTCCGGAAACGAAAATTTGCTATTCGCAAGACCTCAGCTCTACGAACTTATGAAGAAGCAGGTCCCTGCCAGCAAGATCACTCTCGGCAAGAAGGTTGTTCGTCATGAGGAAAAGGATGGCAAGGTCATCATTCACTGCTCTGACAATACTAAATTCGAGGGCGATATCCTTGTTGGAGCGGACGGCGCCTATAGCGGAGTGCGCCAGAGCCTGTACAAGCAAATGGACGAACAGAACATCCTTCCCAAGAACGACCTTGAGAGCCTTTCGGTTGGATATGTGAGCATGGTCGGCGTTGCTAAACCATCCAACCCCGAAAAGTACCCACAGTTGAAGGACAACTTTGCACACTATTCCCAAGTCCTTGGTCCCGATTCCCGCAGTGTACGTGGTTTGAAATACAAGGATCGGCTTCTCATTGCATTCGACAGCAATAATTAATGGATCATCTTTGTTATTATTTTCTATTTAGTGGGGTGTATTCAGTGTGCCTGGCAATCAAATCTGCTTCGTGCTCAGCTCCCAGTTGTCGACTGCAGAGGCCAAGGACCAGGCATTCCGCAATTCCGAGTGGGGTCCTGAAGCGAACGATGCCATGCTCAAGGAGTTCTATGAGGAACCTTGTCCCTGGGGAGGCAAGATGGGCGACGTTTTCGATGAGACACCCAAGAACTTGATTTCGAAGGTGTTCCTTGAGGAGAAGCTCTTTAAGACGTGGTACCACTCACGGACAGCTCTTATCGGTGATGGTAATGTATCTTGCGGGTGTTTGTTGCTTCTTCTCAGGATGTGGCTCCGTACTATGTGCCGAGCACTGACAACTCTACATTATTAACTGCTCGTCCACTTTTTCTAGCCTGCCACAAGGTAAATCGAATGCAATGAAGCGAAACCTTGTGTGCCTTGTTCGAAGGGCTATGCCTTGGTCCCATCCTGCTAAAGGCTAACCAATTTATTCACCCATGTCTATATCATTTTTTGCTGAACTAGATGCTTCCTGGTGCTGGTCAAGGTAAGAGAGCAGTCCTTGCCATTTTCAATTAAAAATGTTGCAGACAATTTTATTCGACTTTGTGATTACGATACTGATGACGCGTAATATACCATGCATCACTCTGTGTCTCTATAGGAGCTGTGAACGCAATGCAGGACGCTGTTGTGCTTGCCAACTGCATTTACAACATGCCAGATTCAAGCACTGACAGTATCACGGCGGCATTCCAGGAGTACTATAAGCAACGCTTCAGTCGCGCAGAGATGCAGTTTGAACGCAGTAGCAGCATGACTAAGACTATCAGTGGCCAGGTAAGCAGATATAATTGCGACACAGTCCCCTCGGATAATGAAGAAGTATCAGCCAACGCGCTGTACCGTTTTTCTGACAACTGTCCCTGCATTTCTTTGTTTTACCAATAGACATGGGTGGATAGAGTGCTTCGTAACGTGATGCTTAACTACGTGCCCAACTTCATTACTCAGATGAGTTTCATGAAGACTTTTGAGTACCGTCCTCAGATCGCCTGGTTGCCTTTGGCTGAAAACCGTGGCACTGTGAAGGTGCTCCCACAGGAGGGCGTGAGGAAACTCCTTGAAGCGAAGGCGGAGGCTATTTAATGAGACCAGAGCTGTTGTGTATTAGTGATGCTTTTGTACATGCAATAAAACGTTAAAATGAAATACAGAATACAGCGTGTGGCCATCGACCTGCCCAACCAATTCTAGATGAGCAATCAGTTCATCCAGCCGTGTCGTATCCACCAGCGCGGACCGCCTGGATCTTTGGGCTCCAATCTCTAATAGTAACATCCAGGCGGTCCCGGTGTCAAATGAAGCACCCTACAGGAATTCTCCGACTATGCAGAACACTTCACCCTCCCGATCAACATTCTTCGAGCCTTCGTTTCTGGACTGGCGGGAATTGGTTTGTTTCGCCCTAGTATCGTATTCCAGGGCGGACATTTAATCAGCCGAAAAAAATCCCCCAGCTCGAGGCCCCACTTAAGATAGAGAAATTGACGGATCAGGTTGTATTCTCCAACAAGGAAGAGCAAAGGGTCTACTCTTTGGAGTGTGTATTTCTTTGTGCCAGCTATGACCATAGAAAAGCGCGATAGCGTGTTCCAGCAGCAGTATGTTTTCCGCATTCTTCTAACCTGTCAGTCTTTTTACTCACTTTCTAGGACTCTCCCTGTCATTCGTTGCCCACATATCCTGTCGCCTCGGTTATATGGATCACCATTCTATGGACTGTATAACCGTTCCCTCTGAACCTACAAAAAGTTGTGGGCAGCAGAGCCAAGTACTTGCGATGCGATTTGAGAGTAAACTCCTCAGCTCCTCCTTCAAGTCCTCCAAACCCATCAAGATCGACGCGTCTTCACTGACTTGGCGCGTCAACCAGTGTTCTGAACATTTTCAGGTAGAACTCTTCAGTGGATTCGAGCTCATCCATAGCATCGGCAAAACGTTTCCTTGACAAATGAACAGACAAAAAGCTGAGTGAATGTCAGCCGCTGCCTGCTTCAGAGAATGCAGCATCAACAGACCATTCGCGAAGATTCCGGCGTAAACAGTGTGGAGTATCTGAAGGAGGAGGTCTTTCACGTCGCTCAAGAGGGAGAGGGCTGAGAAGTGGGAGCGATGGGCTTTGGCGAGGACTGACTGCTGTTTTCAGCACATGCCTGAAGGATAGGAAGGCGTGATGCTGGCTCAATATCAGCTTCAAAAAGTATGACAGCACATCGGGAGAGACAGCAACGGTAGTAGAAGGAGGAGACGTGGCAGAACAGGTAATTAGTTTATGAGGCACTATAATCAAACTGCCTTGCATAGTAAATGAGCTCGCTTATGAAAATAGTTAGCAAACTGCGCGCGGCAAACGCCTCGAGTCTGGCATAGTACAAAAAAAAAAAGTCAAGCGCGGTTCTCTCCACGCCACCCTAATCCACAGCCTCTTCATCACCAGGTATGGCATGGCTCTTATTGAATAAAAAATGGCGACCATGGTAGGATGTTAAAAGCCTCTCCATCCCCTTCGTCATTTCCTATCTAGCACCTCCTAAAAAACTCTCACATCGAGCTCTCTTCTCGTAATCGCATTATCTGCGCAGTGTCTCGCTTATCTCATTTTCCTCTATTTTATTTTTTACATGCGCGTCCCCCTTTGTCAACAATTTATGAGCGCGTCGTGGCCACTTCCCTCGGACTTTTTTTTTGTGCAGTCAAAGACAAATAGTTGGCGTCGGCGCAACCCCGATCGTGCATTTAAAGATCGTGCAATTTTTTTTTATTTTTTATAACAACTTGTCTCTCGAGTCGTTTACGTTCGCACAGGATCAAGAAGTTGCATGGAGATTTGCCGACATTGCAGGCGATGAAGAAACGACATCCAGATACCTACCAAACGGACATATGTCGTAGGTGTGAGAGGGAACCAGAGACGAACGATCATCTTTGGCGTTGTTCGGCTACCTTGTGCGACCAGCGACAAGAGTGGAGGGACGCGGTGGAGGAAGTGGAGTTGAATGGATATCGTGCATGGAGACAGGCAGTGCGAAAATGGGAACAGGAGAGAGAGGAGGCCGAACGGAAGGACAAGCCCTTCACTGCGACTTGTCCCAACTTCTCGGCAACAGGAACGAAGGC